GGTAGAGGTTCATATGGTATGCCCCATCCTCAAGGAACTTGTGTACTGTTAAAAGTTTAAACACCTTAAATGAGCTGATAAACTATTTTCAAGGTCTTTATTAAAATCCAAATGTTTTATTTAAACTCAAAGGTGTACATATTAATGAAAAACAATGACAGTGACAGATATTTCTGATCAACAGTTGTCAGCTGTCCCCCCTAAAAGCAAATCATGCAGATGCTGAAATTACAACTATTCATATTCCCTTGTTATGCTCTTGTGCCACATCGTTTTGGAGCATTTGTGTTTCTATTATCAAATATTGTGGGTGTTGGAATTCAAAGACTCTAGATGGAACACTGACCATGCAAACAAATTTTACAAAGAAAAACTCAATGGTGATAACCATCCACTGACTATCAACAATTTCCCAAGGGCATTTCAAATATATGATGCAGATATTAGTATTGCCTTTAATTTGAAGAAACAATACCATGCTGTACATGTCTTGCTGTACACAGCTTTTCAAAGTAAGATTAGGGAAGGTTCATATTATATTTTCTCTCTTTGTAACAGAATACAATACAGAAAAACTGTTATCCAGTTAAAAAACAAATGTACAACACTCAGCAATAACTATTTACTGAGACCCATGATTCCTTACTGTCTTGGAATGACCTATCACCTGGTGACAACCTTTTTTGGAATAGGTCTATGCCCTTGACCAGACTTGAGCTCACTATTTCAGTATACTAGTCTGACACCCGTAGTATCACTGCACTTGATCTCAAGGATCCAGTACCATCCAGGTATCCCAGTAACCCTGCTCACAGGGACTAGTTCATAGTGGGTTGTGTGTATGTCTATAGGCAGAAAATGAAGGTGCATGTGAAGTGGTCAGTAATCTTCATGGATTGCTTGGGTCCTGATATTTTGACCTATGTCAATGCCATCTATTGCATAACATATACTCATTGTAAAAAGATATACACTGGTGAAAACAGAAGAATACTGAGTGACTGATTCCACAAACACGTTCATGACATAGAAAAGAGCGACTCAATGATGAATCCAAACCAAATGCTATACCGTTTAATTTCCCTAACCATTCTAAGCAGCATATGGCAGTCTGCAGCCTTTCCCTACATCTAGGCAATTCAGAAAGCCACAAAACTCTAGAAAAATAATTTCTCTCTTGAATCAACTCAGTTGATAAAAAAAAACATTGACTAGTTATATTCTCCCACTGTCACAGCATCACAGTTTCTTTAGAAACTTATCCCCTTTATTTATACTGTCGGTAGACATAGGTTGAATTATATGAGGACAAAAGCATCTACCAGCTTTGCCATTTGCACATACATATTTATGTTTAGGTTAAACTTTATTCATTTGTAGTTCAATTTTCAAACATATCGCCATGCTCAAATAAACAGGAAGATAAAGTTTGAATAAAGAATAATATAGGCTAGTCAAGATTCTGTAACTGAATGTCCAATTAGTCTTGTTTTCATGTACAAAGTCCTACCAATATAATTTAAAGTGCTTCTAATAATCTAGTTAGTTTTTTGTGTTCTCTAATTCTCTAATCTCTATGTAGACTATGTTCATAAATTATGAAAGGAAAAACCCTTTTTGCTGCACATGAAACATGCAAGTTCATCTAGGTGACAAATATTTAAGATAAGTTAAGCTACTATTTTGATGAATGTACTGCATCATAAATTTAGCTGTAGCCACTTTCAAAGCAAAGTGAAATTAATTAAGTAGGGGGTTAAACTACAATCAAACAAGTTCAAAAAAGTGACAAATTCAAATGTTTGATACATAACTTCTCACTCCAAGTGTCGTTAGCTCTGCCACCACATGAAAAACTATAACCTTATTCCCAGGAAAGTAACAGGCACAAGGTACATGTACAAGTTGCAGACCTGTTAGTTCACCTTACTCTAACCACTCCTTCAGATCATTTTCACAATTTTGGTTGACACAGTAAAATGAAGAGTTTTCCTTTGGTAACACATGAATAACATGTCGTCTAGACATTGAATTTTGAACACCTGGATGTGATATGTCATCTCTTTGATACCCAGGACAGCTCTCTGACGGGCAGGCTGGGCCACAGTAAAACTTGACTTGTGGAAAGTGCCCCCAACAGAGCCATTTGACCATGCCAAACACTTGACTCAACACATTTGAAGGATGCAAATCTTCTGCTGCACATCTGTTGATATAAATGGCTCAATTAGAACTTTTTCCTTAGAAACTGAAGTCATTCTGTTTTCATCTCACAGCCTTTGTAATACCAAAACAAAAATCTTTCAAGGAATGTTCTATGCAAAAATTGAGTGAATTGACTTATGCTGCCCATTTAAAACATATAGCTTATCTCATGTGTGTTGTTTATTCTGGAGTGAAGCTGCATTTTTATCATCAGATGTTGATGGCTAAATTTTTTTTCTTTTGGTTTTTGTTTACAGATGTACTTGTTTTCAATAAAGGAGGTTAAAGACTGAATGTGACCAAAAAATTTTTTTGCAAATCTGCATTGTTACTGCAGCATAGATAGGCTTTACACACATCACATGGCTAGGGAAATCCTACCTTAAGTTCCAGGTTTGCTTTATGTCTTTGGAGGAAAACTTTGATTATGAGAGGAATATAACTATAAAGAGTTGCAATTTTCTTCAACGGCATCTGCATTGCATATGTTGAAGACAGTTGTGCTCTAATTCCTATTCATGACTGATATACTTAAATTTCACAAACCTGTGGCTAAATGTCACTTCAATTATATCCTCTTCCTTAAGATGCAGCAGCCTGTAGGGCTGAGAGGGTGTCAGCCAAAACCTGCCAACATATCTGCTTATGAGAGGCTGGCCCTTGCGGAAGGATTTCTCACTAAGTTGGTGAGCACGTGATAGGAGACGGTGGAAAAGAGGTTCTGGTAGGAATCTCTCAAAGAACACATAGAGTCGCTTGTCTGTGGGATGATCATTCCAAACCAATGTGTTCCCATTCACTGAAACTGGAAGCAGTGCAGGAACAAAATGTGTGACTATTGCTTCTGTAATATCATTGTTAACCTTGTAAAATAATGGGCAAATGATGCCATATTCCTCAAGAAAGCCTGTCATTGCTACTTCATTTTCTTGGATTCTAGTGAGAATGTGCCTCAAAAGGGAATTTGTGAGCATTCCCTTGTTGTGAAGTAATGTCCACTCTTTTCTGAACCCATGCTGTGAAAATAATTCATCATTTGTCCTTGGAGTGATCAGCTGAATTGTGATGTCAACTAGAAGTGATGGCTTCAAAAGAACCCACTCAGAGATGACTGAATTCTCACCTTTGTCTATGTAAATTACAAGGCCTTTTTCATGAAAATACTTCAAAGTTTCCTTAGACCAGTTGCTGCAAATAAAGTCTCTAAATGAAGTTGGAAAATGTTCCAGGGATACACAGAACTTTGTATTGCCATTCTCCCACAAATTAATGATTGCATCTTGAATTTTAATCCATGAAAATGGAATTGTTTGTCCCAAAGTTGTCTTGTTTTCCTCAGCTATGAGGATCATTGTCCTTTTAAGATTTTTAATTCCTCTATCATGAATTCCATCCTTGGATTCCACAGGAAAATACATCAACTTATCTTCTTCGTTCATTGTCAAATCATTAGAAAAGGTTTGCCAAAGGCTCTGTTGCAGATGTTTATTCAAATAACCAAGGCAGGTTCTACTCGTGTTTCCTCTGTGTGTACCAACAAGAAAGATTGGTGCCTTTGGCTTTACTTTGCTATGGATGGATTCCAACCAGAAACAAATTCTTTGGATTTTCACTTCTATATGTTGGAAATTGCTGGCGGCAAAATATGCAAGGTTGAACACAATAATGTATATTGCTTGATTTCTGTAGAAGAGATGATGGTATGCTAAGTTTTCTTTATCACCTCCAAAGTCTAGAATGCCCAATGTGAGACTTGAGAATTTGACATTGAGAGCCTTTCTTAACTCTTGGTAATCTAGTGCTACCTTTTGTACAAAGATAACCTTGTAAGTACCTGCAACAAGGTTCGATACATACTTTTTATTGAAGAGTAATGCACAACAGGCACATCCTGCAAACAGTGCTACATATGACAGCATAGAATAAGATGATCTTGATCTGTAGGGTGCACACTCAATTACAAAAATAAATATAATTGGGCTTACAATTCCCTCCATAAAATGTCTTCCCTTGCACATCGAACGTATGAACCAAAGAAGTGATAGACCGAACCCCAGCATAAAGGTATAGTGAAGAATTTCACAGTAACTGACGATTGACATGTTGATCATCAATTCAGCACAGAAACCTAACCCAAAGCCGTTAACGAAAGATTCTATTTGATAAAATAAACCCCGAAACCCAAGGAAAACCCGTCTGCGATTGTAGATTTTTACTTGCCCCGGAAGGGAAATTTTAATATCACCTCGATACCTAAGTACACGCGAACGGACCCATATCTTCCTTAGGGGTCCAAGGAAGTAGGCAATAAATTTTCCAGTGAGATGACGAAGGTAAAAAAGGCGTATAATATATACTATAAATTTGTCACGAATCAATTCTAAATGTTTACGTCTAATACAGGGTAACTCTACACAGCAACAATGGATCCCTTTGAAAAAACCGTTCACTAAATGAGCAACCATGAGGCCTAAAGTGAAGTGGAGAAAACGTAAAGTGAACTGAGAAAAATGCAATTTGAAGCACAATCAAATGAGTTATTCGAGACGGAAACTCCCATAATAGCACCAAAGAGAATAAATACAGTGACCAAATCATACACAAAGACAGTGTTGATGTTCCTTCTTCAAAAGCTAAGTATTCTCCAGATGAAATAAAGGCTCTTAAGAAACGAACGGACTTTCCAAATCGAGCAAAACTTCCGAACGCAAGGTTCGCATTTTGCCACTCCCGGTCTACCGAGTTTGTGCGGACTCCCAATGTTCTTGGCTCTTCACTGTCAAACGGCTTTTTAGTAAGAGCGTTCAGTAGGCTCGTTTTTCCAACCCTGGAGTCACCCAGTATCAAACACTGGCCATTAAAAACAAACTGACTGTACTCCTCTTCATTTTGATGTTCATTTGGAAAATCAAGGTCTCTCAATAGCCTGTCGCATTGCTGCTTTTCTTCCGGTGAACCTTGATCAAGTTGCAAGCCAGCCATCAATTCAGCAGCAGTTCTTGAAGTGTGGTCGTCAGTTATGGTTAACTGGGTAATGGTCACAGCCATTTTGAAATAGAAGTCTGTTCATGTGACAAAATCACATCTGTGTTCACATGCCTCAGCCCACAGTAAGTAGAAATCTCGAAGGATCAGGAAAAAAGTCAACGAGTATTACTTTTAGTTTGAGATCATTTTGAAGAATTACAGACTATTACAACGGCATCCTCACCTACAGGCTGAGGCACTGGGCCCGAATGCTTGGGAGTTGTCTTAGGGCGGAGTGGATGCTGGTGAATAAATGGTATTATCGGACGTACCGCGAAAAGCGTAACAGAATTACTTATTTTTTCCGGGTGCCATATATGGTGCTGGTAGTTGGTAGAATTTCTACAGTGACGTCACTTTCCTACAAGCAAAGAGGCATGGCTGCTAAGCTGATTTAATGCGCGGGCCGCGCGAAATTGAACTGCTGATTCCGTCGGCGGATTTATCGGCAGAAGTCGGAAATGGCGGATGTTTCTGCGAGTTCTTCTGCTAGTGATAATCCCAGGGTATGTATTCATTTGATATTTATGTTATCTTCGGCATTTCAATGTTTCAATTTTTAAGCTAAGCATACCTACTGAAAGCTTGAACTGAATCGTATTCGACTATTCCAGTCGCTGTTTTCGCTCGATATAGTCGCTCTCCTTGTCACCATCTCCGAAACTTATCGTTCGAAACTTATCATCTTCGAAATTTATCGTTCTTTTTCCCAATAACTTTCAGCTGGAATTTAGTAGGAGCCCTGATAATACTTGCGTTTCGTACGATTTTCGACTGTGAAGTGTGAAATTAATCACAATCGCCACTTTTATCTGTATCAACGCTACAGAAACTTTTTTGTTTTGCTTGTAAGATAACTGTGACGACGCTTCAAGTATTCGTGAATCTTTTGTATAACTGATGTCTCTCGAGTGAGATTACATGTTGAGTATCAATAATATGAGGGCATACATACGCGGACTTTACACGCATTTTATGCATATGTAAGTATTTCTCGGCTTTATACGAATTACCCTTTATACTACTTATGTACAAATCAAAACAAACAACCAAAGGTATTTCACTACAAATATCCGTGCATAATTTTTAGCCAAATGTAGGCTATTGTGTTTACTATCCTTCATTTTACACAATGCTTGACCAGCAGGAAAACTTCCTGAGGGTGGATCACAAAATGGCAATTCCGGCCCACCCCAGTTGGAGCGAAGTAATCAGAGGAAAAACCAAAAACACGGAAACAAACATATGCAAAGGGACACAATAAACAGTTTTGCTTTCACCAGACTGGAATAACATTAATAACATGCATGTCTTTTCATTTAGTTAACATTTACCTAGAAACCTTATTGTTAAAGCCTGTGCGGAGTCCTTGGACGCACCGGAATTATACTTCTAGTTTTATGCGTTTTCAGCGCTTTCAGTTAAGTCTTGTGTCTTAAACTTTTCTCATGCTATCCTAGCATTCCTTGTGGGTTATTGTGCTAGTAAACCCCCAGGTTTTGCTTTGCAATGACCAGTAATTTGCCAGTGGTTTTTAGGGGGAGGAGAGGAGAAAGCAAGTGATCACTTTTATATTAATAGCTAATATGTATCATGCTTTCCTCATTTTCCACATGGAACAGTTTTCGTTTGTTTTCAACTAAATCATTTTATATCATAGATGTTGCCTGAAGAACCAATGTCTGAAGAAGAAGAAGAACAGGAAGAAGTGGAGGTACAGCTTTATGTACTTTAATTGTAATAAGTGTGCACAGTGGTTGCATCTTAGTTTGTGAATTAAGTTTGTGAGACATATAACCACTGAAATGTTATTGCATTTCTGTAAAGAAGAGTCTTAAAAATGATGTGAGCAAAGGTAGTATGGTTGCATTGTAACTTGTACTGCCGAAGTTAAGTTTAGATTTATAATGACTGTCAGTGGGTGGATAGACTTGTTAACCTTCCTTGAGATTGTTGAATGGTGATCAAGTATTTTCTTTGACAAATTTGACTGAATGCTATTACACTTGGGGCTCTCTTACCATTGTGACAAGTTACTACACTTGTGCCTTCAACAATGGTGTGTTTAATTCAGTGTGTAGGCTTCACTGTTCATTTGTACATACAATATAATTTTAAAAGCACTTAAAATGGAGCAATAAATTTATCGTCATCTTTTTGTGCTGCTTATTTTACAGAATTCATCAGCATCTGAATATGAAGATGCTTCTGATTCAGAAAGTGATGGAAATGATGAGGTAAATTATTTTTTCTCTACATATTCATAACAATATGATGACTACAGGTTGTTTAAAAAAATCAACTAGAAACACTTTCAGCTCTGGATTTCATAGCTACATGTACATACATTAAGTGGTTTACGTTTGGCTTTTTTCATTACAAATAATATTCTTGTCTTGTTTATCAAAGTTCTTAAAGTCTTTTGTTTTTCATGAAAAAATTTTCTTTATTTCTGTTGACTTTTGCTCTAGCTATCTAGGAAATATGTGCCAAGTTGATTTCCTTGATGTCCAACATGACCTGAATAGCTTGCAGAATTGGTCCCTGACTGATAATGAGATTTTTTTCCAACCATCTAAATGTGTAAACCTCACAATAACAAGAAAAAGACAAAGGTTATATAGGTTAATGGATAAGGATCTTAAATTTGTCTCTTCTGCAAAAGACCTTGACTTCACTGTCTTGAAGGACTTGAAGTGGACTGCACACATTGCTCAGGTGGTTGCAAAATCTAAAAGAATGCTGGGATTCCTAAAAAGGAACTGCTTGGGTGACCTCAATAAGGATCTCTGAAGCTACTTTATATCTCTCATGTGTGCTCTAACCTGTGTTATGCCTCACAGCTTTGGGCACCACAATCTCCTACATTGATGCTAGAATTAGAAAATATCCAAAGGAGAGCTACACTTTTTATCTTGAACCTTAACCTCCTACCTCTCAACTACTGGCTGGAATATCTTGATTATTATTTCTCTACAAGTGTATTTATGGAATTATTGTTATTAATTTAGATAACTCTGCTCAATTTTGTTGTGGGTGTTCCCATTGGGGATCTTCTGGGCTTTTTCTCAACAACAAAACTGCTAAAACATCTCTTTTCCATGATTCCTTCTTCATCCGAATAACAAATCTGTGGAATGCATTACCTATCGCTATAAGATCAGAGGTAAAGTTCCTTTTAAGAAAAAGTTAAAATGGTTTTTTATGATAGACTAAGTTCAATGTTCAATCATTATGATATTTGTTCTTATGAGTTAGTCTGTCTGAAGTGTCACTGTGCCAATACTATAACATGTTGTTCTTGTTAATTTCTCAAAATTTTTTTTTTTTTTCATTATTATTTTTATCAGGGTTCCAGGGAAGGGTTGTCAATTTTTAGGGGAATGGTTAGGTGGTGGGTTTACTTAGCAGGGTACCCAAGGTTCTATTGTATGCCCACCTACCTCAAGGCGAATTTTGTAAATAAATAAATAAATAGCAAATAAAATAAGTTAATTTTACTATTCACTGCTTTCAACAGGTCAAGATTCGATGTTTCAATACGTCATGTTTTTAGAGTCCACCCATTTAAAAACATATTCATTTTTAAACACTGCATGTTTTTTCAGTCAATTTATATAAGTTATAAAAATACTTCACTACACTTAATGGGTGATTTCAGTGTAAAACTGAACCTCTGAAACTCATGCAGAAAAAAGAAATTAGATCCACATTGATCGCATTCTTGATTACCTTTGGCTTGATTTTGACTTACAATTTACAGTAGCTTGGGTTTGGACATGTACTGCATTATGATCATGCCAGGATAATTTTATATCTGAGGTACAAAATCGATTTATTGCAGTTTTTTTTATTTTAAATTTCCTACTTTATTTCTTTTCTTGTGCACAGGACAGTGAATTCATGGACTTTCTATCTAAGCTAAGGGGATCAACTGAAATCAAAGCAATTCTCAACAGTGATGGCCACTGTTCCATTCCAAGAATAGTGGAAGATTATGAAGCAGTTGTTGGGATAACAGCCATCACTGATACCAGAAAGGAGGGGCCTTCATCACTTCACACGTTGCCATTTATTAACTCCTTGAGGGAAGTGTCCTCTCAACTGCAAACATTTCAGGCCTCTCCTGAGACTCCAGATGGAACAGCCTGTGGTTCAGCGCTGAATGCTGCCCGTCAAATTTTGTATTGGTCGTCTGTTTTTATTTCAATGATGGAGGCCAGCAATACAGGGCAGCCTACATGTACCGTATCATTATCCACTTCCACATCATCCACATTGTCAACACCAACATCATCTACATCAGTGTTAGCTTCACCAACATCATCTGCATCAACATCATCTGCATCATCATCATCTGCATCAATATCATCTGCATCACCATCATCTGCATCAACATCATCAACATTGGCATCATCTAGTTTGACACCATCTGTATTAACATCATTTACCTTGACATCTTCTGTATCCACATCACCTACATCATCTAGGTCATCTTTATCCAGTCATAACCCACCTGCTACAACTTGTGCATCTTTGTTGTCAAATGTTATTCCACTATCAGTGCAACCTTTATCCTCATTTAATCAGCAGTCTTCCCGCTCAGTAGTAAATCCTCAACCTTCCACTTCAGATACTCTGCCATTTGGTCAGCATTCTCTGTCATTTCCTCCAGTTTTTTCTGCTACTGGTTGTACAGCGTCTCCGTTTTTTCATGCTCAGCTATCTTCATCAACTCCACTCCTACCTTCCACATTATCTGGACAACCTGCAACATTGCCTCCTCAAGCTCCCTCTATCTCATCCTTGCCAGTGGAAGTCACACCATCACCATTACAACAAGTTTCATCATCTTTAAGCCTGTCACATCCGTCATGTAGTCAGCCTTCATCTTCACAGTCAAGTGTCCATAATTATTCAATTTCATCTATATTCTGCCCAGTCATTTCATCCACTGCATCCACTGCCTTGCAGACATTTCATCAAAATTCTCCTGCTCCAGCTCTTCAGCTATCTTCACCCTCAGTTTCATCTGTTTTGTATCATCAAGTGCCACCAGCATGCTCTTCTGTGGTATTAGATTCTGTGACTCTTAACATCCATGCCAAATATGGTCTTCCTGGTCAATCCTGTTTAGACTGGCTAAATTCATTAACAATTCCAAGAAATGTTGAAAGTCTGGAGCAAGTGAAGGAGATCTGGGAGCTTGGAAGCCAACATTGTCCACCATTAAGAGATTGGACTGTGCTAATGAGGAACTTTAAGTCATCCAAAGGACGAAATACTTCCATTTACAGTCAACGTAAATTTATTTATTTATTATTTCAACGTCATGGGTTTGATGTTAGCAGCATCTCTTCTCAGTACAATGAAGTTAAACCTGGTAAACTATACAAACTTTTAAACACTAGTAAACAAAATTGATGAATGTTGTTCCTGAAATCATTGACTACATTTTAATTCCTATCAATAAGTTAAAGCCTTGTATAAGGAAGCTGGTGGCCAACAAAATTTCCCTGCTTTCCTGCATGAATCTTGACTGGTTACTTTGTTACTGGTTGTTTTCAAGTGCCGTATTTGTAGGAGTGCTTAGCAATAACTGGTCAATTTACCTGGCAGTTTTCTCGATGTACATGTAAATATATGCCTGCAGTTCATTGTGGTAGTTTTGCTCAACATTTTATGCATGAAAAGTAGCATCTTGAAGTTTAATTTTCATGTGGCTTCTCAATACTTGTTATTGGTTTTACTGGCCAGTATTTCTGCCGTTTCCTCCACTTGCTTCTTGCTCGGCAGTGAACGAGAGGAAATTAACGTAAAATTTGAGATACTTATAGTTTATCGCATTGTTGTTTTATAGTAATAATCTTTAAAAAAATTTTCATAGGACAGATATTGATTATTCCCTATTGTAGCTATTCAGTGTGCAACATTTTTGATGGAACACTTAGTGAGATCTACATGTGTAGACCTTAATACTTCTCACCCATGGATCGAAATACATTTCATTTGATTTATTTCAAAAAAGGAAAATGCACGACGCATTCCATTTTAGTTTTTGCATGGAACTCCTCTGATTCTCTGGAGGTGCTGTCATGATTTAAATGAAAACTATTTCAGGCCCTTATTTGATCCACTTCAAATGTACAAATACCTTTCTTGTAAGACCTTCGACGCATGGAAGTAACAATTTTACTCTGACATCATACAACACCATTTATACTGTTTCCATCTCTCCCTCGTTTCCATTTTCCCGTTCCTTCTTTCGCTTTCCCTTTCCTTTTCCCTGTCCTTGTTTGTCTCCCTTTCTTCCCAGGTTAGGGTTAAAGGCCGCTTGGTGTCTCCAAAGAGGATCCAGAATGTCGGCCTATCTTATTTCCCTAAAAATAAACATTTGTTTTCGATTTTAGGAAACAAAAAGAACCTTTTCCATTTGTCGGCTTAAGAGGTTCTTGAAGTTAAAGGCTAAAGAGGTTCTTTAGCTTAACAGGATCTTAATCGTGGGTTATGTTACTGGGCGTCTTTATACGCGTTTAGCCGTCGCATTTGCCCGCTGGAATACTATGTTGTTTTAGCGCGAGGACAAGAATTCCAACTTGCAATTGTGACGGCAATGCGCGTGTATTGCAAGTAAATACGCCCGTTGTATCGACTATTGATTGAGGTTGTTATAAAATAATCGTCCTGTACGGGCGGTGGAATGCATATTGCTTACACCTTATTGCATTGACGTCAATACCAAAGCAAAGAACCAAAATGGAGTTAGTTAAATGATAATACGTTTCAACACTAACAACCGTCTATTGCTGCTAATTAATATTGCAATTGAAATAAATAATTAGCATAAATTAAAAGTTTTTCTGGTGCCATTTTCATGCGCAATACTGATTTATCTAGCTCATTTCAATTAAAATAAGGGAATGTAGATCACGTGCCTAATTACTTCCTGTCGTTGTTGTTATTTTTTTTTTTTTGTGTTTTGCTTGTATCTTTTTCCTTTTTGAAATGACAACGTTACGACGATTAGATGTCTTTCACAACGTAGAGTTTTGTCTGGATCCGCATGGCAATCGTTAAACCGTTTCACCCGACTTAATTTCTATTTCCTTGGCTTGCATCGTCCTTGTCGCCAGAGCCGCTTGTCCTTCTTAGCCGGCTGAGCCCGTGCACGAGAATCTTGGCCGGTTTTACACAAAAAGAACGGCCAATCAAAGGAGCCGTCGTAAAATTACTTTGTTATACAGGAGTTTGAAACTGTTGCTTCGACTGGCTCGATTTTAAACTCCCTTTCAAATCCGGCCGACCAAATCATGTGTCCCGAGAACCACTTGTTTCTCGTGCACAGGCTAAGAAGGACAAGCGGCTCTGAGGATCAGAATGGGCCTGAATATCATTGTGAACAGGCTGTTTGGTCAAGAACGTCTTTATTCCATCTTTTAATTCATTTAATGAACGATCGCAAAATGCGATACATCTACTGACCACCAATTGCGTTTTCACGTAATATGTGTTGTAAAAAGTAAAGGCTATAGTCCATACTTTTTATTCCATATATTGCGTTGACGCAATTTGTGGTTCTAGTAGATGTACCACATTTTGCGATCGCGAAGAAATCTTACTATTCTTTTTACCAGGTTTTGCGTTATTACAAACTGTGGTATGAAAAGTATGGACGGTATAGCCTTTACTTTTGAAACCACAATTTGCAATAACGCAAAACCTGGTAAAAGAACAGTAAGACATATTTTTAAACCGGAGAACGAACCTCGAAAAATGTGGTACATCTACTAGAGCCATATATAAATCGCGTTAACGCAATATATGGTATAAGTAGTCTTCCACCCAATTTAGCTGAGGTCCTACTACTTAACTGATCAGTAAAGGGACTGATCCAGAACGCCAGCATCCATAGCTGACGGGCTCATTTTATTTATTCTGTTCTGTTTTCCTTTCATTTATGGGCAATTGAGAACAAGTTTCCAAACGTAATTGTGTATAGGTATTGTAATTTTTCTCAACGATTAAACTTTAAACGCGGAATATGGGACTTCTAGTATAGTTTGCGGCGACTCAATCTTGGTCTGATTAATGAAAGCCATGTTTCGCGATCAGATTCTTATAGCAAAAGATGGGGTTTTGGTATAAAACACATTTTGCGATGTTTCAATCTGTGTCTAATTAGTGAAAGCCATATTTTGCGATGAAATATTTAACGCGAAATGTGGGATTCTTGTATAAAACGTATTTTGCGATGTTGCAAACTGCGACTTCATTAAACGCCACAGAATGCGACACCTCAAAATATGGTTTCTTGGTGAGCACGATTTTCCAAATTCGCGAGACACAAACACTCCACTGGAAAATTAATTTTGGTTCTTGACGAATTTTTCGGATAAGGTACTTCTGGGAACCCAGGTTTTGCGATATCTCAAACTATGGCACATTTTAGGAACACATTTTGCGATAACTCGATCTGTGTCTTATCGATGAAAACCATGTTTTGCAAACAAACTTTAAACGCAAAATATGGGATTCTGGTGCAAAACGCATTTTGCGATGATTCAATCTGTGGCTCATTTAACAAACGTACAAAGATTCCCTCGTTTTGATTTTATGGCGATTTCTGATTTCTTACTTTACTTTAATATTTGGGAGGTAGTCATGTTGCGAATATACCTCTACGGGATCATCACGTAGTAGTGGTGAAGTGGTTCGTGTGCCTCTATGAACCCATAGAGGTATGCCGGCGGTAGTCTCAATAATATATTTATACAGGGTAACCCTACAGTACATGAGCATTGTTATTAAAGGGTCTTTTGGGTAAGGGGCTATAACCAGGTGTATTTTTTGCTTCCAGGTATAAGGGCCTATAATAAGGGGAACTTGAGAAAGGATTCGAAGAGAAACACGTCAATACAAATGGGTGGGGGCAATACAAGAGAGCGGAGCGTGCAACTGCGGTAGAGAGGACATAATGGGAAAAGAAGCACTAGAAGAGATCGATGAGAATGAAGACATTCATTGACTGCTGCGCCTTCAATGATTTGTCCATTGAAGGCTCCTTCTTCCAACACAAGGAAATACACAAAGTAACATTACCTACACCTGCCTTCACCAGTACAATCAAATGGATCACATCACAGTCTCAAAGAAGTGAAAAAAACCTTTTTGATGTTAAAGTCACAAGAGGATCGGATGTTGACTCTGATTATCACCGTGTGATTGGAATGTTTGAGATGAAGCTTGCTCAAGAGTATAGTGACGACAGCAGAAGGTATTAGTCAGAGTGGTTTTAATATAGTCAACTCTCTCTCTCCCTCTCCAGTACCCCTATCACCTATGCTTGCTAAGTCATTCCTCTAAAAGAGAGTGGTACATGGTAAACCATTTATATAAACCATGACAAACTCCATGTATGTATATTGAGTAGGACTGGAACACTATACTACCCGTTCAAATCCTAGCACAAAAATAATGTTTAAGTCTCGAAAAAAAAATTTAGTTAATAATTAATGACAGTTGATTTAACAATCCAGCAACATAATATTATTGATGTTTCTTTTGAATTTCCTAGATTTGTGGTTGGTGATCTACAATTACATCAAAACTGCTTCTTTTTTATTTTATTTTTCATTCCCAGGAAAAAATAAAAAAATTATTTAGGTATGAAGTTCAGAAGAGCTGATGTCATTAAATGTTTTGCAAAGAATTACCAGCAATATTTAATCGAAGATGGAGTCAGATACAGTTAGCCTTCACAAACAAAACATTACAAAAATGATATATAAGACAACTAAATCACATGACTATTTTTAGCTCAAATGATTTATTGCAAGGCTTGATGAAAAGAGTGGTATTAAATGAATCAAAGACTTTCTATTAATAAATGAAGTGAAAATCATTGGGAAATCATTCTGTTTCTTTCTAAAAAATTGCATTGGCTTGAATACTTCCCAAATTTTCTTCCTTGCCAGCAGGTCATTATCACACAAAGAAAAGCCAAACTTCCTCTGCCTGTGTGCTGTTAAGAGATTGCTATTGTTAACTGTTTTATTTGGGAAAAGATCTTAATATAGTGTACTAGTGTACCATTTTAATTAGTTAGTAAGAGCAATATAAAAAAAGATAGTGAGCCAAAGTGTACATTTTGTCAACAATCATGTCAGTCTTCCTCAGATCCAGTGAATAGTTCTTCACTTTCATCTTTCCTGCTGCTGCTGTCATTTTCACTGTTGGCATCTTGTTCATCTTCATCATCAACTGGAAAATCAACGTCTGACATCAGATTTGTGTAGTCCTCACTATTATCACTGCATTCTACTCCATCACCAGAGTTCCCATCATTACTGTGGTGATCACTGTCATCATCATCATCATGGTCATTACCATTATCATCTGCTCCCTCCAGCATCATTTCTAACACATCAAGGAATGGTGATGCCAAGCTGCAAGAATTAATTTAAAAATGATTTCAGAGGACCTTAACATGCATCCATTTCAAGTGAATCTCTTTCAACTATACAACATGACATCGAATGTGTTTGATGGAGACTATGAAAATCCATCAAAGTGTACAATAATGGCTGTGTTCCAGAAAGAGCATGGGCCTGCTAACAAGCCAAGTTTTCCAGGGTTGGAAACTTAAATTTGGGAACAGGCCAATCCTCTCACTTTCTGTGCTCTTCACACGATCTGCACTCACCCAATCTCAGTCTAATTCATAAAAAAAAAATAATCAGACTTAATATAACTTAATGACATCACTCAAAAGAACAATTTGAATGCAGTTCAGTCAGGGAACAAAATCAAACACAGAACTTTTTTTAAAGTTCGCTGACCAAACCAATCAAACCAAAACATACTCGATCAAAACAATTCAAGTGATCATGGTTTTCTTCTTGGGGGAGGGGGAGGTTTGATTTTGTTGTATGGCATTTGCAAACTCCATCAAACTCAATCAAACTCAATCAAAAGAAAGAGTTTGATGGAGTTTAGAAACCAAAAGTTTTCATGGAATAGTCTGGGTTTGTGTCTCAAAGGTACAGAAAAAGAAATATATAAATTTATATACTTGCTGTCTTGTTTTTATCCTACAGTCTAGACAGACTTTTCTTGTATTATTTGAAAAATTTTATTGCTTAACTTTTAAAACCAGTAAAATTTTTATTTTTAGTCTAAACATCATGTGCATAAAATAATTTACCAGGCTTAGGAGGTTTTTTGTGTTTTCATGAAATGGGCGACTGAAATGCTTAGATCTAATGCCTGTTCTGCAGGACAATAAATCACCCATCGAAAAAATTGTTCATGAGCCAAAGGATAATTACATGTTGAAATTGTATTTTTTTGTTAGTGAATCTGAAATACATGTGTTATTTAATGAAGTACAACCAGAGGTTTTCAAAGATTGTGATTTTTACCCTGTTGAACTGTGACACCCTCAAGGCCATATTACACAATGCTCACAATTTCTGTTTGCAATAATATGCAAAAGGCTGCAAATTGCATGTTTGACATGTCACACACAACAACTTGTCTGGTAATGTTGAGAAAAGTAGAGGACAGTTCTACTTTTTGTGCAACTTGCAAACCAACATTTTGCAGCATTGCAGGTTGCCAAAATGGGGTGATTTTATTGAGGCTCAGGGAGCCTTAGTATGGTAGGTATGTACCGTATGTATGTATGTATGTATGTATGTATGTATGTATGTATGTATGTATGTATGTATGTATGTATGTATGTATGTATGTACGTATGTACGTACGTACGTACGTACGTATGTATGTATGTTTGTATTTATGTAACATGGCCTTCATTACAAATCATAAGCCTAATACTGTATACTACTGTATACTGTTGGTATGTTGGTATGTTGGTATGTACGTATGTACGTACGTACGTACGTACGTACGTATGTATGTATGTATGTATTTATGTAACATGGCCTTCATTACAAATCATAAGCCTAATACTGTATACTACTGTATACTGTATGAATAAGCAACTTACTCAGGTCTAAAGTGCCCAAATTTTGGGAAATCGTGCCTCCTCCGCGAACAAAATCTGCATCTACTTTGGCAACGCCAACATCTGGCCAACGTTTTCGTCCTGACCCTTTCCTCCTCCTCGTCAAACCACTCTAGCCTATCCACCAACAGGGACGGTACCACCGGGTTATCGTCTTCCCTTATTAATTGTTTCGATTTCATTAGTTTTATTCGCGAGGACACCAACGTTAAGAGTTGAGGCGATGGCGCCTCGCCTGGTTGCCATCCTCCCAATCTTCCAGGGGAGATGTCCTTCAGCTGCTTCTTCGTATCCTCGTTTGCGGTTTCGATCAGCTGGCCAAAGAATGCGCTCACCCCTTCTAACACCGGGTTTCCTCTAACCTTATGCCCCGCTCTCAATCCTGCCTGACAGGCAAAGGTATAAATTGCCACATCTAGCAATTCTGTCAGCTCTTCTGGAAGGCGCTTTTTCGAACCTGTTGTCCCAGACGAAGATGTAGCACACGACGCCATTGAGAATTTCGACGAGATGTTATTTTCCTTCGTTGTCGATTTTCAATATTCGCACCTCAAAGAGCTCGTTTTCTGATTGGTGCGGGAATAGGGGTGCTTTGTTACCATCATTGATTGTCCCCATCCAAATATGGAAGTCAATGAAAAGGCCGGAAATAGGAAATAAATCACGAGGTCACAAGTTTTTGCCTGGGTCAGAGAATCTGTATAAATGTCAATGATTGTCAGTGGCCAGTTGTTAATATACGATTAAAGATGCCTTCCTCTAACCCGCTATCATTCCTGCGTCCTCTGTACGATATTGCTGTGTGGCAATTTATTTTGATGAGCGGCTACAAGGCAATTTCAGGAAGGGAATCACCCCGTAACACGCACATAAAGTTCACATGGAAAATGCACGAGGTCGTGGCTAATTTTTTATGTAAACTGTTAGAGGTACGTGCCTTCGATCACTTGCAATCACAGCTGCTTGGTGAAGAAGTAAAATCGGCGACTGGAAATTGGGAAGTTGGACAAATAGCAACAACCAAACTGGTCGAATGGTGTCAGGATCAGTGGCGGAGAAAGGATCCCCGTCTTCCTGGGAGCAATGCAGCTTACTCCGAAAACGAGCCGTTAACGATACCATGGTTCGATAACATCCCCGTGTGTCATCGGTGCGGGGTGCCATGCCCAAGCTGCAGAAATGAACTCGCTTCTGAATTACCCTCCGAGATGTCCACAGCCCGGGCTATTTTAAACTTCGATGACATCCACGAGAACAACCAAAACGCGGGTGATGATGAGAATGCTGACAAGAACGATGACGAACGTGGTAATGAGCAAGGTGGTAACGCACCCAAGGAACCCGAATACTGCCCTGCAAGTCCTCAGATGCGAATGCAGTTGAGATCAAGGAAAAGGAAGCATAATGCCTCCAACTAATTTGGTTCAAACAGTTCTTGCTATATTTCGATGAAAACACGTTCAAACGCTTTTTTTACGTTAAAATGCTATGCGAATCAAAAAGGTGATTTTTTTGTTCGACATTAAAATGTGCGCAGTGGGTTGTTGTTCCTGAGATGCGTCGCACGCATAAAAAAAGAAAGGGATTGCTTGCAGCCTAGCATTGCATATTTTTATTACTTCATTCAGTTTATTGCTATTTGCTCAAGTGGTCCTAACATTGTTAAAGTTAAGCGAAAGATCATTGGGATGTTCATTTGAGGCTTTGCAGAAAATACAGAAAATAGACCGATAATACAACCTTGTATCCAAGCTAGTGAAACGCTGTTTAAATCGACAAAGTTTTACAAGTTTGGGTACTTCAATAATCATTTATATCAGAGATACTGTACTGGTCAAAGAACCTCTTTTGTTGTAATATCTATATAGACAGTGACCAATCACAACTAGAAACATTATGCTAAATATTGTAACATCCATCTGTAAAATTACTAATAAAACAAGGTTATGTTCAGATTTGTAACTCTAAGATGATAGCATTAAAATTTTAAGTTAATTAAGTTTTAACAAGATTTAATAAATCCCAAAGTCTTGCCCTGAATAATTAGTTTATGCCAGTGACTATAATATATCAGCAGCCAGCACCACTTTGTTACAAGCAATAACATTACAAAAGGCCTAAAAAAATTGAAGAGGTACACTTGACTTGTAATGTAACATAAAATTCACCTTGTGCCAAAATGACCCACACATGACAATAAGAGTGGAAATTGAATCTGGCACAACACGATGAGCAATTATGGTAACTGATTTCTTTTTGGAAAAATGTTATGTTAAAAATAAAATTTATGTAGAATGTACAAAAAATTCTTGGGAACGGACAATTATTGAACTTAAACATTATTTTGCAAACATGGAAAATTTTTTACCAATATTTCATTTGTAAATTTTTGCAACTTGATGTTATTGTTATTATAAAATCATTATAATATCATTATTTTTACTCATTTTTTGCTAATCTGTTACTGTTCTAACATCATAGTAACAGTTTTCAATTCACTGATACAGACAAACTTGTCATAAACAGACCCCATTGGGACGAGTGAATGCGTCTGCTTAAGAGGGAGGTCCATTTTTTGGGAGGTCAAAAATGTAGTATTTGTACATGGCTGGGACCACAACTTACTGTCTGCTAGGGGCAAGTGTCTGTTAGCAGAGATTTGACTGTAGTTGGGCAAATTACCATTTCAAATGTAGTAATACATTTATAATGAAATCCATTGCTTACTCTTCAGAGTACACAGTGATAAGAAAGCATAAAATTTTAATCAGCCACCTCAAATGGCAAAGCTAATGACAAGATCTATACTTTTCAAAGGATGCATTTAACAATGAGAATCCACAAGTACTTTTTTGCAAAAGGGCCATGAACTACCGTAGAGGTTTAAACATCCACATTTTATGATCAAATATTGATTTCCATCATGTTGTTCCTTTATCATTTCTGCTCTAGCATCTTGTGTGTACAGTTCAAAGCTACTGGATTTCCTGAAAGAAAGGAAAACCGATAATCAGTCAAGCCAAAATGATTATTCTTCATTGACACATATTTTTTTTACACAAGAATCTCACTGCAAATACGAGAATACAATAAAATGAAGTAAGTAAACGGACAGTTGAATTTCAACAATGAGCTAACCAACTGAATGCAATGGAACAATAAAAGAAAGAAAAGGGGCTTCCAGTTTACTTAAGGCTGGTTTACAATTATTCTGGGATGAGCACAAGCATAAGTGCAAGTATAAGTGCTAGCATAACCACAAAAGGTGTTCACAGTTGTGATAAGCACAACCTTAGACACCATGCACAAGTGCAGTGTTTTCACAATTCTGATGGATACTGCATGATAAGAGATAGGTCAACTACCAAAGTTGTGCTTGTCCTTGAGCTTATTTCACCTTGGTTCCACCTTGTGAAATAAGCATAAGCACAAGTAAAAGAAAGTGTTTTTGTGTGCTTATTCCTGTGCATGTTTCACCTTGTTGCACATTGGCATTTTCTTGTCACAGAACTGAATCCCTTTTAAACCTGAAACTTTTGTTACTTTTAACAGAATACTTGATTATTCACTTCATACATGAATTAAAAAGTGCATTTTGCTTTTTACTTGAAGATAAGAAAGCTTTTCTGGCCTCATAACAATAGACCAAGATTTTTGCACGTCACTAATATAGACATCTTGCCCATTTTAAAATGATAATGTAATGATGCATTACATCTACATAAACTTTATTCAAACTATAGAATGATACAATCTTCTGTTTTATTTTGTCATCTCATGAATTTCATGATACACTGCACTCTTGGCTGCATAAAAAAAAAAAAAAAAAAAAAAAGGCTTTTTTCACTTGTGTACATGTAAGTTTGAACATAGGTTTTTTAATTCACATGTAACATACCATCTCCCTGCTCTTTTTATGGTACTATCATCTGCCCCACAACGAGCAGCCCATCGAGCTGCTGATCGTCTGATGCTGTGTGTCGTGAATTCCTTCTCAAAAAGAGCCTTGGACATCTAAATAATATTGAAATTCAGGAAATTAGTTTAAGTAGCTGAATGAAGCGTGTATTCTGGCTGCTTCTCCTAGCTGATGGTTATCTAACAGCATGAACAGATACAGTTTTTTAACTAAATTAGTTACAGATAAATTTAAACTGTATACATCGTACCTCAAGAAAGGTTTTCCTGTAGGTGGTGACCCCACGGGCACAGTTTCGCAGGACAGCACGGTTATTTTTCCCAACCCTTGGGAAAAGGTAACCCCCACGAATATCTTCAGTCAAATATGAAAATAATATGATCAGTTTTTGCTAGACAAGTTCATTTTGAAAGATACCAAATGTATACAACCAGGAAAAAAAAATGCTATTTGCAAAGTCAGTGAATAACTAAATTAAAGTGTAAGGAATCTGTAGCCAAGGGTCAAAACCCTCTACTAATGGGGGTACTTGATGAGTTGATGAAATTTGATGCCTTTTCTACAAATGGATGGCCATTAATACAACTTGAATGGGAAGGTCACATACAAAAGATCAACTTAGCAGGTGCTCAAAATTCTGAAGGTGATTAAAAGCATTTTTTAAACTAGTTGCTTTTAAGACATGAACTTTTCTTATGTAAACAACACCACTATAGAGCAGTATAAATATTAAAGGGGGGTCCTCCCCTAAATCCACCATTACATGGTGAAAGCTCGATATTGCAAGTGAATAGTGGAATTATGGGGCTCAAGGGAAACTGTGGGCAAAGTTGCTGGCAGGACACCTGACTCCTTGCAGCCTGGCTGCTCCATTTGAAAAAAAAAAAAAAGCAATTGGTTGAAAAATCCAGCCAGCTATGCAAGCCAAAAGTAACCACCCTGGGAATTCAAAAATGTGGTCATAACTATAAATGGTTGCTTGCAAAAATGGAAGGCTAAAAACAAAGGAAAAGACTAATTGGTAGTTCACAAAAACAGATGTGCTTGGACCCTATGACAGCTTTAATTGCAGAATTTGTATAATAATTAAAACAGGGTTTACATAAGGTGTAGTGGCAGTAACCAGAGCTGGTTGCTTAGGAGAGGTTGCAAGGAGTGCTTTGACTGTGTTAAAATGCTGTGGTTCAATTTTATTTCTTGATTCAGTTTTGATTCATCATTGCTCCCTTATAGGTTGATAAATGTCAAACAAAGAGAAATACAAATAGAACCAAGGATAATGTTGAACTAAAACACAAAATTCAAATAAATTCTTTACAAACCTGCTACAAGTAACCATGCAATAAGAGCAGTCACAGGGCACAACTGTTTGTTGAAAGGGTTACTCCACAGGGTAAGTGTAACACCTGAAATCAAATGATTGATGATTAGAATGGTAAAGCCCGCCTCAAACCCTTCCAAACCAAACCTTTTTGTAGGGTTTTTAGAGGTTATCTTGGGCCCCCTTAACAATACCTACAATTGCTACCATGATTTAGCAAGGTTTGATAACTGATCCAGGAACTCTAACACCATCGTCATTGCTTCCATTTACACTAAACAATTTGATATTTATATTGATGACTTTACCTAAGACATGAATAATGACAGCATGTTGTAAGAAAATATTTAAAAATCAGTATAAACTTTTTAAACTCATTAATAATTTATCATTGTTTCAAATGCAAAGAAGTTATTAAACACTCAAGACAGTGTTATATCATTTATCTGAACACCTTAAATTTCATCAAAAACACTCTGTTCCACGTCGTAGTGTGTAGTTCCATAAATTATCCCTACCTATCCCACAAAAGAGATTTTTCATAAGACCCTCACCCCCTAGAAATTCCAATTGAGCTTCATACATTTCCTTAAAAGGTTTTGGTCTCTGAGACCCCACCACCAAGAATTTCCAATCCCTTCTGTGGGGGTAGTTTGGACATTTTCTGGAACCACACATTTAGAGTATGACTTCATTAGCAATACTTTATGAAATATTTTCCACAGGGTGAGGAAGGATGGTGGAGGGAGGTTCAGAGACAGCGATGGAAGGGAGGTGTTTTAACTTTAAATTTCTACTTATACATCCACAGGCGGCCCAAGGCCGCCTGTGATACATCTAGTATAAAAAATAAACTAGGTCTAAAAAAAAAAATAACCTGGTTGGAAAAATGACCTAAGGCTAATTTTGACCTGTAACACATATATACCCACCTTTGGCTTTTCTATCTGCCTTTGACCATGGTATTTTTACCTCAATTCGCTTTGGCAATGTAATGGGATCACCTGAAAATAAGATATTATATTAATGGTCATTAACAATATTAATAAAACAATTCAAAAGCAGAAATTTATAAAAACAGATTTGTAGTAGTAATTACTTGCCCAGCCCTTTCAGATATCAAGTCAGGAGTAAAAATGTATACAGTAAATTATGAAATTGGCTTTTAAAATAAATTTGTGATAAATGTTACATATACTTCATTGTTGTGCAAGACAAGCTATACACTAATCATTACCTAAGGTGAAATTGGCAGGTAACCTCAAGTTCTTCAGCTTGAGACGAAGAGGTTCCTCCCCTCTCAGGAACAGTGCAAAGGAAAACAATGTAACAGTCCATAACCATATACCTCGTAAACCCTATGAAAGTAAACAATTTTTTATCATATAGATAGGTATTGTACTGGTGAATAACATAGCATTACCGATTAGAACTACTAGTCCATTTTCTCCTGAAACAAAAAACAGAGCTCATGGGCTTCCTCAAAATGATTATGTCTGACCCCTCCCTACCAACTAGTTATGCTCCCTCCTTTAATTTTATTATTTATTTCTGATTACCTCTATTGTATTAAGGCAGTATGCACGCATGCGCAGTAGCTGCTGAAGGGTAAATGGTGGTGCCTTCTTGGGCTCATAAGGCACCCTTCCATGCCGGGTGTCCTTAGCAGTAGGTCTTGTAGCCCTCTTCACAAGCTGCTTTATCATCTGAGTAACATCTATGACACATAGATAAAAAAATTATTCTAAACCAGCAGGTCTCTTTTTACACATCATTCCACAGGTGGCTGTGCTATTAATATATATAAACATAATAAATAAATTCACCTAGCCCTAAACAACTATTTGATAACTGTTCTAGGGTTAGAACACTATATCATTAACACACCGATCTGTGCTTGTGACTTAAGGAATGTGAATTGCAAATTAAAGCAACCTGCCTATTCAAAACTCTTTAACCCCTGAGGGTGACCAGCATCACATTCTCCTCAAAATATTTAAATAAATGGTTTACATACAGGAACTATTAAACAATAGTCGAAAGTGTTTCTGTCAAGGAACTATCTACTGATAGTTACCCCACAGAAATTTAATGTTCTTAAAACAAATATGAGCCCAAGAGGTTAAGTTGTGAGGGATAATATCCTAGTTTTAAGAACATCAAATTTCAAGGGCAACTATCAGACTGATAGTTGCCCCTTGGATATGTGCACCCAATTAAATATGAGCATTGTGAGTTAGTTTTTACTTTTCAGAATAAAAGACTCAATTGAAAGCTGAAATTTAACAAACAACAAAAAAAACCGACAACAAATACACTAAATACAGTGAATTTGGTTAGTTTTTTGGGGCTGTAGGCCCGCTTGTTTACAGGAAATTTCAAGGAAGGGCACTATCCATCTGAGCATTTTTCTGGGATAGGCACTATAAGATGATAGTGCCCTCCACAGGTAGACACTATCATTGATATATTAGCTTGATAAATGAAGCTTCAAGAGCTAACGTGCTAGATTTTAGAATATCAAATTTCCAAGAAGCAGCTATCAAACCGATAGTTCCAAGACAAGGCATGCCAATTTTAAAAACAATGACACTAAATTATTTTTTTAAATTTCTGGATGAATGATTTGAAAGCTGACATTTAACAAATGAAAAAAAATGAATGAAAAATGAAAAAAAAAAACCGGCAAGAGACCCACCAAATGCAGTGAGTTTAGTGGGGTTTTCCAGTCTGTGGATGACTTTTATCCATCCAGGTATTACCCTCTGACCAGTGCTATGGGCTGATAGTGCCCTCCCCAGATGAACACTATCAGCCAAACTATTACTAAACCAGTCAGAAGCAGAGAACATTCAAGGGTAAACTATATCATAGAGAGTAGAGACAACATTAAGCTCATGAAAATTAAGGAAATAGTCAATAAAACAGGAAGAGAAATGAGCATTTCCTTTTATATTTAACAGCATCAAGCTGATGTGTAAGACTATACATGAATCATTTTATAACCTACCAGGTGACGACATGGGATTTCCCTTTGGCACAACTCGTTGAGAGCCATCTTCAGCAGTAACAATGGCTTCGCTGTATTGCTCCGTGTGCCCAAACGCACAGAACCAATAATTAAAGATGAGTAGCACAATCACCATGCCCATAGGGGGTTGACTGCAAACTTTCAATGATTTCTTCTGTTTTACATTTTCATTGAAGCCAAATCTTTGCTTACAGGTAAAATTGTTCTTATTGATTATAGTAAAAGCAAAAAATCAGAAAACCACATTACTGTCTTTGAGAAAATATCCGTGAAAGATGAAAAATCGAGCCAATTTTGGTTGTAACGCGTAACACAATCTCAGTGGTAAAATTTTTTAAATACATTTTTCACTGAAAAGAAAGCTCGTTTGAGCAAACAAATTACACCTAATGATAACACACAATAAACACTACATTTGAGCAAAACTTTGACATTTCAAGTTTATTAAAACGCATAGAAAAGATTCATCATTCTTAAGTATCCTTTGTGTAACGCTGGGTTTCAGAATTTGGAAGTACACCAAGTTGTTGTCCGCAGAATGACTGAACTGGAATCCTGTGGGAACAAAAACACATTAACCAAATGCTCATACTTGGTGTTCTAAAATAGCGAAAAATCAGTCTAAAGGATTGACTATAAACGGAGAAATATCAGTGTAAAACAGTCGCTACGGTTTTGTAAAACCTGATTACGCAATAATATTTTTCATCAACTTACCTTCTCCTTCGCTAATATACTTCAAACACGGCAAAGTCAGGTTTCGAAATCGATTACACTTCAATGCTCATAAGTTTCTCTTGTCATTTCCAAGTTTTCGGGTCCATATCTTTAGAAACGGCCAAAATATTCACTTTTGACCAAGTCGCTACGCTTTTTACCATGTTGACGCCATATTGAGAACGGAGTCTCGCCACAAATGCCACCAAAAGCGCTATGAAATCTGCTGTTTGCTCCGCCATTTTCGCCTTCATCTTTTCATCTCCGTGTCGAAAATATCTTGGTAACCTTTCCTATTTTGGTTTCTGCGACGTTATCAAGGGTTGGGGGTCTTCAAGCTCAATAATTTTTCTGAGATTTAGCCATCTGTAAATATCGCTTCGAGTGTGTCGGGAAATGGTGCTCGCCGACAAAGGAAACTCTCGCGTATGAAGATTTTCACCAGATTTAATATTTCTCACGATTTACAGCTCTCACTTTGTGGGAACACGTCGTGGTATTCTCTCTCCAAAATTGATCTCATCTGTCTGTAATTCTATATTTTATCCTTAAGATGAATAGCCTATTGTTACAATCACCCGTTTCGCAATCAGTTCATGCACGTAACATAAAAGGGTAACACAACTCGCTTCCGGTCACGACAAGTGCGCTTGAAAAGAGATATGGTTAACGAAAAGGAAGAAAAGCTTGCGAGGATCAAAGAGTGGAGGAGGAAAAAGCAGGAAAAGAATAGGCTAAGGAATCTAAAATATAATGAAAAGAATCGCAAAAAGAGAGCTGAATTTCCAAGAGAAAAATGGTGATGTGATCTTCAAGTTGTAAAAAGAGGCAGAAAGTCAGTTTTTAGAGTGCCAGTTGATCTCACTAGGGAGATACTAGCCTCCATGTAATACAAAATGTTATTATTTCTACTTTTTACTGTGTCAGTGAACTCGAAATTGATTATTTGTGAAAAAAAACACACCTACAAGGGATTATGGGTAAATACAAATTTGAATCAAATGTGACAAAAATAAAATAGTTTGAAATAAATCAGTTGTAATAATAAATGTGAGTTTAAAACAGACCTAAAGAAGTGATTTTGTCCCAAACTAGCAATTTTCACATTTTCCATACATGTTACAGAAGTGGGTATGGTGATTGTGCTACTCATCTAAAGGCGGCTGCATAGCCCCTGATAACAGGAGGCTTGAGCCCACGACAACGTAATGTGCCAATTTTCTTCCCTTTTGTTTCACCCATCACCTCTGAAAAAAAAATGTTTTAAGATTATTATAAGCACATTTGCACATTTGCCTAAACTCGCACAGTTCTTATCTAATTGGGTATAGTTATAAGTTTCTTGAAGTCCAGAGTATTTCGTTTAAACTGACCTCCACACCATATATTCCTTGTCTTACCATCTAAAAACACGTTTATGTTTAAACCGACAGACCAAAAATAATATTTGCTTGCAGATTTCTCATGCCGAGAAAAACATAAGTTCGCATGGTTTTTGGTCTCCCTGCAGAAAGGCCTCAAAAAAGAGTGGCAGCTTTTATGAATTTCTCATAAGGAGCGAAATCCTTCTCATTCGTAAACAGTTAGACTGTTTACATTCCCTAAGGCCTGTTCCAAACGTCGTGCTACTGCCGTGCCGAACTCAAATGAATTTGGCTCGGCAGTGGCACGACGATAGCACGGCAGCGGTTTCAAACGTCGAACCTAATGCAGTCGCGCCAAATGCAAAAGACAAAACAAACCATCCATCCAGCGGTATCGCCCCATCCAAATTTGTTTAAGAAAATTTTAAATGCCAGAAGGCAACGCAGGCGAATGCAACAGTCCATATTGAATACTGTTATTGCAAGGAGAGGATTACTTTTGAAAGTTTTTTCATTTATTCTTCTTCTGGTTTCCCTTGACGAGAGCCAGCAAGTTACTGTATTACGATCGTGCCGGCGTTTCCAAACCCTAACCCTAACCCTAAGCAATTTATTGTCACCGTCGGATTCCTCTTCTCTCAAGCTTTCGGGCAAAACGGGTAGATTTGTCTTTTTTTATTAGTGCGCATGCGTAATAGTATGCAAATAATGCCAAATCCGTTAAATTAATTTATGAATTGAGTTCGGCGCGACAGTAGCACAACGTTTGAAACCAAGTCGTGCTACTGCCGTGCGGCACGGTAAGGCCTGCCGCGCTAAGTAGTCGTGCCGAACCTAATTCAGCCGTGCCGCGCTTAATGGTTTCAAACGGCGTGCTACTGCCGTGCTTAAATCGAAATTACTATTTCATTTGAGTTCGGCACGGCAGTAGCACGACGTTTGGAACAGGCCTAATTCATTCGTAAAGTCGTCGCCATCTTGAACGGACCGAGGACGTGGGTAACCTGGCCTACGCGTGCCACACAAAGCACATGTTGACCTTTTTTTTCTATCGCGTCTAATTACAATCCCTGCAAGTGAAACAAACACATTTTTTTCTTTGCGTTTCAAACAATGTCTTACAATGCATTCAACAGCAAACTATAGTTTCAAAATATAGCCCTCACTTTTTATACCACGTATTGCGTCAACGCGATTTATGGCTCTAGTAGATTTACCACATTTTGCGATCGCGTTAAAATATGTCTCAGTTCTATTCTTTAACCGGGTTTTGCGTTATTGCAAACTGTGGTTTCAAAAGTATGGACCATAGCCTTTACTTTTTTATACCATATATTGCGTTAACGCAATATGTGGTATAAAAAGTAAAGGCTATAGTCCATACTTTTTATACCATATATTGCGTTAACGCAATTTAACGCAATTTATGGCTCTATTAGATGTAACATTTTTCAATCGCGTTTCTTACTGTTCTTTTACCAGGTTTTGCGTTATTGCAAACTGCGTAATGTTAATGTGTGTAAATAATCACTTATGAGAACGAAATTGTTCGACATTGTTCTATAAACGGAAGTCAGTTAAAAATAGTGTAAATACACCTACTTTTATCTTAAACTACAATTGCATTTAAAGTTGAAAACTTAGAATTTCACACGTCACCGCGTGTTTCAGTTGCACATCCGGCGAGCCTAAATTCGTCGGCCTCATGATCCCTCACGAATAAAAACCAATAACAGCGTGATTATTTCAGCTAATTTTGTCATAACCAACGAAATATCTAAGGAATACACTGCGTACGAACTAAACAGCGTTGATCAAATATTTCTTTAAAGAACGCCGACATAACCAAATGTGCATTGGAGAACTCGAAACTTGCGATTACTGTAATTACAAGATCGGTGCTGAAAAGTAATACTTACGCATGAAGGTTTGCAATGTGGCCGCTAAAAAGGGCCTTTTGTTTGGGCCGAAAAGAATGGCATCATCTCCGTTCTGTGCCGCGAACTGCTCCAGTGCGATGAGCCGTAGCTCGTATGTTCTGGAAGTCTTCTCGTCCAGAGCCTGACTCTCATTTTTGGCTGCGAGTCTCGCTCCAGCAGCAAGATTTGGCGCAATTAGCCCCGAGATATCTACTTCGCGGCCACAACTATTTAAATACCGCTCCACATTTGGGCTTCGCCCCTTGTATATTTTGTTCTTGGCCATGACCAGTTTCACCGAAGGCGAGATGCATGTAATTGATAACCAAAGGAAAAAGATACCAAAAGTAACTTTCATGAATCGAGATATTTGATTGGCTTATCTTGTAGGATTTCTACAGCACCCTGTGGTGTTTAGCTACGCATTAACTACCAGAGGATAATCGTTCATTACCATCATATGGTACGGTAATTATCTGGATGCCTCGGCTACATGGAATAGGATCGATAATTTCCTAGGTGTGGTTTTTGTTATAATATTGTAATTTTCACGCCCTGTGTTGAATTTCATTTGCACGTGCTGCTAGACTCATTATATATTCAGTTTCGTTTGTACCTTGAAGGCACTTGATAGAGATTAAATGTCTGTTCAGTAACCGCTTGAACGTGTGGATCGCTGTGTTATTACAGTTTTAAGCCTATGAGCTGTAAGGTTCTGAAAGGATTTATTCGGCTTTCTAGATCACCTGTCAATCGTCACTCAAAGATCGTGTGTCAATCATCACACATCCCCCTTTCTAAAAACAAAATAGTACTCTAATTCTGTGTGAAGCGTTCTGAGATAGTGTCCTTAGACCTTAAAGAATGTCATTGTCCGGTTAACGAAAATAATAGAAACAAAACGTTTATGTCTATTCATGTTCAGACGTTCACAAGTCCAATCGAGTTGGCGGTTAGATAATTCTGCCTGAACGTGTTTTGATGACTGTGGATGGAGGCTTGCTAAGTTTGATGTTTGTGCGTTCTTGTGAGCGAGATTAATTCCTTCTAGTTGAGAGTTCAAAGTTCCTCCCACATTTGCTTTTGGACTTGGGACGAGGTGATACGCGAGCAAGCAATGCAAGGTTATAATGTCTGATACTCAAACTTTGTCGCCCATATTCACGTCAGGGAGAAGTGATGCTTGATGACGTTTGTTGTAGTTCTCAACTTGTTTAAGTTTGTACTTGCGTTCTGTGTCTTGCAACGGTTTCAAGTTTGGCAGTTTGGGAATCAGCTTGTCTGGTGACATTGAGAGGGTAGAGCGTGTTTTCCTTTCCATGAGTAGCTATGCAGTGGGTGTGTCCGTTCTCCAGTGGTGTCGATTTGGGACAAGAAGTAGGGTAAGTAGTTTATTTATAGTCGCTTTGCAACTTAAACAATTGAATTACACGATTATTACAAAGAATAAAATCAATAATAACATTAAATAGAACTATCAGTGGTTTAAAGCAACTTTGTATAAAATTTTGTATGTATATCTGTTACGTTTGTAAATAAAATATGTTGATTAATATAGAGTTCCAATGAAATATTTTAGTCTTTAAGGGCTACTGTTACGAAATGTTTTTGTCTTGAACACTGGCCTAAACTTCCGTTTGCTTCTAAGGTTCAAAGTATCTGTGTTGCGAGCAGGAAGAAGGTTATGGAGTTTGTTCTGTTCGCTCGGAATAACCTTATAGAATAATTTATCAAATAGTTCCTGACGGCGGTATGAAAGTTTCGTTAGGCCTGATTCAGCCAATGCCTCATTATATTAGCAAAAGGGAGAAATGATGCGCATTGCTTGCTTTCAAGCTCGATGTAAAGGTACGTGGGGAGACCGTCAAGGAGGACAGGACATGGATACTCCGTGATCGGACTAATAGAGGTAGACCAAAGCGTATAAGTTGAGACAAGCTATAAAGGTGCTTCTTGGCTTTTTTGTTAATGGAGTCAATGTGACAGTTCCATTTCAAATCATAAGAAATGTTGAGGCCTAGTGTTTTGGCACTGGCATCTACCAATAGGTATACCATCGACCACAACTGGATCGAGCAAAGTGGTATTGTAAGTGTTTAAGTTTATGCGTAGTTCCTTACATTTCGTCTCGTTAAGTTGAACTCATAATTATCCACAGACGCACGGTTTGCTAGGATGTCAACAGCGGCCTGGGTATGACTGTTTTGATTCTTGCTTACTGTCTCCGAAATAGTGGTATCGTCATACTTCCAGAGGTCGGTGACATGAACATCTAGCTCGCCGATCATAGTAATAAATAGCCACGGCCCCAGTTGCACCTCGAGGGACCCCCGCCGGGACTGCGCCCCATTCCGGAAATCTGACTGACAGGAGAGCTAAATATGGATCTTCTGAATTCTTACTGGCTAAGTTTTTGGTAGTCTGAACCGCTCTCTCCACCTCTCCGTTACTCTGCGAGTAGATAGTTCCGCAAATTTTGAAAATGTAGCCGCTGCAAATTGTGGCCCATTGTCCGATATGACAACTTCTGGAATGCCGTGACGACAAAAGAATGACTTAGGTGTAAAAAAGTATTTTCTGTGATGGTGCTATTGAGGGGTGCTACTTCAAAGAATTTGGTATTATCAACAGAGTTGATAATGTAATAATGGCTGTAAATATATGAAAATCAAATATGTGCACTGCGGTTGAAGAAACGAATATAGAACCGATCCTCGCAGCCACTGCTGAACTAGTAGTTGAAGTATTACTGATTTAGCTATTATTTACCACTTCGAAGGTTTATTTGGATCCAACATAGTAACTAGTTCCCAGTTGGCTTGTTAGCTCAGTTGATAGAGCGTTGCACTGGTTTCGCAGAGGTCATGGGTTCAAATCCCCTTCGGGCTTACATTTTTTTCAGGCCTTATTTCAACTACTTAAGTTCAGTGGTGTTCATAACTGCGAGGATCGATTCTATATTCGTTTGATAATGTAAATTGGCCACCGTAAAGAGTTTCAAAGCTGACGTTTCGAGCGTTAGGTCTTCGTCAGAGCTCTCCCTCTTTGTTGAATCGTGCTCGTTTAATAATAAGATTAGTGCGGCTCACAAAGTGTGTTTCGAAGCATGATTTGGAGCAACTGCAGAATACCCTGCCACTTTGGTCCACCTCATTTACATGTGTCGGGAGGCTTAGAAGATCGAGGCATAACACAATAGACGCTATTCTTATTCAGTGACATGTAAGTGGTGACCTTTCTGAGAGATGAAAGCTTTTCAGAACTTCGTTCGTATTTCCAACCATAGCGTAGATTAATGTATTTATTAGGACCTTCTCATCTTTTTCATCGAGGCCTGCTACGATGCAATGGCATTCGCACCATTCGATCCAGTTCTTCCACTACTGGGTTTTTTTGGGAACCAATTTCTCCGGTTGAAGAATTTGTGCGGATGTCATGACTTGTAGTCGTTGGGAACAGATCGCATTCTTGATACCATGCAAGGGTCTGCAAGGAATGAATCGGGCTTTCAAGATTACGTGTCGATCATCACACAAAGATCATGGTCAAACATCACACATGAAGTTAGTAACACCCTTTTTAACCGTAGAGTCTTTGCAGCTCAGTGATACAGCTTCGGAGCGCGGAATCCGGCGAAGGTCTGCGGTTCGATTCCTCCTGTCCTCTGCAGGAGGATAAAAATACACGATCACAAATTTCTCCTGCTGACCTAGCTACTGTCACATCACATCCGACAAACCCCACCTTCCTTGTGATAGAGAACACAGGTGCCTATGGCATAAAGCTCTTGACTTTACTTTAAGGCTGGTCTTGTAGGGCCATAGGTAATCAGTTTAGGGTGGATATAGCGGTAACCGGTTACGTCGCCCGGAACTTGAGTTGTGTTCAAATAAAAAGTCAAGTCGCCGAAGAAACTAACACTTAAAAGATCAGACTTAGACTGTGAATAGGCAATAAAGATCATAAATCCTTATGACTGAAGCGCTGTTTGTGTCCGACAACACCATGAAGATTATGAAATATTCGAAATATGTTCAAGTGACGACTTTAAAAGTATGGTATGTTCTCGTTTCGTATGGAAGTTTCGTAAACTTGAGGAAGTTAATCACTCAAGCGATATTGGTTTTTAACAAAACCATGAAGATTTCGACTATACAGAAATCGATTATATGGTCAGAATTGAAATATATTCGAGTAATGACCCTAAAAGCGCTGTTGAGTGCCGGTTTCGTTTCTTTGAGCCTGGAACTCTTGCACTTATTTCCAATGTCGATTTAAAACCTAAAATTTACCTATGTGAATGCTTTGGATATACTCAATAAACGCTCGTTGTCGTACTCATTTACTTTATTCACTTATGTTCCATATAAAGCCAAAGGCTACTGGAAATGAACTTACAAAACGCTAACTGATGCGATGTACAATATAAAATGAATTTACACACCAACATTTGCGGCTCTAGTTCTCAGGAGAATATCCAAACACGTGCATTCCCCATCTTAACTAATCGTTTACTAATCAAGTTTTATATACTGTAATACGATGAAGATTATGACGTCACGGTAACACCATACATGCTACGATTCATCTAAATAAAGCGGAATACTCATATTTCTTAGTGAAAGTGAGTGAGGTTAAATCCATTTACTTGGTTAAACTCTGACAATAAATTTTTTGTTCCTTTACATAACTCAGTTATACTAAGATCGGAGGCGTATACAGTATACGTCATTACGTAATACCCGCTATCTACAGCCGTGAGAATATTATACATTATGGCAAGTTTTCCTAGGAGGGGAGAAAGTGCAATGCAGTCAACGAGTGGAGACAATCTGCCACATGACTTACATGCCTAAACTTGAGAGCAATAGCGACAACATTACTAAGCTTTGTCCGTGTAGAACTGCATTGCTGAGCCCTGTAATGACAGTTAAGGCGTCAGGAATTCAACGATATGTTTCATTATGAAAAAAAGCTGAAGCCACAAATAACCACAGTACACCTATCAGTAAAACTAGTTTTTGTAACAATACAGACAGGAACCCACTACAAACGGCAGGTGATCGTTCATGATGGTTTGTTTCTAGAATGGAGATGTTGAAATGTCAGTGTCCTCTGCAACTTTTTAGTACTGTCTACATCTCTGTACACGCTGAGTGAGCTGCTCAAGAAATCTCTCCAGGACTTCAAACCCTGGCTCTTCGAAGCCCTGATATCTCGCCACTCTTCTCTCGTCCAGGTCATGAGGCCCCCGTCTACCCTCCCCTCGCTCCATACGCAGCCGATCGAGTTGCTGAAGTCGGTCACGTGCTCCCTTTATATCTGTCTGCAGCTGAAGATCTTCTGCTATTCTCAAAGCCTCAGACACTGAACTGATGGCTGTGGAGAAGCACGCAACAGTAATGTTTGAACTCATCATTAAATAACACTTAAGCATTCAAAAGTAAATGTTGAGTAAATGAGAAAAAAAAATTGAAAAATAAAAAATAACGTAAATAACCATTAATTTTACCAACCTTCTTCATATTGTCCTTTCCTGATCAGCAAGTCACCATAGGCATTACAAAACAATGCCTTGTCTCTCATGGAGCAATTTACAAGAAACTCTCTGTTGAATTGTTCAACAAACTCCTTCACTTTGTTTAACACTTTGTTGGACACAGCTATCTGCAAGTTTGTGGCTTGGTCTCGAGTGGAGTGAAGATAGAATAGAATCATTCTAATCAGAGCCCTTCTGGGACTATTAGCATTCCTTCTTTGAGTTTTGTTGAGCTGGTGTCTGTAGTGTAGCATTGCATCCTTCAAGGCTTTCTTGAGTTTCTTTTTTTCTTGCTCAGTGATTCCTTCAACAGTGCCCTTCTCAGACAACAAAGCAGCAAGACAGGTTCTGTTAATTGCAGTCTCTTCACCAGGGACAACAGACTCTAAGAGCTGAAAAGAAGGAGAGAAAAGAAAAGTCCTCTAAGCCTCATCCAACATGTCATGGATAATCTTCTTTCTCTCTTCAGATGGTAACAACAAGGCTCTGAAACAGTGCCTATCAAACTCATACAGCACAGTGGCTTCAGAATGAAAGACACCTTCACAGAACACTTTTGTCAACTATGCCTTTTTCATGTGAATGTGTGAGACAAAACATCTTTTTACATATTTCTTTTAACAGAAGCATCACAAAAAGGGCCATGAACCAAGACAGGGATATTGTCAGGTAAGTTTCCAGTGATGCCTAGATGCAAAATAAGATGTGTAGAGACACATAAAACATTTAAGAGGTGAAGGTAATAAAATGCCTATAAAAACAGATGAATTTTATAGCAGCTTATGCGGAATGAAAAATTTTTATTAAGGTGATAACTGACCATATTTTAGACATTTTATACACACCTAAAGAAATAAGTAGAAATAAGCTTGTACAGATGTAGATACACATAATTAAGGAATCTGGAAAAAGCTAAACTCTGTTACATATACAAATTAATGGGACAAATAATGAAAGAGATGAAAAAATTAATGGTTCTAAATAGAAATAACTAACCTCAGTAGAAGAATCCAAAAGTTCCTCAGCCTTAGTAAAGTTCCTTTCCATCTTGTAAGCACTTGAGATAGTGCACTTTGCCCTTCCAGCAATAGAATTGTAATTTGGTGAGTGGTAGGTGTTAGCATGAAGGCAGATGCTCTCACCCAACTGCTTGCATCTTTCATAATCTCCCATCTGGTACAGCATGAGACTTTCCTAAAATGAATGAATAAAATTATAAATAAGGAATTCAAGCTCATATTTCCAGAAATACTTTTCTGATCATGCCACCAATTATAATTATAGTAGTTTATCATGATGAACATGCACCTCTTGAACATTATTTAATATGAGGCACATAGTAACCAGTGCAGATTAAACGTTAAGAAAGCTTTCAAGTACAATCAAAATTAAAGTCTGTGCTACGTGAATACATTTGGGATTTTATTCCATTTGTAAAAATATAATTATGTGGTACATGTATATTGCTCAGTTGGTACATGCACTGGTCAATTTAGCAGGGTGTATTACACTGTAACAGCACCTAAATTCAAAAGTTTGATTTAATTCAACTCTTCCATCTCTGTTTGGACACAGATGTACAAGAAATAACTAAGACACCTTGTTTTCTCAGTCTGTACTATAAGTTATGGACCTTTGTTTTCAGCTCAGAATCTTGCTCCGCTACTAACAGCACAAACCTTGAACTTGGTTAGTAAGAGGTACATGTATTTACACAAGCACTGCAATGTGCCAAACAAAGGCCAAGTGAAGCCTCGATACTTCTACATACATTCCATAATATTGAAACCATATAACTAACAGTATACTGTAATAATGTAACGTTGACTACACTGTACCTCCAGCTTTACAGCAAGATGCAGATCCTGTAGTGAAGCCTCTGAATGACTGAGCTCGTCTATGGTCTGGAAGAGACGGAGTTGATCTCGTCTGAAGCATCTCCCTGCACCTGACACAAAATGATAACAGTTTGTTTCATGACATGTTTGGTTCACCACAATTCAAAGTAGAGCACTGTGATTCCAATATTTCCACTGATACTTATTAAATTGTGTACAGGAACAAATTCAATTAAATTGTGAGCTACTTACAATGTATTAACCAAAAGATGTATGCAACAATAATAGAAATTTTTTAAATGTAAAGCTTAGCAGTAACAGGGAGGGAGGTTCTTGGGTCAATTTTTGCTTTGTATGTGTTGCTGGCCTCTCAGAACCCCTAAAAAAACCCTCAGTTGTCACAATCAGTTAACAAGAATGCAAGGAGTTTTATAATGGTCATAAATTTTACAGCATCCAGTGTTGGTAATAATAGTAATAATAATAATCAATAATTATTATGGTTAATTAATAAATACATATAATGTACAATTATAGTTTTCCTTATCCTTAAATTTACCATTTTCCACTAATTCCTGAAAATATGACACAATCTTCTGAGCTTCTAGAGTTCCCAAAATACCTGATGTATGTAAAAATATATACAATCTTCACTGAGTATTGGAGTATACATGTACAAGAATGCACACAGTGACTATACATTAGCTAGGTTCAGTTGTCAAATCAAGCAAAATTGATATCCATTGAGGTGCACTAGTCAAAGTTATTTCAAGCTTTCTTACATCATAAAGAATTCTGTATTTTTACATGCACTGGATTACCTAAATGAACTTTATTCAAAAATTTGACAATAGTCATACATGTACAAGTATGTTTTGTACAGTCATGCAAGTTTTAAGCTGGCTCATAATCCACCAAATTGAATATTAAATCTTCAATAATTTGACGTGTTAACTCCAACAATGATCAACTTATAGCCTTAACAATAATTATCCTTACCTGAAGACAGGCAATCAGAATTTATCAAGGAAGGAATGAAGAAGCTCATTTAATAGCCAAGAGTAGCCAAGTGTTCTACATGTAAATGACATCTATTGGTACCAAAGACTGATATGTCATAGATTCAGTAAACTTCAAGCAAGACCAGTTTTATGAAACCATGTTATCCATTGACATTCCATCAAGTAACCTCCCTGGACATGTGCTTTGTCTGAATATTATCATACACTAACACCCTTAAGTGAACAACAAGCCAAGCAAGCATATACGGATTGTGTATGCTTGTAAACCAAGTTTATTTTGGCACACACAGGACAACAGAAACTTACCAACAAGTTCCTTTTTAGGGCATGGTAATTCCACTGATGACAAGGAATGGCCATCACAAAAGTCAAACAAACTTGTCTGTTGATAATGAGTCAATACTTGGAGTTGTATGTCATCTAGCAATTCCCCAGTTACTGCTCTGAATTCAAGTGAAATGAGGTACTCAGTAGGAATGCTAGCTGGAAGGAGAAATACAAAATTCCTAGCAAAGGAACCCAGCTCATCTCCACTGCAGTCAATGGCCAATGTTTCTGCTAAATACATGGAACCAGCTGGTTTCACTTCTGCTTTGATCACACTTCGTCCTCCATTCTGCAATCAGAACACAGATTAAATGAAGTTTAAGAGCTGAAGATTATATTCAAAGAGCCACTGATGACCTCATTGACGCAAATTCTGTTTAGAAATGAATAAGGATTTTGCCAAAACAACTGGAGTCCAGGAAAACATACTGGGCTAGCAATTAGTGTGTTGATTAATCAGCCAGTGGTGATGAGAGTAATATACAATAAATATATTTTCATATAGAGGCTGCTTATATCAATACCTCAATGTGACTGTGACTGTTGCATGCATAATAACCCTTCTACTCTCATGAGTGACCAAGACAGAATTTTTCCTAACAATATCATTACAATATTAGGCAGACAAGTGATGGGAATAAAGGAATACTGATTAGGAGTTTATCAGTTGGTCCAGTACCACATTCTCCAAACTAACATTGTGGAAATTATACAACAGACAGTTAAGAGAATTAATAAAGAGATATTGGCACTTAAAAAGTTACATAATATAAAAACTGTTTCCCGTGTCATCAACTAATGAGGTATATCAACGCTATCAAGAAAGGGTTAAGGATGTACACTGTAGCTGACCATTACAAGAACCAAGTAATCTTTAAGAGAAATGTCTGCAGAAAGAGAGACCTGTAAATTGTAACATGGAATTAGAAATTATATCAAATCTCCCACCTTGTCTAAAAGACTGGATGGAAACACAACTTATCACAGGGAGAGGAAAGCAAGTTATAGACCTATAGGTAAAATTAATCTAGCTTGACAAGTTTTTTTGTAGGCCTTCTTTTACTAACTCTGTCATATTGATTATAATAGATGGTGTGAGTACTTACAACTTTGCATTGTTGATTTCCAGCAGTCACCAGTCGGCAATCAAACAGCTCTTGCTTGTCATTCCTTAATGCCACCACTAATTGGATTTTGACAAATGGACCAGGAAAAAACTGTAATCCATTAGAGGATGCAGAACACAGAGAGCCTTCAAGCAAAAGGCATCCAAGATTTGGGATATGATGCCGACATGCCTCCAAAATTTCCAATTTGCCTCTAACTATCTGTGAGGCCCAATCTTTGGGGCCAAAAGTAACAAGAGGTCGAGACCCTGGGAGAATACAACAACAGAGAAATTGATTTCAAAATATTCACTATCATGACACAGATGTTAAACAGATCTCACCTAAAATCTTAATCTTATATGAAAAGATTGCTATTTGAAAGAACATTATTTGGATGCTTAAAAACTTAACTCTTCATTTAAATGTATACTCTACATGCATGAAGTCACTGGCTTACAACAACCACACATCATTCAAGACAAATTCAACAGTCACATCCAAATTGCTTTGCCAGTTCCTTAGTTTACAGATGCACTATACATTAGCCAGCTGACTGTCAGTGTTTACCAATTGCTATTATGGGGTAAACTTCATTAAATTTTTCAGTTGACACATAGTATGTTTTCTGACCGATTTATAAGTCTTTGAGGAGTTAAATCTGTTTTCAGCTGTGATCTTTAATTTGTCATCACTGCAGTTATGATACCTGACCAATCTGTGTTTTACATGTCACTATTTCATTTATGAAAGCAATTCATTCTGGTTCGAAAATTATTTAAAACAAAATCAACCTTCACAAACACAAATGTATTTTTCTCTCAGCGAGCATTTACATTTCAAGTGGAATTTTTTATATTTATTTTTATGCATTTCTAGCATTACTAACATTGTCGGTTTTAGTTTTGAACAATCGAAATATAATTATATAATTGTATGTATACATGCCAAAATTGTACACTCAAACTCGATTTAACTCGATCTGTAACTGCAAATCAAAGTCAAACCCCTATTTCTTGAGAAGTTTTTCAAAACTCAAACAATTTTCGTTATTTTATTTTTTTATCAGTTTTATCCACGATAACTCGAATCAGGCCAATTGCCGATTGGTGGCAAATCAAAACAAACCACTATTTTTTCCAAAATACGAATTTCGCAGTGAGGAAGTCAGAGATTCTGTCTTCTTTGGTTACTTAATTGCGCAAAACGACTGTCAGTCCAATTCTAGTTTCGTTTTGTATTTTCAAAAATGCTCGCTGCTTATTAAACCCTTTCCACAAAAACGTTCTTTTTGATGGTTTGACGTCTCAACGCTGCAAACTTCTTGAAAATAATTAATTTTCCATGAAGGTTAGAACCATCAAGACTCGACCGGAGTTCGTCGAAGCTACGTTAAGTGGTGAACATGTCTGATGCATACGCAATTACAGAACGACGTTGCATGCACGAAAACGAAAATAAAATAATCACATTACTCTTGTTACTGTGAATCGAATTTCGAGGGCGAAAACAAAGATAAATATTGAGATGTTCCGAGAGAAATGTAAAAGACTCAGCTCTTCTCCTTTGGGTAAGCAGCTGAATTGCGAAATCAATGACTTCCCGCTCTCCTACCTCTGAAACTTTGTTCCCGCGACATTATCAGATGTGTACCGCCATTGATAGTGGGCCTCTCTCAAGCTACTGTCAACTTTATTTTGTTCCATTGACTGGCTCTTTCTATCACGTGATCGTCTGGAGAAATGACGTAGTCGAAAGTTCACGATTCTGTCAAGTAACTTCCAAATTTCTTTCGCAAATGAGCAAGTTCCCCGCCATCTTTGGCATTTCAGATTGTCGACGAAATCCAAAAGCTCCTTGACTCATAATCATTCTTATTTCTGGTTCTTAGTTAAAGCGTGTGGAAAGTATTTCAATGAGTTATAATCTATTGAATGAGATACATCTATGACTTGGAGCGCTTAACCAACTCATAAGATAGCAACAAAACTCTAACCACCGTCCGCCATCACTCAAAATAGTTTCATCCCGAGATCCTGGGTTAGAGTAAAATAACCAATCAGGTGGTAATACAGCTTAGCGATTTTGACCAATAAGTGTACAGCAAAGTGATAGTAAGAGACCAATCAGAAGTAAGAATCAAAACGCAAGTCATCTTTGAATTTGAACTTGAAACAAACAAAATGGCGACCCATAGTGAGTCTGACTCTGTCCCACATTTCTCAGACATGGATTCCCCTGGAAGCTCTGTTTCCTCTTCTTTGCAAAGAGAATACGAAGAGCTTCTTAAGTACGCTGTTGTTACACCGAAAATACAAGTTGTTCCAAGTGTGTACGAGCCATGTATTCCTTCGAAAGATGATACTAGCGCTGCCTTCATTGAAACAAACGACAGCAGCTCTTCGACTTCGAAAACTACGTCGGTGTCGACTCAAAGTTCCCAACCCACAACAGAGGAATCGCATTTAGTCGATAAAGAAGAAGTGAAGAAACTTCCGGGAACCCCCTCTCTCAAAGTGTCGTTTCAAGGACAGGGATCAATAGCTCGAGATTCTCTGCTTCGATCAGGTAATTTCTAGACATCTATATCAGTTACAAACATTAACTTATTAAGAACTTTGTGGTAAGCTACAGGGGTACGTATGCACTTACTCTACCCTTAACTCAGAGCATGTGTTATCATGAATTCTCTTCTCATAAAATGATAAAAGCTAAAAGAGGAAATTGAATTAAATTCGTTTGTGCGGCGAAAAATGTGTGCAGGTTCAGAGCTCAATTTTTCAACTCCTACGTTTACGTTAGTTGCCTAGCTTTGCAAGCATGAAGTGAAAACAAAATTGCAAAGGATGAGCGCGCACAAACCTCGCTATATTTCTCTTTTCAGCTGTGAAGAGATACTGCACTAAACAATTGATATTTTGGAAGCGATGAAAATGAAACTCGGCTAACTTCATTACTTGCAAATTTCTCTTTTGTGCCTTAAGAAGTACATGCCAGAAAGGCCTTTCTGAAAAGCAATTGTTAACTGCATTTTAATTACACTGTAGAGGGAGGCATACTAACCATTTGAGCATAGCCCTCAACCATTCCATCCTTTTTTAATTTTTCCGTCTATAACTTCTGTATTGGTGGTGAAGAGCATCCTTGAAGACTTGAACATATGTTATACATATTGTTCTTAGAAGCTGTTAACCATGCTTAGGAATTGGATTGTTTTGATTTTAGACTGAATGAAAATTAGTTATATTGAAGAAAATATTTATCTAACCTGGTGACAAATGTGTTTCTAACTGAAAAATATTCCTAAACATTATCTACATGTAATTTTAACAATTGACTCATTTATAAATGTTTTTCAGAAACAGATGCTGTTTCACCAGTCATAGCAGAAGCTGAACATGAATCATCATTATCTCACACTGCTGATGAGTCACCAGACTCCCCAGTGCCATCCTCACCTGTAATAGATGCTGACCTGGCCAGAATGGAGGCATTATTGGATAACTGGTGTTTGGATCTCAAGAGAAATGTTTTGGTATGTGACCTACATATCTGTACTGATTTTAAGACTTCAAATGTTGAAGTGAAGATTTATTCCTGACCAAATCAAATTTACAAATTGACCAAATGAGGATTGAGTAAAAGTGACTTTGTGACAATAATTATCATATTTTCTTATCCCAGTGTATACCCTATGGGTGTAAGTGAGAATGTACTTCACTCGTGTTCATGGCCATGTGAAATTTTTCCTTCTCCAAACAGGCTGAATTTGCACAGTGTAAAATGGGGTTATTTGAAAAACAGAAACAGCTTTTGATGCAGGAGAAAAGGAGGTACTGTAACAGTTTTTGTATGCATGTAATACATGATGAAAACATCTCAGGTGCTTCATTTTTTTCTTTGTTCCAATCAAAAAGTTGTACTGTGGGGAAAACTCTCACAACAAATAGACACTATTCAAGATAATGATATCATTTAATATCATGTAATAACATACTATTTATGCAACTGTTTAATAAATGTTAAACTAAATTTAAATCTTAGAAAGTAAAAAAATACTGCTTTATTACCACTTCTAATTACCAGTACTCCTAATTACAATGTACAATGTACATTGTACAGTTAGGAGACAAAGTGAAATGAAAATTATTTAAGGCAGAAGAGGTTATTTATGTGAATTGCAATTTGTAGAATGTGAGTAATATGATTCTTTTATGTCAGTAATCAGTACTTTAGCCTAACTTCTATCAACTGAGATACTGCTCAGGTACATGTTCATGTGTTAGTCGACAAAGTTGTTCCTTTTAGGTTAAACATTGTCTATTCATGGTGTAACAGATGCCAGGCAATGGGCAGCCTTTGCTAGTTATTTTACACATTTTTCCATCCACCTCTGGATTTATACTGTACAATTTTTTCAGTTTAGTAACATGTTGTATATATGGAAAAGCTCCTTAAAGGTGTTTAAAAATCCTATTAAAGGGGAAAAAAAGCACAAATTCAGTACTTCTTTTTTACTTAATTATGCATCTCCATAGTGTTGTGCAAATGTTGAAAATCTTCAAGGCATATAATGGCATAGTCTTGTACATGTCCCTCTCCAATGGTTTCCACATAGTTCATTTTTTAAGGAATGATGACTAAAGCTGTCAAAATCTGCATCCCAGTTGACTAGACTGGAGAAAGTACCACACATGGTGTACATGCATATAGCAAAGACATCATGTTTTGACAAAATGGAAAGAAGTATGGATGCTGAATATCATGTGGAGATTTTTGTCTGTCGTTGTTGTAGAAAAGATGACTTGAAGGTTGATGGATAATGGGCACTAACATTGCTACATGTACACCCATTGTACAATATAATGTTTCTATTGTTCCCATTCTCTTAAATTTTCTTTAAAGTCTTGATTAACACAATGGAAAGAAGAAATAGAATGATCCTTACGGGCAGGCATTACATTGAACACATGGTATCGAAAATGTGACCTCTGAACACCTGGATGGGATATGTAATCTTCTTGGTGCCCAGGACATTTGTCTGAGGGGCAGGCTGGGCCACAATGAAACTTGACATGCGGGAAGTGCCCTGTACAGATATCTTCAATCATGGTGAACATTTGACTCAGTGCATATGAGGGTGTGATTTCCTGTCCTTTTCTGTAAAATGGAGAAAAACTCAATTTTAGAAATGGGGTACAATTGGATAGTGTGACAACATATAGTGCTGAAGCATACATTCAGAAATAACAATAGATTTGTTTTGCCCTATCTATGTAAATAATTAATAGTAGATAATTAGTGGATGCTAGGATTGAAATTTGTGTTTTTAATTACATGACTGCAAATGTCCAGGAATTGGTTATTATACTTTATGTTGTGTTATCATTTTATCTGATATTCTTACTTAACAAAGAAGATGCACTTTCATTTACAGAACTAAATGTGTGCTCCAACAGCAAGTCTTCCTTTTAGCTCTACTGTCTTAATGACCAATAATAATAGAGCTAATGTTTTGCTTGTTATTAAGAATTGTTATTAATTAATTAATTGTTATTAAGACTGTGAGAAGTTATCCAAGAACAAGGTCAGTGCAACATTACATGTGCCAGGTGTGAAGGATTTTGAAAAGCTGCTAGAATTTTATTATACCCCTCTCACATTGGCAAAACATGTTTATTTAATCCAGTTTTAAGTGAATGAAATAAAATGCTAAAGACCAGGGAGTGATGATAGTAGAGGACAATCAACACTGGATCCGTAAATCAGTGAAAGGTTACATTTATTTAGGGACTAACCTGTAAGTAAATGTCACTTCAATCATGTCATCCTTCTTGAGTTGTAACACCTTGTAAGCTGTGCAAGGCCGCCACCAAAATCTGCCAACATCTTTACAAATGAGTGGTTTCCCCTCAGGAAATTCTACTTTACTGCTCCTGTGAGCACGGGACAACAGGTGTTGAAAGAGAGCCTCTGGAAGAAATCTTTTGAAAAACACATAGAAGACCTTGTCTGTTGGAGAATCATGCCACACTGGTGTGTTTACATCTGACATTGGCAACAGTGAAGGAACAAAGTGTGTGACATTTTCAGCCTCATTAATGTTTTCCCTGTTGTGAAATAATGGGCAAATGATGTCATACTCCTCAAGGAAGCTCTTCATTGCTTCTTCACTTTCTTTGCTTCCTGTTTCTCTTGAAATAATGTTCTTGAGGAGAGAGTCAGTGAGCATTCCAGTATCATGGAGCAATTTAAAATCCTGCCTCAAGCCACGCTGTTCCATCTCTTCCTTCTTTTCAGGTGGTGTCACCAACTGTATAATGATATCATTTAGTATCTGTGGCTTCAACAAAACCCATTCTGAGGAATCAGCATGGTCAATGAAGATGATGAGGCCTTTCTCATGAAAGTATTTTAGAGTTTCCTTTGACCAGTTGCTGCAAATAAAGTTACCAACTGATATGGGAAAATCTTTCAGTGTCACACAGAACTTTGCACTCTTGTTGTTTCTCAAGTTAATGATTGCATCTTGGATTTTTATCCATGAAAATGGTATTTCACGCCCAATAGTTGTCTTACACTCTTCAGCTGCAGCAATTATTACTCTCTTGAGATTTTGAATCCCAGTGTCATTTTTTCCATAAGTATTCTCTACAGGGAAGTACAAGAGGTTGTCTTCTTCATTCAGAACAAGCTCATCGCTAAAGGAATCCAAAATATTCTGCCGCAGGTGCTTATCAATTTTGTTCAAACAAAGTTTTTCCATATGGCCCCTGTGTGTTCCAACAAGGAAGATGGGTGTCCTTGATGAGGCCTTACTGCAAATGGATTCCATCCAGAATTTAAGTCTTTGGATTTTTGCGGCCATGTTTCCAAAATTGTCATCTGCAAAGTTTGTCATGTTGAAGAGCACAAGGTAGATGGCATTGTCTCTCATGAAGATATGATGGTAAGCATAGTACTCTTCATCTCCTGAGAAGTCTAATATTTTTAGTTTAAGACTAGAAAATGTAGAATGTAGAGCCCTTCTCAACTTATGAAAATTCAGTGCTATTTTTTCAATTAAGATAAAAGTGAAACTAGCTTGCCTTTCCCTTGTATCCAGAGTATCATTGAAAATAGAAAACACAACATTCCAGTCACTGTACAGAGAAAGGCAGGCTGGTACTGAAAAAATTACAGTATACATATTAAGGGAACAAAACTGGATCAATTTTTCGAAGAATTTTTCCCAGATGATGTAAATAAGAAAGATCAAACCAATATCCTGTATGTTTACCAAAGCACATAAAGCCCGTGTAAACTTAAGGGTAACAAGGAAAGCGAGAGGAGTCACTATGAAATGAAGAATGTGACAATACTGGAGGGTTGTCATGTTGATTGATATATGTAACCGAATAATGGCACCAAAACTTAAGCCACACATTACAGGAATCAAAAACCATAAGAAGCATGGCAAAAAAGGTGGTGGATTGTTAAACTTTGTTTGACCTGGGACAGATGATTCGATCCCCATCCAATTACCAAGATAAGAATTGTAAATAGGGGACAAATAAAAGCTAATATCACAGATCAGGATGGTAACAATCACAATATGGAGTACCCAGGTCAACATGTTATAATTAAGTATGCTTAAATCAAATGACGGTTCTAGATTTTGGCAATCGATTTCTTTGAAGAACCCTGCTATCACATGTGCAGCTCCCAATCCCACTAAAACGCGACGTAGTGCGATTATAAGCCAAGCGAGTCTTAAAAATTCTGTTTGCTCAGATTGCTGAAGCTGTAGCCAAATTTGCAGAGAAAATACAGCAAATGAATATGCATAGAAACTGACAGACACTGTTGCGAAAGCCAAAAGGCATATGATCGAGATTATCCAGAATATACGTTTTAAAAGGAACATGACGTGTATCATTATTGACATTGCTGATGTCATTTCACTGTCAATGATAAATTCGACTCCAGCGGGGCCAAACATCAAACCGTGGTACAGTACAGATTCCCGAAATCGGGTAAAGCTTCCAAATTTAAGACCATCGTCGGCGTGGAGTCTTTTCCACTTTCGGTCAACTAAACTTATTTCCACACCTTTAGTTCCTGGTTCGTCTAAATCAAATGGTTGCCCTGTAAGCGATTTTCTTAAACTTGTCTTGCCAACTCTAGCATCTCCCAGTATTAAACACTGGCCTTGGAAAACATCCTGTTTGTACGATTCTGAGCCGTTTTGTTCGCTCCTAAAACCAAGATTTCTCAGAACTTGTTTATAAGACTCTTGTCCGCGTCCATCCGGCAAGCGTCTCTCAAACTGTAACTGGGACATCACCTCAGAGGCCGTTTCCAAGGTGTGATCGTTCGTTAGACGAATACGTTGCAAGTCTAAGGCCATCTTTTCACTTCTTTTTATAAGAGAAGGGTGTTTCCAATGAGAGACGCGGCGCACACACTTCGATTACCCTTGAGTTGACTCCCGGAAGCTGTTCACGTGATCATATCTCGCCAAATGGCAAGGACTTTGCCGTCATGGGCTACTGATCATTTTGTTTTCAAGGAGATAGACTTGCTGAGAATCTGTTTCTTAACTAGACGTTTTTGAGCTTTAATGAACGTTTATTTATGAAAACTTTTCTACCCCACAGACACGGTATTGAAATGCACAAGCTGATGAATGAGATGGAGAGTCAAAAAGAATTGTTGCTGACTTATGAACAGACCTTGACACACAAAGACTCCATTGTTACCAACATCACAAATGCTATTCACAAACAGGTTTGTTTTACATGTTTGTCTTGGCAGTGAATTGTCTGATCGTGGGTCGCGAATGGAATAAATGAATAGAATGAGCTGAAATGAATGATTACATGAGACAGTCTGCTTTGTTTGTGCAGTGAGAGCCATCCACTGAGAAATAAAAATATAGCGGCATGTCCTTGTGTGTTTATTTCATATCATAACAGATTTACTCGTTTAGTAACTGGTTGATGATAAAATCGAAATTAAAATGAGCTTAAAATTTTTTAACCACAATACAATTTAACTATTTACAGTTTTTTACTTCAGGCCGAGTTTAGTTCCTCTTGTTTGTTAAGTTCTAATGGCTAACTAAGCCACACGCCTCGAGCACCTTACACATTGCTCAGCTGCACCAAACAAGAAGAGATACAAGTTCTTTGTGATTAGACTTGAATTTTTCACCCGTGACCCGCGACAATTATCCCGCGGCGATTTGCTAGTGACAATTTATCCACGACGATTTGATTCTCCCGTTTGACACCTTGTGGAAACACTCTTCCGCGACTGGGTGTAATTTGTAAAAGTTAACAAACTTATCTGTTTTTCCATAGAGGGAAAGAAATGAACTTATGAAGGCTTTTACCTTGTGGAAAATCAGACACTGTGATGAAAAAAGAGAGGTTAGTTCAGGAACCTTGACAAAATCATGGTAGGACAGTATTCGTAGACGTCTTTGCACGGGATTAAAATTTAGTAGTCTCTCTTACCTTAAACAATATTTATTATTATAGGAAATTATAATGAAACTACTGTATCTTCTCAGTGCTAATTAGTTCAAACCTGTAAAAGTTCCTCTTTGCACCTTAACACCTCGTATTTTTGTGAATTCAACGTTTATTACCTTTCCACCTAAATCGTCTTATGGCACATCACACCATTATTTCCTCACAAATTTGAGTTCTGTCGATTTTCTGACGGTCATCATGTTGTTTCTTCTCAGAGTTTTGCATCCAAACTTGCCAGAAGACATTACAAACACGCTTTAAAGTCACGTGCCTGGAGTGCATGGCGGTCTGTTATTGAATCCAAGTGGAAACAACGAGTGGAAAAAGCATGTCAGGTTATATGATATGTTTGTTAATGTCATTCGTAGTGACTGTCTATTTGACTTTCAAATGGTCCGGTATTCAGGGATTTTGATTCATCCACGAATTACATGTAACCTTTTTTATTTTTTTCTGAAGGCGAAAGCTCAAGACGTGTGTGTCAAGTTGACGGAAGACTACGAAAGTCGTCTCGCAACAGTATGTTTTAAAATTTCTTTTTTTCTTGTAATTTGACTGTAAACTTTAAACGCCCTCAGACGGAAGAGAGAGGTGCAAGGTTAACAATTCAATAATTCCTGGTGACAGGTGACAGGTTTTATGTTTCTGGTTTTGGTTTTCTTTCTTTTAATTTAAATAATTATGGCAAACTCCGCCAAGTTAACCCACTCCATCAGGTTCATTTGTGAATTGTTCTCCTGATCAGGCCACCCGTGAGCTGGAAATAGCGCGGAATGAGATCGCTCATCTTCATGCCGAGAGGGAACGGTATGAAGAAACTATGAAAAAGGCTTTCATGCGCGGAGTGTGTGCACTGAATCTGGAAGCCATGACTATGTTCAGAGAAGGTGAGGAGGGTGGTAGACGACCTACGCCTGCAGCTACAGGAATCAACAAAAACGGTGAGAGAAGGAATGAACCGTTCCTCATTTTTATCATTGTACTGCGTCATAATCAGTTGTGGAGCGCGACGTTGTATGCTATTATTAAGCATGAAAATTTTGCGCGAATTTGAACTTGCAGATTGGCGAGCTTTGTTGCATTGACACTTTTTCGCGTTTCAAGTTGCCTGAAATCTCTGCTGGAAACACCTCTTTGCTATATTCTGCCGGTTCAACAGGAAGAACAAAAAGAATGATAGATTGGTGTACAGGTGACAGTGATTGGCAGTCGCGACATAACTAACGAACATTCAGTAATCATCATGACCGAGACAAAGAGACACATAATGTATAACAAAGTTTGGATGTTACCTGCGCTGCCATTAGTTGAAAAAGTGTGCCCTATCAGAGTATAGAGCATGCTGACGACACTGTTGTTCGCTTTGGAAATAAGGGTTGTTTTGAAAATTGAAAGTAACGCGTGGGGAATTTTACGGATTGTTTATTTTAGAACAAATAGAGAAGCCTTGACTGTGCTCTGTTTTGTTGTAAAGCGCATAGGACGCGGCTAGGGCAATCAAGAGGTGGTGAGAAACACTCGACTACGTCTCGTATTTCTCCCTACACTAGCTCTAGCCGCTTCCTGCGTGCTTTACAACAGAGCAGAGCTCAGTCAAGGCTTCTCTATTTGTTAATTGATTAATTACCCGTGTTATAAAATGGTGTCTCTTCTTTGCTTCGTCTCCAGATGAAGATATGCCGCGTCATCAACCACCTCTTCCAACTGTAACGACATCTGGTCCAGCTGTCACGCAACATCAGTTTAGTCACGTTCTCTCCAGACAGAGAACTTCAGCTGAGAGGCCTGGTCAGATAGGAAAAACTGTTACCGTGAAAGCTGTTTGCAGATCAGATATTCAGGGACAAAAAGGTGGCGCCGGTAAAAAATTTTTACGCATGTTTTATCTTTTTTTTTTTTCTCTTTCCGTCGATGTATTTCAGATTTTCAAAGTGAATACTCGACCGGCAAGATGGTCGAGTGATTAAAGAGGAAGTGGGAGACTTCTCTGTGGACTACAGCGGGGAAGAGAGGAAATTAGTGAAAAGAATCCCAACACACCTATCATAACCAATATATATGTATCAAAATATTCTTGTCCCATGTTACTTTATTTCAGGTTTGGTAGGTACCCAAGGGCCTGTCAGTTCAGTTTTCGTTCAGAAGCATTCCTCAGAATATGGCACCTCAGGAGCCCCTCCGAGTCGTCAGCGTGCACCACCAAGTAAAGCAGCCACCACGAGAACGTCACGTGGTCCAAGCGTGCAGACAATCCACACGACTCCTGTGAAAGTTGTACACTGAAATCCGCGCCAGTTTAGCCCCGCCATGTGTAGTCATAATCTCAACCGCTTGTTAGTAAGGACAGGTCGATTTAAATCAATTAATTTTTGTCATTTTGTAATAAATCATTTGTTTTATTTGATTTTGTCTTCCTTATGATGAACGAAAAACAAAACAAAAACATGCAATCACAAAAAATGCGTTTAGCGTTCGAAGCAGGAGACTGAGAGGTCTGTTTCCAATTGCAAGTAGAAGAAACCTCTGTAAACAAAGATCAGGCGAAGAAAAGGTTGGATCGTAGCCTCAAAATTTGAGAACATATGCAGACGGAAATTCGATACACACAGGATATTATCTAGTTTTGTTTTTGTTGACTGCCTGTTGAAAGTGTTAAGTATTATGCGATGTTGGATGGTTAACACCATTCTGGATCTTTCTGTTACTTTTTGGAAGCTCAAGTGAGACCTCAAACACCTGGAGGTCTTAAATTTCTTTCAGGCGACTTTTATTTTATAAACTAGTTTTGAGTAAAAAACTATTGGTACTGTCTTATCATAAATTTTCTGGAAAAATAAGATTTTGAGTTTACGAGAACATACTGACTAAAATTTCAGTAACCAGTGATCACATGTCCTTTTAGAGGACTTTTTGTGTGAAACTCAGGCAGCAGGTTTGCAAGTCAGCAAATGGAAGATTTTGATTAAAAATAAACAATCAATTTAACGAAGGACACCAATATTTAACGATCATTTACCGAAGTTCGCCACAGAAAACTCTGTTTGAAGCAATTTTACTCTGATGGAACTAATGGGCTAACGAGATCGAAATTGTTTTTCATATTATCCTTCGCCGAGTGCTTTACCGAGGTAGCCACCTTCTTCAAACCTTACTGAAAGCACTGATTCACACACAACTAATATGACCATTTGTGCGTTATCTAGCTGGGACCTTAACAACAGTTATGGAAAAAAAGGGAAGAAGTAAATGTAGTATGCGACATTTCACTTGATGAGGTGATCTGAATTAGTGCGTGTGGATGCTCTGACAACTGGAAACTCAGACAACAAAGTCCAATAAAAGTGATTAGTTGTGGCGCAGTTTTTTCAGAGACCAGATGTGTAAAATTGTGCAATAAAGCGTTTATTAGAAAAAAAAAAAGGTTCCCCGAAAATGATCAACCCTCTGAGTAACACATCGAGTTCAATTGAACTGTTTTTAGAAATAGCCACCTCAATTTTTCATGATTTGTTTGATTTTTTTTAAAGTCTGCATTACATAGATTAGTTTCAACCGCATGTTAAACATTTTTAAACGCCACTTGTAGACCCCTAAATTTCTTTTAAGTCCTTCAATTCGGAGGAAACGCCGTCAGCTGACCGCCACATTGCCTCAATCTCTTGTTATCTGCCTTGGCTGAATTTTTCACCTCGAAGCGTAAAATTGCATCTGGGTTCAGGCGATAATACAGTGCGTGATCATCATTCAAAACTTTTACAAATCCATACTGTTTCGCGTTAACAAATGTAGTTCTGCTCTAAGCTGGTTGTAAGAAAAACAGTTTTCGATGAAATCAAGTCATTTCTGATCCAGGAGTTAAAGGTGCGAGAAAATTTGCGACATATGTAACAAATAACGTAATTTTCGCGGGCTTTGATCATTACCTCATACAAAGCAACCAATCGGTAAAGCGTACCTGCTAAAATACGGGCTGGTACCATGAATATTGGATATCGTGTTTATTTTAGCTTTAGGCGGACCAATCAGAGTGTACAGTGTGATATCGCTGGTATTTGGAGAGAAAGGAAAATTTCATGTCCGGAACTTGAATGTAGAGCGAGGGAAATTTGGGAGAAAAATTTTCCCAAAGTATTATGAAGATCGTATCACTGGTTTTGATCTTCGGATTGTTTGCAGTGGGGTTTTCACGGCCTTCCGAAAGTAAGTTAACCTCATCCCTACCGTAGTTTGAGTACGATCACTACATCGAGCAGAGTGATCTATATTACAACCTGGGATTGCTGGTGTCTTCTGTGATCTGGGAAGGTCTCGTGTGTAAGCCTCTACTCACTGGCTTAGTCGTACCTTATCTAAACCTAAGATCTAGCTGAGCTAAGCTCCGAGAGTTGTTTTAACTTTCCTTGGTTCCAAAATCGTGGGCAGTGATATGCTTTAACAAGTTAATGTTTAAGAAATGTTGACACTCCACAGTAACAGCCACCCGTTAACTTTTTACCTTGCTCAAGCCTTCTCTGAATGAATCTTTATTTCACAAAACTATTTTCCAAGTGTTACGAATGCGTTTGAAACTTTGTTCCATAATCGTCCTTTATCACTTAAGTTCCTAATTCTCCAGTGGATCTATAAATTAACTATTACAATTTTTTTAAAAAAAACTATATCGCTTTGCTTATTGAAAACCACCGATTCTTGCTGATTGAAAACTGAAACTGAACTGACGGATAGCAAAAAGCCTGTCTCCTTTTTTTCATTACTTCATGTGTAGAACAGCATTTGCGGAAATTAATCCAGCCGGATTTTGATCTTTTGTATGTTTTTCAGACTACAACTTGTCACTAACTTTCAACGTGATATCATTCAAGCGACGCAAAACACAATCAACCGAGTCAGAGTTTTACACGGTTTATACCTTCTGTGATTTCCAGTATCGCAAGAACAACATTTTCATTCATCCATGAAATTTCTGAATTAAAAGTTTCATCAGAAACGGAAAGTTAATACTATGTCACTTTGATATACGCTAATAATGATCTTCTGAGGCGTTCACCACACCCAAAAATTGTATTTTTAGACAACCCTAACCACCTTGCTAATTCAAAGCTCTCTAAATACAAAATGTAGAATCAAAATCTAGGACCTTTAGGAGGATAGGTTTTTTTTTGGGTTGTATTGAATTCTACCCTGAGTTTTACTAAGTGTACAATTCCTATGACTTTTGAAAGGAAATAACAACCTTTCCGTGGCCTATTGACAGAATTTAAGGACCTTAATTTCATCATAAAATCATGTCTAGCCACCACAACCGTAGGTGAGGAAAAATGGTTGGTTTTGACCAAATTTAGAACGCATTCAGCCGCAAAAATTAGAAGTTTGTCTTAATTTATTTTTAAGCATATTCTGTCAAAAGGGCCATTTACATCAACCAACAAACTCTCAAATTGATGTTTTTCGGGCGCTAAAGGAAACACGAATAATTATCAAATATTAGGTTTCTTATGAATCTCAGGAGGAAAGAAATGAGACGAAACAAAAATAAATATATGTATAAATATCTTTAAAGCTCAAAGTTCGCTTTTACCATATATCTTGTGAGAAGGAAGTGGAGAAATGATCTGAAAACATCATGTTAGAAACACAAACATATGTATATCTTATTTGTTTGTGTAGAAAAAGTCAAAGCTGCGGAAATAGTGGATGAGTCTGATAGAGAACTTATCCGAGTTGCCAGGGGAGATGTAGAGGATGAGGAACCTAAACAGAAAGCTCACCTCGAAAAGAAGAGATCCACTGAAGGTAAGTTTAACGTGAAAACAACACTGTCATGCACCAGTTTAAGAAAGGTAACTGTTTTTTTTCTTCTTTGCTCAGAGATCAAACGGAATAAAAGAGCCGCAGAGGAAGGTAAGTTTGTAAGTTTGTAGGTGTCTTCGTTGATTTTTTTCTCATAGGGATTTTTCAGTCCCCATCAAACTAAGGGTGGTTTATTGAATTGATGAACATACATAGACATTGGAACAACTTGGTCCTTATTGTCTTGGCACACCTGCATATTATTGTTCAAATGGGCCCGCTGGAGTAGCTAATCAGAAAACAGGATTTGCCTTCATATTACCTACGAGCGCAGCCAGCGATTTATTAAATTGAGTTCTGACGCCATGAGACAGTGCAGAGCACCATCAGTTGAGTGTAGAGGTAAATCTCCGGCTCCACCAGATCCGTTGAAAAGCAAACAAAGGCTTTAAATTCAGAGGGTAAAACTTTTCATACACACAATTTCGTTTAGGTTATATCATGTTATAATTTCCCTACAGACGCTTTCTTTCAAGCTCTTCTGACGCGAGCGGCAGACAAGAAAACAGGTGAATAACTGGATTTTATTCAGTTCTCTTTATAAGCTCTCAATATTTGCACCGTACCTGTAAAATTTTATAATTTTCCGTCTTTCCTTTTTAGAAAAAAAGAGGTCTTTTGATGATGGTGCTGACAACACAGGTACAAACTTTCATCCATTCTTTTACAGCCAATGGGTTGTCCACGTTTATTTTTTCAAAATAAATTGAAGAAAGCTAAGCGAGGGGAAAATTTTACATCAGACTGAACTGTGAAAAGATTCGACAAGGTTGCACGCGAAGATTTAGTAAGCTTACCCAAAGACTCTTTGGGTAAGCTAACGGACGGAGACCGGAAATTGCAAATTTATCTGGGACACGTATATGCAAGAAAGTCCTATCCAAAATGAGTACCATACCTCAGGGAAAATAACTCTCTACTTCCGACCGCCAGCCTCGTCTCCAAAACGTGTTTGCTTTGGTTCCCTGTTGAGTCCAGTACAGAAGTCGTATTCTTGAATTAACGGTATTTATACACATCGCTTGTGTTTGTTAGACGTCATACAGATGCAACACAGCATAGCTTACTGAAGACTATTTTTATCCTCCTACCACTTATTTATTTATTTGTATGTTGTTGCTGTTGTTTCACTAGGATATATAATCCGAGATGATTGGAAGGGAGACTCAAAAATTTCAGATGCTGATAGGCAGGGTAAGTTCTCTTGATTAAATCAAGGAACACAGAGGAAACAGAAGAGTAAAAATACTTTTAACTGATATATTTTCAGAGCTTGAGAGTCTTTTTAATGCCATTAACTCTCCTGAGGATGAAGGAGAGGAAAAAGTTGAAGAAACAAGAAGTATAAAGCCGGTGAGAAATTTGGTTTAGATTTTTAACATTTGGGGTATTTTCATAAGCTTCTAGACAAGAAAACTGTTTTTCCCTCCCTTGTACTCTTTCTTTCTTTCGTTTGTTTACTTCTATTTGTATCGTTCAACCAAAATTAACCTATTTTCAATTAAACTTTTTGAAAATTTTTACCATGTTTTTAGGGTCTAGAAGGAAAGATCCAACAGTTCATTGAATGGCTTATGAGTCAGCCGGTGAGTGGAAATCATATGCAGCAGGTTTAACTTTGATGGTATTGCTATCAGAAATGCTTCCTTATCTTCATCAGACCAACTCCATGCATTCTGATTTGATTTTCAGCCTGACAAGTTTACCAAGTCCTTATCGCACATTCTTGATGTAGAGCAGTCTTTGACAAAGATGTTCTATGACGGTAGGTTGCACAGATCCTTAAACTGTGACCAGATTTCTTTACGGGGGACGCTTTTTTTATAGTTTAAGGCAACAGACTGTGGGCACTGAGCCGTGCGCGTGCGGGAATGTTTTCTTTTATACCTCCTCACCTCTCAATCTGCAATATACAGTCCACTGCCAATTTCTGGGCCGAAAACAACAACAACAACAATGGAGGAACGACAAATCATAACTCAACAGGCTGATAACATAAAAATATTGAGGATCTGGCAATTATGACTCATTTGAAGTAACCAGTACTATGTTTGGAGTCTTGGTATTTAGCTAACCAACGAATCAATAAAAACACTTCTGCCTGCTTAGGTCACACAATGCAGTTTGCTAATTATGCATGTGGTAAGTCCAGCAGTGGACATCAAACGACCGACCCAAAAAGGCTACAGTATCATGTAGATGGCAAGGAAAGTGAACCGTCCTAACTAAGATATCTAGGATTAATTGAATAATTAACACCCCAAATGATTGAATGTTTACAAATAGAGCTTTTGCTGAAGGAGAACTCCGGTAAAGCCAACCGGCTTCAACTCTGCTCTCTGATTATTACTGAGTTTAGGTCCGCCACAACAACAGCAGCAGGCAGACCAACAGCAGCAGCAAGGTCAGCAGCAAGGACAGCAGCAAAGACAGCAGCAAGGTCAGCAGCCGCAGCAGCAACTGCAGCAACAAGATCCAGCCGGTAAGCAGGCCCGTTTTATTCCCAAAACGCTTACATTAATGGTTTGAAAAAGTACAAGGATTGATGGCTTCATTGATGCAAGGAATATTGTTTGTCCCACGGTTTAAAATATTTGCAACAACAAACGCGAAATAACGTTTCAAATAACGCTCTGAATACCCAAGACTTGAATTTCTTTGGGCTATATACCTTTTTTATATCTTTGAAAGTTTACTTCAGCTCTAATAAAAATGATGATGAAAAAATAATGAATAAATGGACGAAAATTACAAATCAATAAAAAGATAGGTGAATTTATGATTAGTTAGATACATAAGTTAATTTTTTTCGTCTTAAGTATCTATCTCTGTCGGTTAAAATCCACGAGCCTCTTAGCTTTTCTAAGATAACTGTTAATGATATTTTTTCCACTATTTCTGCAAATACAGCAAACAGCAACAAGAACTGCAAGAGTAAGTGCTTTACTCTACAGCTGGGTAATACTGAGTGTAAGATCATCTGTGACCCCCCATCCATTGAACAGCCGACACAATCACCTTATGGACTCTATCCACAACAGTACGGTCAGCAGTATCCTTATGGAGCGCAAATGCCATCACCCTGTGTCCCCCCAGCCTGTCAGCCCAGTCAGTACCCCGGTTACATGTCACCTCAGCCATATCCCGCCGCTGGAGCCTATCCCCCTGCGGCTGCAGGCACTTCCCCTGTTCAGGAGGGTTGCGTGGGACGGTCATGTGACAAAAAGGAGCCACAGTCTGATAAACCGGCTGAAGAAAAAAAAGAGAAACAAGATAAACCGGCTCCTCCTGCTCCAAAGCCTGCCAAAGCTCCGTCTCCATACACTTTCCAGGTTCGATGAGGTTTTCCTTAGATGGGTATATTTTCCATGCTTTCCGCGTGACGAAAAGTAATAAAACGGTCCAATTACAAAAACTACTTTATAAAAAAACAAGTAATTGTTAGAGAATGGCTATAGAGTTTGACAAAGCAATTTTTTACTGCTGTCGGGCATATTTTCAAACGTATTTTTAGCATTTGGCTCGTGTTCTTAAGACTTGGACAATATCTAGTTTAAACCTTCACTTACTAACTTGCAATAATCCCTTTAGACTCCCGGCGCAACTGTCGTGATGGATCCGATCAGTATCAGTCAGCAGCCGGAACCTCAGATACCAGTTGCTCCAATGATCCCGGGTCAGATCCCGATGGCGATGCCTCAGCTTCAGCAGCCTCAACCGTACGCTGTTCCCCAGGCCTCCCCTCAGGTTCCTTATTCCATTTCCATATCAGGAGTAGCTGCACCGCCAGCACCAGCCCAGCCTCAGGGTGCCGCACTTGCACAGCACTTCAAGCCTATGCCTAATAACTGCCAGGATTATAGCGAGCCAAGATGTCGCGTATTCCTTGATTGGCCCACAGGTATTAATTGTCGTAATGATTACATGATGTTCTTACCATTCATTCAAGACGAAGATGAGTTAAACAATTTTTAGAATTTTTCTATTTTCAGCAAACAATCTAACCTTTTTACAACAAATTCAAACAATAGGTCCGCACTGCGTACATGTGTTTAGCACAAATTAAAATCAAAGTAAAAATGCTTACAGCTTTACTGCACTGTCAGTCTATTTGGAAGGTATGCTGAATAGCTGTAAATGGGTGCATAGGTGTACCAACGTGTAGTAATTTTCAAGGAATTTTTTGGATAAACTATGTTGACTACGAGTTCCGATTTTTCTGAGTAAATCGATCCACGGGAGGGTTTCTCAACTAATCAGAAGCAATACTAAAACAAATTATGACTACCGAGGAACAGCATTTTGCAAATATCTACGTAATATCGAGTAAAATTTAATACGAAATCAGTTTTTGGAATTATGGGAACGAAAAAAAAAGGTTTCAACACAAGGATTTCCGTAAAATATTTACATCTGTAAAACAAAGATATACGCAACGCAGGTACAAGTCGCGACGACATTCTGATGATATTTGGGGCGTTACCATATTAGACATACAAAATGACATGGAAACCAAACGAACATAGAGTTTTTAATTAAAATAAAAGGAAAATATAAATAATGCAGAGTTTTTAGTGGCTGAAGGGTGGATCCTCGTGCAAGAAATAAAGTCATAAAATCTGTTAACCCATACACTGGCCGTATACCGCTGACCACCTGTCAATTAAAAGAAACGTGACGATGAACAAAGTACAAAAGGTCAATTACAGAGGTGAAATGTGAGCGCGTAAGATCGGAAGTCTCTTCTGTATCAATAACTTAGAAAAGAATTGTTTACTCTCCGAAGTAAACCTGCTTCGCCACCTCAGGCCCTTCTTAAGACACGACAATCTGCAAAACGCATGGTTTCCTACGTCGATAAGCTGTCTCGTAACGTTTGCTTTTTCGAATTCAATTGATGCCGAATATCCCTCTGTTTGCTCAAGGAGTTTGGCTCACCAAATAGGATTTTTCCGACTTATCACGACAGATCTTACGACAAGATATTGATGTAATTACGGCACGTCACTGGTTAGGCAGTTTTGTCTTATTTGTGTTACGCGATGGTCGCCTACATCATGTAGCCTGCCACGTACGGTAAACTTCACAGAAACCATAACAGCAATTGGCCATTTTTTTTCCTATGTGAAGCACTTACGCAATCTCTTACCGCTGTTGCACAGCGTCTAGTTGCTACGCACAAGACACAAAAAAATACTGACTCTGCGAGACAAAGTTATCGGAAAAAAAAGTTTCTCGTCCATAACTTGAGCTGTTTTTGTGTTTGTATCGATCAATCATATCGTATACATGTTTTGATTTTGAGGTCATTTTTACTAGAGAAAAAAAAAACGGAAAAGAGTTAGCTTTCCTAATTGTGTACGTATTTGTTGAATTTCCACAGATGAGCGTAATGAAATCAAAGCTTCACTGAGATTCAAACAGAACTGGCATAATGATTACAAGCGTTCATCTTCAACAAAGTACAAGATCTTTGCTGCTGAGGTGGAGAAAGCGGTAAGCTCTATCATAACATGTTTTATGTTTCTCTTTTGCATAAATTCGGCCATATAAACATTATTTTTATCTTGCATGGATTGTCCCCCACGGGACAGACTGAAGACTGAAGACATGCATTAGCTAACTATTCCTCGCTAGGAACTCAGGAACTATTACTCCAAGAGTCAGTTTCACCAAGTTATCTTTGGGATCGTGAAAGCTACCATTTTGTTATCTCTCTGTCAGTGTGGAGGTTTCAGCGTGAGGTTTCAGCGCTGTTTTCTGTATGTGGCACAACGAAAACAAACCTATATATTTGCTTATTACTTCATAGCAAGATACGTTTTGTGTTCTTTTTGGCATCACAGATAAAAGACGTTTACACCCAAGACAAGAATTTTAGACAAGTAAAAGTTACTAGCTTTAGGTAAGATCTTGAATGTTATGAATGTTATTGATACGAGATGTTCGAAGAGGACTAAACTTACTCTCGTGTTTATCCACAGCGAGGAAGACATGAAGGTTGCAGCCAACTTCCTTCTTGAGTTTGCTCAGCCAGAATACAGCGCATTGAGATATCTTTCACGCGCTATCTCCGAAAACTACCTGCAAAGCATGCCGGTATTCAAGCATACGTTGCTGAGGGAAGGTAAATGCAGTAGAAGATAACCTTGAAAGTTATGTAAATCATCTTGTGACTAGAAAGTTGTTTCCCACAGTGAAAGTTTGGTTCAAGTTCACTTTTTATCATTGGAGCTCTACTTTCACGCGTGGTCTTTAAGCGTAATAAAACCAATCAGTATTTCCCTCTGGATGTACAAGATTCCTAATTATGAAAATAGAAAAGGTCAAATTGTGGGCATGTATATTGTACAATTTGGCAAAAATCTACCTCCAATTTTAAGTTTCTGATTCACCTTATCCGGGAGTAATTCTATTTTATTTGATTCCTAATTAATTTTGGTAGTTATTCTATTTTTCTCTGATATTTTCTTCCTTTTCCACACAGGCATTGCACATCACCACCGATCAATTGTAGCCACTCAAAAGGAGCTGGATGCTGTTCCTAAAGTCAAAGTTGTGAGCAGCCATAAACAAGAAGATGAAATTTTGACAACTTTGTCCAGCGGTTCGTTTCCACGATTCTCTTTTCTGAATGCTTATTTCATTGACCTATCTTTTTCATTTGTTTGTTTGCTTGCACATCGTGTGTAAAATGTTCACTAAGCTTACTGGAAGTTTTTTTTCTTTTCATCTTTGATTTTTTCCAGTTTCCTAACCAGTAATAAATGATACAATAGGGTTTATGTTCGCGGGCATAAATATGTTTTGGGTCCGACTCTCAGTCATTTTAGCGGTGAGGGTTAAAATGACTCTAAGGAGGGCCCAAAAAATATTTATGCTGGAGAACATAAAACTTTGTTGATATACTATAACTCTAAAATGCACTGAGACATTAAAAACTGACAAAAATTACAGCAAACAGTTTCCCAGTCTTAACAATCACAAGAACGAGCAAGCGGGCTAAAACGCCAGAATCTCCTTTTTTAACCCGCAAAATGCGGCACAATGCCTTACAAAGTGGTGATACCTTTCATTAACTTTGTTATATCTCTAATTATTCTCTATAGCCTACCAGGGATGCTACAAAGATAAAAAACCTAATCGTGATTTAAGAAAACAGTTCACAAAGTATGAAATGACACCTGAGTGGTGTGTTGGCAAGTGTAAGCTGGCCGGATACAAATATGCAGGGCTGCAGTATGGATATCTGTGCTTCTGTGGCGATAGGTTTGGCACCTACGGCAAGGTTGATGACGCTGAATGCGATAGTTTATGTTTTGGTGATAAGACAAGATATTGTGGAGCTTTCTGGCATAATTCTATCTTTTCTGTAGGTAAGTCATCGACAAGGAATGAAAAAGTCTTATCATGCTCAATAACACAGAATAAATTTCCCATTCAAACATGCAATATGAATTCCGGAAAAAGAAAAATAAATGCAACAAACATTCCTAAAAAGAATTTTCCACACAGTAATATCCTCTGATCCTTTTTTTTCTTTGACCAAGATCGCGAAAAGCATGAACCACCTGCGAAAGACGAGCCAGAAGAGCAAGAAGACAGTGGATCAGGAGAATCTGTGGAAGAGCCAGAAGACAAATATGGTTGGTGTTCAAGTCTGAATTTTAATTAGCTTATTTCATCATCATTATTTGCATTTCAGACCTTTATCTTTTTTAGATGCGTAGTGACCGAAATGGGATTAACTCGCTCGGATCTTTATATTATTATTATTATTATTATTATTATTATTATTATTATTATTATAAGACCCTTTTATGCAAATTACACAATAAACTCTTCAACTAAACCATTGTTGTTTTACTTTCTCATCCAGCTCAATAATGTAATGTAAATAATGTAATGAAAGGAACACTTCACGAGTCATGACATGAAACACTTCACATGGCTGACAAACACACTAACACTAACATTAGTGCTCTCACTCGTATTCTTTGACGCAGTAACCATTTTATGGTAAATACTTGGTTCCCTTAGCAAATATTCAGGAAGGTATTACCGGTATTTATTTGTAATAACGTCAAGTTGATTTTATTTTACTTTCATACTTATCACCTGATATAACCAAGTACCAGAGCACAGTAAGTATTTTTAATTGTTCGTATATATAAGCCACAGATGCTTTTTCATGGTATTTCATATAAAGAACAACTGTTTCTTCGTTTTAAAACTCTTGATGAAACTTCACAAAGCCTTGCCTTTCCGGAAACAATGATTTTCAAACCACACCCCTTAAGTTCCTGCCTTTAACATTTTGCCTTTTTATCTCTTCATAGCTGAAGTTGCCAATCATCTTATGAAAGGTAAGGGTTATCCTAGTTTTAAAGTGACCTTCATCGTGATCATGTGATGCTTATACCTAAGATTTGCATAAGATATTGTCATTTTTAAAACTATTTATTTTTCTGCATTTCTTTTAGCCGCGGAAGCTGCCCTGAAAGGTGAGTATATCTGTAAGGAGCTATCAGATAAAGGCATAAAAATTCAGATTGTGTACTTGTATAATCAGCCCGGACATTAAATACAGCCCGAGTTACTATTTTTTTTTTTAATTTAACGTCGAAGACGTGGGAAGTGTTTGCACAATCTTCCGAGCCAGAGGCTCATGTTAAAAACTCTCGACAAACTAAAATATATATATATATATATATATTAACTAGCCCAAGAGTATGTCAAAATGTAAAAATATATAAAATTATATACAGTTCATACATTGGTATCCTGTGAAATTAACATTATTCAGGCGAGCACGAGATTGTGCTTGAGTGGTCGAGGATTTGGTCACAACTGGTAACTGATTCCACATGTTTGCAATCATGTACAAATAGGAGTTGTGCATGATAAGGTTGTTTGCCAGCCTTGTAATAATCACCAACAATAACAGATGAAAAGAGCAGAGAAGAAGAGAAGACAAGTGATAAAGCGCGGAAGTTGAGGAAGACACGTCTGAATAAAATGATGCACCTGAGGTTTTTAAATAGTTACATATTTTAGAGAGTGGTTTACTTCTGTCTTTCAATCCAAAATCTCTCTATCTGTATTTGGAGCTAAGTAAATCCGTTTCAGAAATTGTAGACGCAAATTCTGCGGGTAACTGGACCATTTTCCCTCGGATTTTTCCCGGCCACTGTAAATAGCCTGTAAAAACTCGTTCATAATATATTTTTTATTCTAATTTTTCAGCTGCCAAGAAATTGTTACCACGTGAGTATTGTCTTCAAATCTTAAAATGTGATAAACGATATGTTCTCAATTTGACCACGATCAAGCATGGGTCGAACTTGGTGAGTTAGGGGATCGAGTAAAAATTTATATTGAAGAAAGTTTTAATAAGAAATAACATAAATGTAAAATTGACAAATCACCGCCTTTCCCGTCTAGATGCTGATCATGGCAAATCCAAACGCGCACCAGATGAAGAATTTCAGCAGCAAAGTGAAGACGCACTCTACTCACTCAGTGGTAAGTACAGTAAACAATTACCACACTTTCTAACCATTTGAAAGTGTACAGCGTTTAACGAACTCAATTTTTCTTCTTTTCGACAGAGGCTGAGAAATTGATGGAATCAAAGGATGCGTCCCTTCAATCAACGACTAAAGAGAAACGAGACGCAGAGGGAGATGGTCGGGATCTTTTGGTGGCTTATCTGAGCGACGTGGGGGGCTACGACAGAAATTATCGTGATGTTGGAGATGAGGACGAAAATAGTTCGTTAGGTAGAAATGCAAACATAAGCAAACCCCCCCACCCAAAAAAAAAAAAAAAAAAAAAAAAAAAGCACGAGCGATAATGTCTTGATAAGAGGTGGCTGAATTACGAAATGAATTAGAAGGGAGGTAAAGTCCAGTCGCAGAATGGAATGCACGCCACGGCGTTGATAGAGCAACGCATTTGATTCTTTTTTTTTGGCAAAAAGTCACGATCAATTGAAAAACGTTGAGCCATTTCCATTAACAACATGATGTACAATCTTTGACTGTACCTTACCATTCTTTTTGTTCAGGAAAATAGATATATAAACTGTAATCAATATGGCGGACGGTCACGTTTTTAGAGCTCTTAGATGCTGGATCATTCTGCTTTATTTCTACGTTTGTTTCTCTGGTGCACTCCTTCCCAAGGCTAATCCTGACCTCGATATATCTGGTGATACTCTTCTCTTCATTTCTCACGGTCTGACGACAGTGAGAATTCAACCTTTTAACCATCGGTCACCGAGCTCGCAACATGCAAAGAATCTCCAGTTGCCGAATTCAAGACTTCTACTCCTTGGATGCCGTTTTGCGATTAATTCCTCTCTTTCCTTACTACTCATTCGTCTCGCAAATGATGTTGAACTTCAACCTGGTCCTGTTGGCTCCTCTAGTTCACATGACATCCTGTCTGATCTTCGGGATTTGTCAACGAAAAATGGGCTTACAATTATTCATCAAAATATCAGAGGCCTCGTGGCGAACAGGGATAGTCTATGCCAAATGATCGATGATTCCAAGCATATAGACATCATATCCCTCAGTGAGACTCATCTATCGGACAGTGAAGAGGCTCAAGTTCAACTGGATGGCTATACGTTCATTAATAGACCAAGGAAAACAGGCAAAGGTGGAGGTGTGGGAGTTTATATCTCCTCTTCTGTCCCCTTTCATAGAAGACTAGACCTGGAACGCGATGGGATCGAATGTATCTGGATAGAAATTTTATTTCCAAAATCTAAGGGTATCCTTATTGGTTTTATTTATCGCCCCCGAGTTCTTCAAAGCATCTTTGTGCAGATTTTGAAAATAAACTGGAGTCGATGCTTTCTGCTGTATCATCTGAAAACAAAGAATGCATTTTGACAGGCGATATCAACTGCAACTATTTGGTAAGCTCAGACAACAAAGAACTGAAGGCAATGCTATTGTCTTTTGGCCTTAAACAGCTAATCAAGGATCCCACGAGGGTAACGCAAGATTCAAAAACACTGATAGATGTGATTTACACAAATCGCCCTCAGAATGTTTATAGTGTTAAAGTCATTCCCGCCGGCTTAAGTGACCATGATATGATTGGTTGTGTCCGGAAGCTGCATAACCATAAATTCCAGCCAAGAACCATCACCTGTCGAAACTATGCTAATTATGATCCTATATCCTTTTGCAATGATTTACGGTCCAATAGTTTCACACCTGTCTTTAAATCCTCCTGCGTTAATGAAGCATGGTCTTTTTGAAAGCCATTCTGAAAGAATGTATTGATAAGCATGCGCCAGCTATAAAGAAGAGGATCAAAGGAAACTCAGCCCATGGCTTACACAGAAGGTAAAGCAAGAAATGAATACCAAAGATCAGCTTTTGAGAAAAGCGAGAAAGACAAATCGTGAAATTGACTGGTCTTCGTACAAGCGCCAACGAAACAAAGTTAACGGTATGGTAAAAATTGCAAAAGCAGGTATCACCGTGAACTCTTAGAGGAGACTGTGGGTTCACCTAACAAATTTTGGTCAGCTATTAAAAAACTATACCCTACAAAGTCTACAAAGGAACCAGGAGCAGCTTTTCTCGTTAATGAAGCAGTAGAAACCGACAAAGAGGTTATTGCAAATTTGTTCTGCAAATTCTTCACTGATGTTGCGCGATCTCTAAAAAGAAAGATCTTCCCTCTTTGCAATTTTGTCTGGAAAAGGCCCCTTACAATAGACACCCAGCAGCCGCTAGAGAACTTTGAGTTTAGATCAGTCTCGGAAAAGGTTGTCTTTAATGCATTAAAGAGCCTTAAGAGAAATAAGTCCTCTGGCCTTGACAACTTTCCTTCTGGAATGTTAAAGGACTCTGCTGATATAATAGCCAAGCCTCTCACGCATATAATTAACCTGTCTCTCGCAACAGGGTCTGTACCTACTGACTGGAAAGCGGCTAAAATTGTACCACTTTTTAAATCTGGTTCAATGGCCGAAATCGACAATTATAGGCCTATTTCAATACTTCCCTCAATGTCAAAGATCCTGGAGAAAGTGGTATTTAAGCAGCTGATGGCTCATTTTGAACAGAATGGTCTACTTTCTCATTTTCAGTACGGCTTCCGTCGCATGCGCTCTACTGAACTGGCCGTTACTCATCTTACCGATGTTATCAGAAGAGAAGGTGAGAATGGTAACCTGACAGGCTGTGTTTTCATCGATCTATCCAAGGCGTTTGACACCATCAGTCACTCTGGCCTCCTGAGCAAGCTTTTCAACTTACGGAGTTCGTGGAACAGAACTCGCATGGTTCACTGATTACCTTTTCTGCAGATCACAAGTTGTCCAATATAAAGGCGTGCTATCAGAACCTCAACCCATTCTCACAGGTGTTCCTCAGGGAAGTATCCTGGGTCCTATCTTATTCATTATCTTTTTCAACGATGTACATAAACCGCTTCAACACTCGAAGATTATCACTTATGCCGACGATTCAGTCATCTATACCTCTTCTAAAGATATTGATACTATACAGAGAAGCCTTAGCGAGGATATGAATAACCTGTGCGAGTGGTTTAAAGACAACGAACTGATCATTAACCTAAAAAAAGGACAAGACGGAGTCTATGTTATTTGGAACAGCTAAAAGAATCAACCTTCAAGACAAGGAACTTAAACTTTCTGCTAATGGGTCACTCATCAATAATACCTCTACCTATAAGTACTTAGGTGTTCACCTTGACTCATCACTAAACCTCGCATCACATTTTGACCGAATCTATAAAAAGCTGCAACCAGAATCAATCTCTTGCGATCAATTCGTCCTTTGATCGACCAAAAGTGTGCAGAATCGATCTATAACACTATGATCGCACCTATCTTTACCTATTGCGGAACACTTGGTCTTAGCTTTCCGGATTACCGAAAGGAAATGATAAAGAACATCGAACGACGAGGCTTTAAAGTTATCGGCAATAGTTCTTTTAATCCCCATCCGTGAACAATTTGATCAAGCGTAAAAGCTGTCTGTTTGTTTTCGACTGTCTCCTGAATAATGTTTGCACACCCTTTAAGAACTACTTCGAAAGGCTGGTTCATTCTAAGGCCACTAGGAATAACGGTATATCAGTGAAATTACCCAAAGTTCGTTTAGAATTTGGTAAAAAAGAGCTTCTATTACCAAGGAGCAAAGACTTTCAACAACCTGCCTGCTGAACTAAGGTCGTTAGATTCGAGACTGAAATTTAAGAACAAATTGCGAGATTATTTTAGTTAAATTCTATCTAAACGTGGTTATAGGTATCTTTTTCAGAGTATTTTTATTTAATTTTTAATTTTTTCATTTTATTGTATGCTTTTCTAGACCTTAAGATCAATGATTATATCTTGTTAAATTTTATTTTATTTATTTATTTATTATTTTTGACAGGACCCCAAGGACAACAGTGTTACACACTGATGGGTTTCAATCCTGTATAAAAATTCGTTATTATTATTATTATTATTATTATTATAGGAGAAGGGTCATCACTGACTGTGATTCTCATATGGTATTCAAGCATACAATCGTGTTGATTGTATTTTGAGTGTTCTTTTTTGTCATTTACAATTGTTTTTAGAGTCCACAGACAAGAAACAAAAGGTTGAATATCGAAGAATGGTTATTGATGAGTCAGGAGATGGAGAATTCGTCGAGAAATCAAAGAATAAGGAACTGAAAGCTAGAAAGCGTCGAGAGGTCGCGGAGCCATGGGACGAAAGCTTTGACGGACCTAAGAAAATGGCTTCAAGGGCAGCTCCAGTGGAAACGACATCGAAGCGTAACGTTATTCCAGTATCACTAGGTGATACTGAAGATGACTTGAGCATGCTAAATGATGCATCGGGTGAAGATACCATGCTTGAAGCCAAACGAAGCCAAACTTTTCAGCCATTGACGTCAGACGAAAGCTCAAACGCAGCTGAATCCGGCGAGGGTGCTGATACTGCCATTGAATCTGGTGACAGGGATGTCTCTGAAGAGCAATCCGGGTTTGAAAACCAGGCAGCTGACGAGCCGGAAGAGACGGGCGAGTCTGTTCAGTCTGGGAACACAGACCAAGGAGAGGAATCTGGAGAAGAGGCAGATGAGGAGGAGAGCCAGGAGACAAGTTAGTTGAAATCATTAGAGATATTTAAATATGGACATCTTAACGTCACCTGGGCACGCTCATTCCAATATAAACTTTCAACACAGTTTAGTTTTCAAGTGACTGCTGATAAAAAATTTGTAATCACGTGTTATTGTCCATACACTTGACCTTGGCGTATTTTGGGAATAAAGCAAATGTCAAAGTATTACAGAGCTCCTAAGTTAATCGCTATCGCATGTATCACTGATTTCCATGACTATGGTGTTAAGCATTACGGATTATAGAATGCTATATTTTGTTTTTCTCACAGATTCTGCACGTGTTGTAAGGGTAGTTGAAAATGAGCATGATGATGTCACTTTGTCCCGTCATCGTAGAGAACTGCCGGAGGTTTTGGATGAAGAAGATAAACCAAAGGCAAGATCGAAGGTGAGAAGTTTTATAGATACTGGTATTCACACGATTGTGGAATGTCAAGAGATTTGATAAGACACGTATCGGTGAATCAGTTCTTGTCATTTTATTTTGATGGGAACCCTCTAAAAACTGAATTCCTTCCTAAGAAGACAGTTGGTCCCACTTTTTCACAAATTACTCACAAGATGAGAGAACTTCAACGACCTAATGTTGAGTCATTTTTCGACTTGAAAAAAACAAATACGGAAGCTGTTTAAAATTAATTTGGCAAAGAAGCAACATGAATGAATGAGATTAAAACGAATTGCAAAAAAGGGTCGAGTTCGGGGATTTTAAGCGAAAGAAACAGCTTTCGATCTAAATCCCTTTCTGACCTGTCTACCTCTCTAAAGGGATCTGTTGGTGTGGAGCCCAGTCTTGGGCTGCACTCAAACTGTACTGGTCGGAATAACTCCTTTGTTTCCTTGTAATAAGCCTTTTACATCTGTGTTTTAGAGACAAGATTTCATACTGAATGACAAAAATATCAATAAGATGCAGGACCAAGTAACTCAAGGTACAATGAAAGTTAATCAGTTGTTCATACTTGAATCCAAAGTGACGATGTTAATTATTGCTACAACATTTTTAAAGAATTAAGAAATAATAAATATCTGCTGTTTCCAGTATTGGGTTCTTTGCCGAACTGACAGCTTTGGCAGAGCTTGTATTTGTATCTTTATTTTTGATAATAATGGTTACAATGCAGTCAGTAGTTGTTGCGTTTTCCACCTTACAAGTTGCACTGGTTACTATTAATGTTCATCATTGATTCGTTTGTCTCTCCTTTCCCTTCATATCGATGTCTTTGACTGATGAATTAAGCCACAAGTCTAACTTTGCTTTCCACGTCTGACTTTGTTTTCCAAATTTATTACGAGTTGACCTTTTCCCTTCGTTTCAGGAGTGGACAATATAATGGGCCTGATAGTAGATATATATCAGTCGAAGAGGACCCTGGCGAGATTGGGACAAGTTGTTAGCCAATTGAAACAAAATGTGATGCAACAAATGGATGTGCCAGTTGGACAGAGAGATCAAGCAAGGAACAAACTCAGAAATACTGTTCGACACACACTAGTGCAGAAAATTAACGGTGAGAACTGACCAATCCAATTGAAATATTCTGATTGGTCTGTAATCTTTGGTCTTCATGAGACATTTGTTAGTGAAGGCAAAGTGTTTGCTCCAACCGAAGGCTAAAGCTCGAACTGTCAACTTTTTGAAAATTTTCAAGGCCTTTTATCAACCTCCAGTGTCAGCTTTTTGAAATCTGTCAAGGACTTTTATCAACCTCCTGTATCAGCTTTTGGTTGATAATCAACGTAATAAGGGACGTGCCGGTCATTATTTATTTACTCGGGGTGGGGAGGGTGGGAAGAGGGTTGGAGAGTTTGGTTGTGTCACGATCATTGAATTTTATCTGATCCCCCTATAACACTCCTCAATATTCTCATGAAACCCCTCCCCCTCACTGGCAGCTAATCGGCAGTAAATTTTGTCTGGTTCTTTTTTGCATACTCCGTTTGGCAACGACTGATCCTCCCTTAGCATCCTGCCTCCCTCCCCCCTGAAAACCATAGCATCCCACCCAAAATCCTCCTTTATCAATTTTAACTGGTTCCTAAATCAGACTGTGTTTTCTGCACTCGACATCTTGGTATATTTTAGCCACAGCTATCTCTTAATGATTTGGTTTTAGTATTGTGTCGCGTAAGGGGTCAGCCCAACGAATCCTGTATTTCAAATTTACATTACCCATACTATTTGACTATCTTCAGAGCTTGCTCAGTCAATTCGCCAAGAAGTTGAAGATTATAAACAAAGTCACCAGGCAGTTAGTCAACAAGCTAAGGAGGCCATCTCAGCTCTCTTGGACATTCCCGTTTTCCAAGATAAAGTTACCAGCTTAAAAAGCACAATCAAGAAAAGAGCTGCAGATATTGAGAAAGAATATAAGAAAGCCAAAAGAGGCAGCGAAGAACTTCCAAGTATTTTAAAAGAACACTTCAAGAGAAATGCTCCAGCTGATATAAAAGGGGAAAAGAGGCTTTCACGTTCCCACAGAGATTTGAATCTATAAAAACTACTCAAACACAGTTACAGCGGTGACACTTCAATGCACATAAATCGAGTGCTTCCTGTAATAAATCACGATGAATGATCTGTGATGCAATTTGGGAGTGTTAAGCGTGGGAATGAAATCTTAAAAGATAGATACTTTGTAACATTAGACGAACATGTAGACAACTACATGAGAATTTTACATGAGAAAGAATCACAAGGTTTAATTCAGATTTTTTGGGGAAGGTCACCTCGTGACTTCATCAAGACATCACACCAGTTTCTTATCTTTAACTGTAAAGTATGTAATAGCTCTTATTTTATGAAAACGTTTGTTCAAATATTTTTTTCCTTTAGCGTAGTACTATTTCTGCACTGTTATCCTCGAAGGATCTGATAATGAAACACGTAGAAAATTGATCACCAATGCATGTGGAAATTTCATCGCCTCACCTTAAGGGTTCTAAGCTAGGGGTGTTTATTTAAAAGTGCGAACACTAGTGTTTACTACTACAAAACTGTTCCGTCGTTTTTCAAATTTACTTTTTATTAATTATGATATTCATCATATAATGGAAACTCCACTATATTGCCTGGGGTGCCAAGACAACACTGTGCCACGGAGACGGTTTTACGGAGCTTGCAAGAGACGTTTATGCACCCGTGTCTGACTTTAAACCCCCTCCGCCCCCCGTCCCTTTCCATTGCTAGGTAGACCTCAAGTCCGTCTATCATCATTTTATTTTAGCAATTTACTATCCAGTAGGTGAAACAGAACTTTAGGCAATTGCTTTCTTTCTACCCGTGGTAACAGCCACCTCGAAGAGTTCACTTTTACCAGGTAAAATGTATTGGGTGATGTTTGTCTTTAGAATATCACAACATCTACGTAAGATATTATTTTCATCGGTCTGTTGACTTGTGATGTATTGTATTGTCAGCATAAAAGTCGATAACACAGCTTATTATCTTTTCCTTGACAATTTTATTGAAGTAGGATAATCGAAAACGTATCTAGCAAGACACAAATTCCACAAAGTTGTTTTGCTTAGAAATTGTACAGCCTTGATTTCTTGCTGAAAATTTCAACTTATACTATAGCAAAAAACTAAAATTATTTTATCTCATCAAAAGGTTCGTAAAATTTTACAATGCATGCAAATAATTTATCTCTCAATTTTTCAAGGAAGCAAAACTCTAAACTTAGCGAGGTCACTAAATTTCTGTAAATAATTTTGGGAGGGCTCTGACCTCGTTATTGTACATGTTTATTAATTAAAGTTGAATTAGAACTCCTCGAAGACAATTGTTCCTGTTCCTGTACATATGACTCATAAGTCCTAAGTTGTTTTAACATACAACGAAACAAATACACGTGGATTACTTTCATTCGTAGATTTAATTCGCTTAATGAAATTATTGGAAGTAATTACTGATCAGTTACGTCTACCATGCTGATATTACAACAAATGCATATTCACACAAAAAGGCAAGCTAAAGTAACTTAAATTATTTTCGTCGATGGGCTCCGGTAAAATAAATCAGGGTTTGCGTCACTTACATCATATTGACTGCAGATTGGGGTTAGCGATGGCACCCAATCTGCTAACTCAACTTAACCTTCCTCATACGGTTTGCAGAAACTTAGCAGAAAGTGTTTGGATTTCCTAATTACCTCGGTAATTAGGAGATGTGGGTTACTGAACTAAATTTTATGGGATAAAAGAGTAAGTTTCTAATGAAACTGTGGTGCTACGTCGGTGGGAGAGTATAACAGAGTAATTTAGTGTTATCAACTGAGTTGAAAACGTAAATTGGCCACCGTAAAAAAGTTTAAAGGCTGACGTTTAGAGCGTTAATTTACCTTTTCAACTCAGTTGATAACACTAAATTACCTTAAATTTTATAGGCAACACTTGATTCTCCGCTAAATGACATCGGCGTTTAATTCAGTCGAGAAGAACATTGTATACTTTTAACCATTGTCTACTTATACATTTCCTTTATACTTTTCTTTTGAGCTATTTCCTATTTTGAATCAAACTCGTTTTGTTGTTCGTTTCTCAGAAACACAGCTAATTTTGTAGAGGGTATTTCAACCCCTTGGTGCCACATATTTTATGTACTGCGGTATGTACTGCAGTACTGCATTTTTTTACATTCCATCGCTACTCGTCACTTAAGGAAACGTTAATTTCTTTTGCAACTTTCATAACTATATTTCTCTCTGAGCTGGACTTTCTTGGGCATTCCTGTCTGAAACTGTTTGAACTTTATAACTTCCTTCAAACTTTTTGCCATTGCCTCCTACTTCTGCAATTGAAGAATCGCTGTGCTTGTGGTTAATTGGTCCCCTAAATCACATTTTAGGTAACCATGGCTCCTCAATTTCAATGGGAAAACTTTACTTGCTTTTATGGTGTCCTGATTGTTATCTGTTGTCAAAGGGACCAAAAATACCCTCAGTGGAGCAGGATTATCGGCGTGACTAATGGTTTATATCAATTATGTACTTTGCTGTGCTGATAATGATAATGTTGATAACGATAATAAGGTTTATGCTGACAATATTAATGATAATTATTATAAAAAGAACAATAAAGATAGTTATGATAATAATATCACTAATGATAAAGATAATAATGGTAATGACAATGACAATGGTAATGATAGCGATGATGATAATAACAGAAGTGATAAAAATATAGTTTGCTATTGTGTTGATGAAATACACTTACCCTCAGTAAGGTTGTTAAAGTGAAGATGCACTGCACAAAAAAGTGACAACGCTAAGTTGATAAAATTTGCTACTGTAACGACATCGCTATCTCCATATGTGAACATATATTTCATAAGTTCACTGCTAAAGGTACATTTTTTTAAAAAACAGGAGAACTTTTTATGCTTCATTTTCACTAATTTGATAAGAATTACCTGGTATTTTTAAAATGAATAAAGAACTTGTTGTTTTACCTTTGCGAAAGAAAAGATCTATCGATGGGAATTGTTCGCTTTAATCTGTCAAAAAACAAAAAGATATTTTTAGGAACTAGATAAGGAGAGTTGTGTTGATTAGCTTCACTGGGTAATTCATGGATTAAAAGGTACATTAAAATTGAACATCGGCTAGGCATTTTAACCCTATATATTTATCTTGTTTTATTTACTTAACGCACCATTAATTTTTGCACTGCTGCCCAGAGTTCCGGGTTAGGTTTAGCCTGGGATCGGATAAGGGGAAATGCTCCACCAACATCTACTGAGAAAAAGCGCACATTAGTAAGCAACGATAGAAACATGTAGGAATTTGTTTTCTTTTCGGGATGGAAGCTAGTTGACGGAAAAACCGTTGGAGTGATCTTTCATGTTTAAAACACTCATGACAACTGCAAACTTTGTTTTATAACAAAAGAAAAACGAAGGCATGATCTGATACTCATTTCTGGCATCCATGTTTGGATAGTCCGCTGAACCTCGTGGATTGAATCGCTGTAAAACTCTAATGAAACCGTGAACATGAAGTGTACCCTTGCAATAAGAGCTATAAATAAAACTTAACCTTGATGTAACGCCTGATCGAGGATTCAATTTGGGCTGCATTGTGGAGTCAAGCGTTTTCATCGCAGAAGGAATGTGCCGGATTTCTCTGACAACTTCACGGTTTTCGTGAATAGGGAATTAAGGCTCATGCTCAGAACAGATTAAGCCAGGCTATTAAGCTAATCTATCATGATAAGATTGCCTAAGACATTTTTAAAAAAATTAGCACGCAACGCTGATCTTTGCGTACATTTTGTTTTATGACTACCAAAAACGTGACGTGAAAGAATGTCGTCAGAGTAAATGGTATTCGACTGCTAAATATTTCGATAAAACAGGAAAATGTGCTGAAGCCGTTAAATATTAGGTCACAGGGAAAGCCCTGCTGCAATATGAGATCAAGAAAACAAAATAAATTCACATGATGTATAGGAGCAGTTTGTTAGAAAAATGATCTAGTCAAACCTACATTCCATTTAAAACCGAAAATTAGTCCTTATTTTGATGGAAAAATCGGCGCTGATGCAGCTTAAGGAGTATTAACGTCATGTTAAGCCGTTAACAACTGGCTTCGTTCCCGCCACAATCAGCGTTGAGTTTATGTCTGCCCTCATACTATTTTGGTTAAACTAATTTCAGTGATTCTGTCTCGAAAGGAACGTAAAGTCTGACGATTGCAGTCTGTCTATTCTTGAGAGTCAAAGAGTAAACCGTCTGAGTTATAGTGTTATTTCTGCAATGAACCAAATCTGACTTTTGCGCTTCGGTTCAACAAATTCGTTTTCGTTGTGACCCGATGGCGCCCATCTTCGAAAAACCAGATTCAAAAGGCGTCATATCCGCTGAAATTACATAGACACCATCACAAACCTTGAACTGGAAACGACGTAACCACATGAAATGCCATAAAATACGAAAATGCAATCCAAAATAGCTTCAAGAAGTCCATACTGCCTCGAAAGTTAACGTTGCCAGAGTAAAATCCAAAAACCAATATGTGTTTGGCTGGAGCAGGAATTCTTGAGCAAACAACAAGGTGTATTGGTACGCAATTGGGTGACCCAGATTACCTGTGACTGGTAACCTGCACTGAGTTTAACAACATATGACATCATCACTGAAGGTTTACCACAATTAAATTCAAACTCATCGGCTCGCTTCTTGAGCAACCTTGACCAAATTATTTTCCAAGAAAATCGCTCTATTAATCCCATGGAAGAAAAAGAGTAAACTTTACGAAAAGATATTCAATCCGTGTGCCAAGAATTATGACATGAAACAGGGCTTACGTATTCTGATGAGATTGTTCACTGATTCAAGGGTCTGTTGGTTTTCACAATCTAAGATAAAAGCCATCTTTGGCTCAGTGAACACTAAAAAGTTTATCTAAAAATGTAAAAACAACTACAGAGCGTGTGAGGTACCGAGAAAATGTATGGTGTATGAACGCAAACTAATTTTTGCAAGCAAAAGAGGGATAGAAACTGTAAAGGAAATCTTTTATTTGTAGACAACTTTTCTTGGGGAGGAGTTAATAAAATATTTTTATTAGCGTTACTTTGGTCACTAAAGAAGTAGTGTTGTTTTTGAAGTTAAATTTCAATTCAAAAAAGCATTTGAGTTTAGTGAATAGTATTCTACCTGCACGGAAGAGGTACAAAAAAACCTGATTCCACTACTTTCTAGAAGGTTTTAAAAGACAATTTTTTAAGCCAATGTCTAGAAAACTGAGTCATCATAAAAGTGCCATGCAACCCCAACCCTACCCCCCTTACACATCAGGCTCAGGCTTCAGCCGTTATTGTCCATGGGTTGATTGGTAGAAATTAGTCCTTCGACTCTCCCAGAAATTGCTAAAAATATTTGATTTTCAACCAGTTCACAAAATAATCAGCTTTGCTTTTGACCGGAGCTCCTAGCTCCCACAGCAATAATTACTAATGCCTTTCATGCTGGGTGAGTGTATGTCGGTTCATGATTGCAACTGTGACCATGGTTTGAACATACAACAGATTGACATGAACTTGTATGATAGATCACGTCCATTGTGGCTTGTTTTGGAATGCATCACCTCTCTCCCCCCCTGTTTATCATTTTAGACGCGCTTTACCGCTTACCATTGAAATTCTCAAATTCGTGCCAGTTCTTAGAGTTTGAGAGCGGCGAACAACATTCATTGTTGGGGATTTTTATTCCCAATAACTGATTAACAATTTCAAAAAAATCTACTTTTTCTTTTTTCTTTTTATATCGTCATAAAGAGTCGATTTCAAATTGCCGATTACATTCCAGGTTGCTGTATTTAGAGAAGAAATGTCGATATGAAATTGTTTGCCTTTCAGGAATGGGATCATTCTTCTAATCAAGGCAATTCTGATTGTTAGCAGGGTAATTTTGACTAAAAAAATGCGTCTTATCATACGTGGTGGCACGTAAGAACCACATGAACCACATGACGCACAGAACAACTTGCTACTAGCAGTTAAGCAACATGGAAAAGAGATGATTTTTAGATATATTTTTTGTTTCCTCACCATTCTTACTCGTCTACGATCTTGTACATTAAGTGTGTGTTTCAACATCGGGAAACATGTTTCGAATTTCTTTGTCTATCTTCTTTATCTTCTAGTAGATAAGAGCAATTTAGTAGTGAGAAATCACATCATGCCTACATTTTTTGCTAAAAAAGTAAATTCAATAATATTAGCGGTCCTTGCTGCCATTTGATTGCAAAATTTGCTTTGCTTTGATTCGACTCCAGAAGTTAACGATGGAGTCTTCCTCCGCTCTGCGCACTGCTCTTTTCTTTGCAGAGCTCACAGAAAGGAACCTACTTTTGTAGGGATGTGTTAAACACTTTTTTGTTTAGCAGGCATCTGTGCACTTCGTGATCTGCAAGTTTCTTTTCCGCTGCTCAGGGTAGTAGAGACATCAGGGCTACTGGTAATCCTTTTTGTCAGCAAAATCTTTTCATATCTCAGGGAACGTGTCAGAGAATCAATTCACTGTTTCATTGACATTAATATTTGTTTCAAAGGGAGCTGTAGAGTGATTGATCTGAAATTTGCAGGATGACATAATCAAGGCTCTTTTTCCCTTTTTCATGAATTTCAGGAATCGGCTATTCAATATATAAATGGATAAGACAAACATTTTCAGCCCCAAAATGGAGAAAAAAGAATGTAGGTCATATTAAATCATTGCTTTTTCTAAGAAAGCTTCCTCGTAATGACTTTTAATCAACTCCTTTTAAGGGTGCGTCTGTTACTGGATGAAACGGGTCACATGACGTAACGGATATTTTGACAGGTGCATTCACGATGCACTTGGCTAGCCGCTTAGTTTCTAAAACATAAACTTTCCACATTGGGCTCGATGTTGTCAATGTTGGCTAAAACTTTTGAGGTGACAAACATTCGTTGTACACATTTTTTATTCAATAATTTTCTAATTATCATCTTTAGCAGCGTTTACCTTCTTTCTAACCTTTGTTTTTAAGCACTCTTTACAACAGATTAAAATTTTTCCAACTGTTATCGTGGGAGTAAATCTTCAAAAAAAAAAGGAGACCAAAGCAATTACTAGTCTGCCAGCCCCAAGTTCACTAAATTTACTAAACTTGAATCGATGAAGGCGTTTTGAAGGAGAATTCAAGATACATTCAAATTGATATTATTATTTCCACGGCTCTTTGATTTAATTGAAAAACATCATAAGATACATGGTGATCCATTGTTCAGAATCAGTCAAATACCTAAGCACAGTTGACGAAGTTAATAAAACATTAACAAGTTAGACATCACTTCCGTTTGTCAAGAGCTTAGGGCCGATCAGTTACAATACCACCGCAACTTTGCCGGGACATTTATTCACAGGGAAATACATTTTTTTTGCTTGAGTTAAAGGTACGTCACTTTCTTCCCTTCAGGGTGTAACATTAAGTGATTACAAGGCTGTAGATATAGAAAATGTCGACGGTAAATTGCCATGAAGCGATTCCAATAAGATTTTCAGATAATGAACTGTTAATATTCTATCTAACCAAAGCCGACTTTGTCAGGCATGGATTTGTCTAAATCTACTTTTTATAGACGATGTTATTTGTTTAAGAATGTGTGTTATAATCCGGCATTTTTGTAGATCTCCGACGTGTGGTTTGGTCATGAAGGCACCGGTTGTTCTTGTGGTTGTCATTGTTCTCTGTCATAGCATCAAGGCAGGTGGGTTTACACCACGGGAAACACGAACAAGAAGAGTATTATTTTTGCCAAAGCTATATCGTTTTGTAATTACTAAGCTTTGTCCAAGTTGTTTATTCCCTCCATGGATAAATCTTCCAGAATGTAACCTCATATTCATGATTGATAGAAAGTTATATTAATTAAAACACCATGAATATTTCCTTGCAGTTTAGGTCCTGAAATAAGATTTGTGTGGCTGAAAGCCTTATCTCTAACCATCTTACATTCATTTAGAGAATTTTCAGAGTCACTTAGCAACGAGTTGATAAGCATTCATTCAATGGCAAAGTGAGGACGTTGATAATTTCTTGTTGGTAATATATTTAGATAGTTTTTGTTAAATGAACCATTCATCGGAGAAATTTATAGTACAATTGAAGAAGACGTACAAGTACTCCCCTGATCTTATACGGCAGAGAAAATATGTAAGAGGTAATTGAGCCCATTTGGAGCTGCTTGAGAGACTACTATGATCCACAGAACAAAACTATTGGGTGGTCAAAGAGTTACATACAAAGTACCTTCCAATTCTTTAAAAGTAATGCGTGCATTTGTTCCGCCTCGAAAACATAACCATGCAGATGCAACATAAAATCAGATCTAGGTAAATACAACAAAACCAACCTTCCCCTCTGCTATGACGCCGCACTCGTGAGCGGAGATCGGAGTAAGGAGCTGTTGCTTAGATCCATCTGCTGGAGTCCTGAATTCAGGAATGTCGTCGAGAAGTTCTTTTACTTGAAACATTTGTCTCCCTATATCTTTTTTATCATTTGTAAGCGCTTTATAGTCGAGTTTAGTTTATACGGGCAAACATTTCCTGAAAAAATTTGAGTTGTTAGTTACCTGGTGGGAGAAGAGATGGTTTAGAGATCACCACAATGGACTTAAGGTCGAGCGGTGTTGGTTTGACCATTGGCTGGGTCATTGTTCTGTGCTCTAAGGAAATGTGCTTTACCCTGATAGTGCCTCCATTCATCCAGGAGTATTAATTGGTACCGCAAACATCAGCAGTAATGATTGTTTGGTTCGCAACATGTGAACTAGTATCTTCCAGTGACTTTTAGTTGTTCAAAGCAAGCCCTTTATCTTTATTGCAAGATGACAGTTTTAGTGGGGAATTTCCGGGAAGCGGCGAAAAAGACTCACCTGAGACAAAAACTAACGATGACAAGTGTGAGCCAAACCCGTGCCAAAACGGAGGCACCTGTGTTGTTAACTACGATCTTATTGATGGATACAAATGTGAATGTGAAGAAGATTTTGGTGGGATAACATGCAACGGTTAGTTTACAAACACATGGCAGCATAAATTCACACATTCGTTTCACTGTTTATATTATGCTAGTCATACCATTTTTCCTAACTTGTTTGTATGTTTTTGTGACAAAGTTGATATTATTACAATTAACGTCAAGGGGTTGTTAAAAATTGTTTAGACCGACAAACTACGGCGGCATTACAAAATCCTGCAACATTACAAAATACGTAGGTCGCCTTTATTACAAAATGCTGCAGTACCTATTACATAATGCGCAAGTTATTACAAAATGCCGCAACCATTATTACAAGACACGTAGGTTATGACAAATGCCGCAGAACACATACCACTGAGCTAAATAGAATTTAATCGTGAGCCAGGTAAATATCCCTTAACTCCCACGACAGACCAAGACAGAATTTCTCCGCATTACATCAAAACAATATCAAGCAGGCAATTAATGAGAATCAAGAAAAATATCAATTAAGAGATCATTAGTTGAACCGATACCTATTTCTCTGAGCTTATGTCGTGCAAATCGTATGGCAGACAGTAAGGATAATTAGTAATGTGAGATCTTGGGAGTGAAAGGGTTATACTGCGTTCACACGAGACAAACGTCCTATACAAACTGAATAAAGGGGGTAAGTTTCCAAAGAAACTGTGGTGGTGCTTCAGTGGGAGAGTATAACGAGGTAATTTGGTATTATCAACTGAGTTGATAACGTAAATTGGCCACCGTTAAGAATTTCAAGCGAGTGAGTGAGTGCCCTTCGCTCTGACAAGGACTAACGCCTAAAGGTGGCCAATTTACATTATCAACTGAATTTAGGTTGACAGGTGGATGAGAGATTTAGAGGTACAAGCCCTTAAAATCAATAATTATAAAATGAATCAAAATGACGTTGCTTTCAAATTAACTGCTATTTTTCTTTCCATAATCGACAGAGCTACAATGCCGAATATCTCTGCCACAATTTTCGTCACCTCATTGTGTCGTGAAACGAGAACTCAGCCGACAAATCAAGAAAACTTTGATTAGATTGACCTCGGATAAAGACAGTGACTATTCCAAGTAAGTCATCAAGAGAATGGGTGCAACACTCCTATTCTGACTTTAATCCCTAACCGTGGCCCAAAGCGCTGGAGGTTAAAGAAATTTCCTCATTAACCTAGTTCCAAATGAGTTGTTGTGAATTAATTTGAGACGCCAACTCTCTTGCACGCTTTGCTAAGGGAGCAAAATTTAAGTTTATTTTTTCCTCATTCATCTACGAATAAATTTTATTTGAACCAACCTTATCATTTGGCTGAAAATGGAAGAATGATTCTTCATTATTCCAAGCAGTGTTAGAATTATTTTGTAATTAGATGTTAAATTCCTTAAGCAGATCAGAGCACCTGTTGGTACCTACTCTTTCCAAGAAAGGAGCAGCGAGCTTTGTACAAAGCGCGTCTACAGATCCTTTCACAATTGAATGGTACATGAAGATGACCGATAACGCAGATGTCAATAGAGATCTGGAGTCGCACTTTACGTTAAAAGATCCTCGATTTCACCAAACGCCGACGCTTATTGATTTTGCCATCGTATTTCTGACGTTCTACAAAGAACACAGGGTAAGACATTGTAATACTTAGGCGGGTTGCTGATCCAGATTTATGCCATGCTTGCCTTCCTTAGAGGGCTCAAATATTGCCCACTTTGATCGCAAAATAAGACAGACAAGTATTACGACAAATGCAGCGAGAAACAAAAGAGAAAACAAGAAGAACTCCAGTGACATAATTCGACAATCAATTAATCTTAATATGGCTCAACTCTTGTAGTGCTATCTTCTTATAGAAGGCAAGATAACACAGGAATAATCTTTAATTCATTTCACTTTCTAGTTTAATCATTATGGCTTTCGTTTCATGTCCTGTGTAGAAACGAAGTGCTATGAGCTCTTTGAAACTTGTGCCGGCTATTGAAGAAAATTTCTTTAAAGATCGCTGCTTTGCAGATCAGCGGGTTGCAGGCGCTAATCCATTTCAGCTTTGGCGAGTAACAAATGAAAAAGGTAAATTACTTCACTGGTTTATGATATTTCTTCGGCTAAACATGCTTGCGATGGCTGAGACATCGTGCTGCAGTTATGCTGGCCTGAGAAATAAACAAACAAACAAACGTTGCTAAATTTATCAACTTCCTTCGACCGGAAGTCCCTTCGATTTACCTTCTTTTAATTTACAATTGTGAAATTTCCAAATTAGCTATTACATGCAAGGCTTTCCGCATTGATAAACCAAATCTAAATTAGTGTTTCACCATTATTGGAGGTACCTTCCATAAGCTTTAGCCCTTCCATCCTGGATCCGCACAGGAACATGCCTCGGAGAGTGAAAACTCACAATGATATGAAAATAACATGGGCTTTTAAATAATATTAGGCTTTTCATGCTCATGCGACTTTACTAAACGTTGATGAAAATTCTTTCCAATTGTTTTCTCATCATCAGGGGGTAACGGCGTCGAATGGAAGTCTCTTTTTGAAGAGAAACTGAATAAAGATTTTGACTGGGAGTCGATGTTAAAAGCAGCTCTTGACAACCAAGATTCTCTAGAGCAGGTAAGAAATGTGGAGGTACAAAACAACCGTACTTGATCAAATGAACTGACCAATTGAACCATTGACTGACTGACTGAAGGACTGTTTGACCGACTGTCTGACTGATACCATAGCCGAATGAAGGCTGACTAACTGATTTGCAAACAAACTATGAAACTCACTGCATCACTGGCCAACTGACTAAGTTCAGTTTGTTAGCAAGGCTCTTTTTGGTTTCCAGTACATGCGATACCCAGCTGAGTTTCTGGTAAACTTTCAAGTCGAGCAAGTTACCGAATAGTGCCATTGATGGGTGTTCTTTTATCTCCAATAGGCTATAGACAATGGTGATGTTTACGTTAACATTTACCCAGAACTAGACGGAGTTAAAATGCCCGAGGCACTTTTACGTGACGTTAAATTCAACCATACTGTTTTACAAATGACTTCACCGATTGCTTTCTTCGTCGTCACAAAAGACGAGCTTGGAATAAAGCGCCTAAATCCCGTGGCTATTCAAATGGACTCGAAGCCAGAGGCGAAAGTTTACACTCCAATTTACGGAAAGGACTGGTTCCTAGCTAAGTCATTTGTACAAAGAGCAGATTACAATTCCTTGCATCTCATAAGGAAGCGACTCAAGGTTCATTTGTATCTCGATGCGCCGTGTACTTTGGTTGAGAAATACTTCTCAGAGTACCATCCTATCTATCAGGTTGTGCGACAGCACTGTCGAGCTGCTCTGGAGACCAATAAGCTGTTTGAAATCAAACTGTTTGGTAAGAGTGTTACCCAATTAAAATCAAACATGAACCTTTTGGAAATGATGTAAAAACCATATTCAATCTTCATTGTGTTATCGGCATTATTATTTTTTTCTTCATCATTCAAATATTAATCAACTTCATATTTTCCCCTAAACAAAAACCCAAAATATTGTAGCTTCAAAAACATCGTTTTAATGTTGTCGTCTTTCGTTCATAGTTCAATTCATATCCATTTATTCGCTAATTCATTCTTTCATTCACTAATTGGCTCATTGATTGATTGACTGATTTATAAATTCTGTGATGCATCGATTTCATGATCTATATATTGAAGGATTGATGATTGATTCACTAACGACCGTTGATAATTAGGATTACCGTGCCAACATGGGGCTGTCACATATGGGGGATATGGATATAATCCATTTTACACTATCAGCCTTTCGCACGCTTGATAGTTTTATTTCTGACGGTATCTATGCATTTTTCCCACAACAGGAAGAAGTGGTCCAATATACAAGGTTCTAAGTGTTGACTATTCTAGTGCTCTTGAAATTGTAAACAAAGAATACGAACGAATGACTTTTGATGACTTAGATTTACTAGAAGACCTAAAGGTTAGTTTGGTGCATGCCACCAAAATATGCATTCATTTTCTTGAGCATATTGTCACGTTTTGCAAGGTCATGACAAAGTATATTTCGACTAGAAAACGAAAATTTATTACTTGGATTGTAGAGATCTGCTGCAAGCTTAAATCTAACTACCCTTAAAACAAATGTTCACCATAAAATCTGAAAGTATGATGAAGTCTAAGGCTGAGTAATTTTATTAACAGAGCTCAGTTTTGTTTCAAAAACATGTCTTTCTTCCGGCCGGTAGAGCCGTCTATAAACAACCTTTACATAGATAAAAGGGGGTAAGCTTCTAAAGAAACTGTGGTGCTGCGTCGGTGGAAGGGGGAGGGGGTATAAAAAGATAGTTTGGTCATATCAGCTGAGTTGAAAATGTAAATTTACCACTGTCTTGAATTTCTAAGCTGATGTTTCGGGCGCTACAAGATAATCTGGTTTTATCAACTGAGTTGATAATGTAAATTGGCCATCGTAAGGAGTTTCAAAGCTGACGTTTTGAGCGTTAGCCCTTCGTCAGAGCGTTTCGCAACGAAACAACCAAAAAATTTAGCCGACAGGCGTATAACCTGTCATGTTTTTACCGTTAGTCATGAAAAAGGTTAACCGTTAAACCTTTTTCCTACAAGTTTTCCTAAATCTAAAATTGACTGCCTTTTTTTCTTCTAACAGAAACGAGGAGTAGATGACGTAGAGAAGCTTCCATATTATCCGTACAGAGATGACGGAAAGATTTTGTATCAAAAACTTAGTGAATTTGTTGACGCCTACATTGATGCGTAAGTGAATATGCAGTCCTTTCCTTACTTTTAAGTAAATTAGGTGGAATACGCTCCACAAGTAGACATTTCCTGTATTGCGTATGATATTCAAGCAGGCACCACCACCTCTCGAAGATGGAAACCAACCTAAAATTATTTTAAATGCTCACACGAGACGTAACAGTGTCTGATTTAACAACTTTTAATTTAGAAAGGAGAAAGTCGCGTCAATTCTCTCGAAACAGGACTTTCCCCCCTGAACCAATGAGAAAGTCATATACCCTACTTTCCAATGTCGAGGTACCGTAAATTTGCCTGGTGAAAAAATCATGTATGAAGGAGAAAGAGTAATTTCCTGATCGCTCTATTTTGTCTCGTCACACTGTTTCTCGTGTGGATCTTGTAGGCAGTACGAAGATGACGACCAGGTGTTAGCAGATAACGAGCTTCAAGAGTTTGCAAATGAGTTGTCAGCTGATGGTACACATGGTGATTTTGCAGGACTTGGCAAGGTAACAAATATGCTGTGGCACTTTATGCAGAAACGCGATCTTTATTTTTGAGCAAGCCTAGAAAAGAGGGATTTCTTCTTACAAACTACTATTATGGTTTTCCGATCAGTTCTCAATTATCATCAATTTGGTTCTGTAGAACATTTTCTTTTACCATCACTTTTTTCTTTGAAGGTAAAGAAATTCCCAGCCAGCATCAAAACCAAAGCTGCCCTAAGAAAAGTGTTAACCACCCTTTTTTGGGCGTTCACTGGCGGCCACGCGGCAAGTACCTACCCTATACTGGAGTACGGTGGCTTTGTACCAAATGCACCGCACAGACTGTTTGCAGATAGTAACGGCAATACCGAATTCAGCAATTTGATGTTTGGAAACAAAGCTGTAGCACTGGTAATAATCGACTTTGGGTAAAAAATTGTAACATTATTACGGGCTCCAATTCGGTGAGCAAAGTTTAGAGGTTTCGATTTCAGAGCAATTTGTTGGCTAATTATGCGCCAAAGCTGATAAGCCTCACTCTTTTACTAACGTCATTAATTTACCAGCTGGTTATCGATTTTTTCATTACCTCCAATAAGCATTTCGAAACCTTTGTGCGCAATATGGACAGGTGGCAGTGATTTTTTGCAGCTCCCCATGACTCACTGCACGGCAATCTGTGGTAATGGTGATCATCAAGAAGTACTTATCGATGAAGAGACCTCTCAATTTCAAAAAGTGATGAATTTACGACATTGCGGCTAAAAGTCGCAATTTCGTCTATCCCATGTCATCGGACAGAGTGTGATGACATCATTACTCGTTCATAACCGCACAGGAGACAAATTAAAAGGTTAAATTAGAGAATAATGGCCCAAAATTGGCCCGCTCGACCTCGTAAAACTCGCTTTCCTGAGTTTCATTTCGACAGATATAACCTCTTACGCATGGTGGGTATAATTTGATTTCTGTCATAAAAGTAGCCCGCCTTTTGACAGCTTATAAGTTTTTTTCTCATCTTACCTATCATAACCTTTTCTACCGTGACAGGAAATAGCCGAACTAAGTTCTAACCTGGCAGGAATTCACCTCGATCAGTTACTCGATTATTCAACAAAGATTGAAGGTAACAAAGGCAGAGAAGTAGTTGCAAAGTTTCACGACGAACTCAAGAATGTAAACCAAGAGATAACCAAAGCCAACGATAAGCGAGTAAAGGAAGGTTTTCTGCCATATCCATACCTCCTGCCAGAATACGTGTCTAACAGTGCAAGCACGTAATTGGTCCAGATGGTGTACATTTCTGACGATGGGGAACAATTTTCAATCTAGAACAGAAGTTTTAAGTAAATGAAACATGGCGGCAAAATTGACCTTTTTTTTGTGCACTTAAATTGGTTGTAAAATTAACCAGGGAAAAGCCATTATCACAAGCTGTCCTTTCATTTATAATTCAAGGCAAAATAAGCAGTAGCACAATTTAGGACGTAGTATTTATAAAAATTGCATGCCACATTAAGAAAACTATATAAAGAACCTTTTCACGCAAATTAAAAAGGCGTAGGATGATAGCTTTGTTGTAATTAAGTATTACATACAACAATAAAATGTAGTCCACATTTTCATACTTAAAATTGCGTAAGGATGATCATTTGCTTCCAGTTATCAGAGCACAACATCAAATTTTTGAAATAATAAACAATTCTTTTCGCTAAGTTTGTTTTACAATGAATTGTTTGGATAATCGACGTGGGACTTGTCCAAGAAAGATGAATCAACTTATAAATACCACCATGGAGACCGAGGAAAGGAAAAGGGAGAAAGTGGCCAGGGCCGCGGGGAACTGAGCTGAGTCCCCTTTTGGATTTTAAAGTCACTTATACGATCGAAATCAGAGTGTTTATTTCTTCGTTTTCAGCTCGTACTTTTTTAGAGCCGGCGATGAGCTTTATAAAAAAAAAGGACAGTTATTCGTCATGTTGTCGCTGAGGAAACAGCGCCACCCAAGACGATCGATATCTTTATTTTTTGTAATCTATTGCTTCTCTAAAGTATTAAACGGATCGAACAAAATGTTCAGTCTGCAAACCATGCATCGTTTATTTTCGCATTTTCAGTCAATCGGAAGGAAGCACACCGTAAGCGAAAAGGCTTCGTGCTTACCTCTATTTGTCTGGAAACCGCAAATAATGTTCCCTATTTTATAAGCCATCAACAGGGTCTCAATGGGGTTAACCATTAACAGTAAAATGGCCAAAAAAGATAGCCGTTAGGAATAAAAATTGACAAATTTGGACCGATAGTCGTAAAAAAAAAGTTAACCATAAAAAAATTTATGGTGACAACAATGGAATGATAGCAACCGTTAGCCGTAAATTGGCCAAACTTTTAACCGTTAGCCATAAAAGCCATCACCCATTAACTCTACCAAATGTTGAATGAAAAGGACAGAAGGCTGGTGCAGCTAAAAGGAGGACACGTCGCTGTCACCGAGCGTCTCCTTCTCCAGGAGAGACCTGGTGAGGGTAAAATGTGATAGGCTAACTCAAAACTCAGTGGAAGTTGTAATACTGTACTACTCGAATGAGCGCCACCCGCCGCGAATAAGCGCCGCATTCGGGGCAGAAAAGTTAGAAGGCGCCGCCTTCGAATAAGTGCCGTAGCCTCGGTGCGGCGCTTATTCGAAGAAGTCGTGCGCAAGATTCAATGATTCATTCACATTTAGATATTCTGAGGGGACGAGATTGAAATATGCACCGATTCAGACGTACAAGAGGCGTACCCTCGTACTCTCAGATCAAGAAAAGTTCAGAAGTTGAGTTAAGACACCACAGGTAATGCAGTTAAAAAGTGCCAGAAGGGATGAATGGTGATAATCAAAAGACGCCTCTGTTATTTATTATAAAATAATTCAAATAGTACGCGCGCTCTGATTGGCCATAAAACCATTTTACATGAGTGTATGTAAACACGATTTTCGTTTCTCTTTCATTAGTTATATTATGAAAGAAATGCAAAATGGTTTCCGTGTTTACGTAGCCTGATGTAAACACCTGGGAGGTTGAGAGAACACTCGATAAGCTGGAAACCACTCCGCTTCGCGTCGTGGTTTCCCACGCTTATCTCGTATTCTCCCAACCTCCCGCGTGTTTACATGTTATGTAAACACGGAAACCATTTTACATTTCTTCATTGTAAATTTTTACGTAAAGATAGAAAATATCCTTTAAATCAAGGGGACATATTTCTTCGTCACGTTCAATTTTTGAATGAGCACCTTCCTCGAACACGCGCCTCACTTGAGGCGCAAAAATTATAGAAGAGCCGCTGCGCTTACTCGAGTAAACATGGTACTCTAGTCGCTTTATACCACGCAAACTAGAATGAATTCTTGTATCCAACCTTATGGCTACAATCCTGACATCGCAAATTGAAGCTTATTTTACGAATGCTCATTCATTACCTCTTTTATATTATTCATAAAACCCAGGAACCTTTGCATAATCCTCCGCATATGTTGAAACAGCGTTTGAAGGACAATAAACTCAATAGCCTCTATTTTGCGCGAGAATGTATACGGATATTTTTCCTCGGACATTATCTGTTCCTCCAAGCTCACAGTTTTCCTCGAGCTTTGCTCTCGAAAAACTGTTCGCACCTTCAAGTTGAACAGATAAAGTCTGCGAACAAATATCCGTACGTTTTTTAGCGCCAAATAGAAGCTATTGCTTATTTAGATCCAAATTCTCAATTTCACTGATTAAACTATATTTTATTGAAAAATAGATTATATTTTTCTTTCCTTTTTGTAGTTCACTCGAAGGAGATGCTAACTTTTTTTGTTTCGTTGTTGCAGGTATTGATTGAAATCGAACTGTTATATATGCATCATTTCAGTGGTCCACGAGGGCTCGCTGCGATATTATATTTCAACTCAAGAGGAAAAAGCTGAGCTCGAAGTCACGTCCTATGATCAGAAATACACGCTCACAATTGTGACCCCTTGAGTTTATATAACAGACAAAACGTTTCTAGCAAAAAAACACTTTAAACTATGAAGGATTATATAATAATGATCATAATCTAAAATACAGAACAGAATAAGATTCCTACATTTTTACTTCAAGTTTTGTTTCAAGTCCTCCTTAGTTAGTTTACTATTGGTAGACTGTTTGTTTTACTATGTTTGTTTTTTGTTTGCTTTGCCATTTAATTGATGTTTACCCAAACGGTTTGAGCCAGAAGTATCAGCGAAGTATTTCCAGGACAGATAACCTTCCCATGGAACCCCAAAGTTTTTTAAAATCGCAATGATCGCAAAGGATTGGAGGATGATAAAATGAAGAGATATCAAGTTAAGATTTGGTGCTTGTGGACATAAGTAAAGCTGTTGCCTTACATAATAAATTACGTAAACTAATTAGTAAACTGTCTCTCGCTTTTAGAGTCTGAAAAAGTAAGTCAATAACAAATTAGGGCCTCTTATCTTCAAGTGCATTCTCGTCCAAAGCTTTTGTTTTCAATTTAACCATGTGGACTCACAAAAAAAACTGATCCCTGTTAGATATCAAGACTTTTCATCGTCTTTTGCTATTCAGCACTGGTTGATACCAAACTCAATGTTGTAATATTAACATCTCGCGTCCTTTTGAAGAATAAACGAAAATTATAAACATCGCACTCGTTCACTTCATTTTGAACGCTCTCGCGCATTCCTTCTCAAATTATTTTGTAACTGTTAACTCGTGTATAGAGTTAGTGCTTGATTTTCTTCCTCAGCAAGTACAAAATATCAGTGAAATATTGTTTCGCGTTATAGAAAGTGGGTGATTTCTTTATCTCGAGGTTGTATCATAAACTTGCATTCTGCTAAAATCTTTCTTTTGCAATAACTATTGACCATTCAATGCTCTCAGCTTATGGCATGTGTTAACAGCTTTGAGTGCTGTAACACTTCAACATTCCTTCAACAGTTTTCACTTCAAACGCTTGATTACTCAGACACTAAACCATTCTTTCTGTGATTTATTGTCCATTAAGATAATTTAAAAAGATTCCTGTTAGTTCGGTTGTTTCTTTCTAATCAACTTTTTGCAATAAAGATTTCAAACATTGGAATTTTTCTGACAAAATTTGATTCGATATTACATCACTGGCACGTCTTAAAGTTTTAAAGACCAAAAACCGTACGGTAATGCTTTGTATAAATGACATAATAAAAATGTACCACCAGTCGCAGAGAAAACCGTGAAGTTTTGGCGGGTACCAGTTTCCCGCGTGATATCGCGAGATCTCGCTGTTGGATAAGTAGTGCAATTATTTGCACATTAAATGTCTAAGATGTACTTTCAAAGTTGTACTAAACCAAAACCCTCCAGGTAACTCTAATTCGTTCCACCTAGCAATAGAAAACAATGGCGCTATTTGTTTGATTAATGATTTCCTTGGCGTATCAACGCGACGCACTTTTTGTTTCTAAGTTATGTTAAAACTTCACGCTTTATCCGTTTCGTTCATAAACAAATACCGTTGGTGCACGCTTTAATTGTTTGCAAGTCAAGTGTGGCCTCAACTTCCAAATATGGACCAGGTAGACGATCGGAGCTCTGATTGGTTAGCGCCACGACGCTTTCCGACCCTTCTCTCAACCTATGAAGTCATTGGCGAAGTAGGTACAGGTCCAGGCTTCCATCGTAGTCTGCTGCGGGTGGTCCGCCAAAAGCCAATCTCTGGCTGATTTAAAATTCTGAGATAGCTTTTGACTGGTAAATGTAAGAGAGAAATATCTGAATATTTCGCTTTGGTTTTTGTCGTCTGAGGACGGCCTTATCTCATTTGAGATGAAATTTAGGGTGCTTCTTATACTTTGCCTGGCATGGTTATCTCAGGCGTCGCCGATTTCACGTAAGTACGCGTCTTATTTTCAATATTTTTGGTAAGATCAGAGATCGAACTCAAAACAAGTTGGTCGCGATTGTATGGTGGCCATAAAATCCTTGATTCCCCAAGCCCTCTAATGATCGATTTGTTTTGAGTGATCAAACTAACAGATCATCTATCTTTTGGGTATTTCTTAACGAACTGATGTATTCGGTAAAAGCTCAAAGCCTGGCTTTATTCAATTAGTTGTGATTGTTGAGTTCATTAAATATGTAACTTGCCGTGTTCGGAAATAGAAATTGAGATAAAATGACTTAAAATATTTGAAGAGCTTCGACTGGAATGTCTGAAGTGCGTTTGAAGTGATTTCAAATTTACGTCTGAAATATATTTACGATTTAGGCAAGATAATGGGTTTCAGGGTTGCCAACATTTACTGAAATTGCCCTTCTTAACGTACGCCCTTTCCGCATCGGTGACTTCCCATCACTGTAAACTTAGGGGCCAAAATTTAACTTTCAAAGAGTATTTTCAACAAGCAAAGAACTAAACTAAACTAAAACTGTTGATTACTATTCAAAATGATCATAGAGATCTCGGGAATTACGCATTGACTTAGTTGAGACGGATAGGATATTTACTGGAAAACCTGCAATCTATAGCAAAGTTTATCCCATGTTCACAAAATCGTTTTGGTGTTTTTGTGTTTAGACTACTTTTCTTAAATTTATGTTTGACGATCATACACGTTATGAAAGGATTATTTCATTTCAAAGCGCGTTGGCGTAGAGTCAGTCATGATTTGCGACATATGACACGGGCAAGCGGCAGATAGTTTCACCTTAGGTGGTAATTCCATGGGTCACTGTCTCTGTGATTTCAGGTGGATCATGTCCTAAAAACCGTAGTGTAATGTCTCGGCTCGTCATACATAAATGGCATAAATATTCTCCTCTGGCCTTTAAGCTTTTGCCGTTTTAAAGCCCTTTCGATAACAGTTCGTTTTGGAGAGCGTCCCATTTATTTATTTATAAATCTAGATTTAGGAACGTCGGCTTTATATTAAAAGAGAAGTAAGCATATTTGACGAAGGGCTAACGCTCGAAACGTCAGCTTTAGAAACTCTTTACGGTGGCCAATTTACACTATAAACTCTGAGTTGATAAAATTAAATCACATTTCCACAAAGAAGACGTTTTAGTCTCAAACTAGACTATATCCAAAACGAATCAATTCAACCATGAAAACTGTGAAGAACTCGGTTGTAATTGCATATGCAGACTGTCTGCCTTTGACGAGAAACCTGCGATACATGCTTTTACAACCCGAGGGGCTTTTGACTAATGAATACAAGACCTGAGTCAAGTTTTGTCGTAATACCCTTTCCCGCTTAAACGTTAACCTTTCTTCTTACTTCAGAGTTTTTCAATTACCAACATTAGCGAAAAGGAGGCTCATAATAATGAAACGGTTAATGTCAGGGTGGTTGTTAAAACCTTCATACGGTACTTTTTCTTATTAGGTGTACGTGGAGGGAAAGTCTGATGCTAAATTCAGAGTAAACGTGTGTCGTGCACAGCATAATGTGTTTCCAGGCCAATTTGCCCAAACGCACGAAACCTCAGCTTTAGAAGCTCTTTACTGCGGCCAATTCACATGAACTCAGTTAACAAAGCGAAACTATCTCGAAATAACCCTGACCCCTACCCCCACCGACGTAGTGTCATATTTCTTCAGAAACTTATCCTCTTTATTCAATTCGCAAATACATCACCTATAGCAAAGTCTTTCCTGGAGTGTTGCGGATGACAAAACAACAAAGAATTACGGCTACACCAGTTTTGACTCAATTAAAGACTTGCACTACATTTCTTTTAACAATCCATTTGAGATCTTTTGTGAAAATGACATTTGGAACAATTACGTACGCTACATGGAAAGAAGGAAAATTAATTGCTAAATGTACATCGCGCCACCTTTGCTTCCGTTTAAGTTTAAAAACGCCATTAAAGCGATACAGGAGCGAATGTTAACAAATTTTAAATCAGAAAAATTCTGCAGAATACTGTAACTGAGTTGATCTTCCTCTTCAGGCAAAACTGTTTTGCATTTCCTTCGAAAAGATAGCTGAATCTCGAAGGTTTAGAATATTCGGTGAAAAATGGGTTAGTTTTTGTGAAATGAAATTGCCATAATAATAACTATTACTACTGATAACTTTGTTAAAATTACTCGTGGCTCAATTCGGTCTCTGTTAAGATTTCACCCTGAAGGGCCTGCCTTGCAAATGACCTTAAAAAATTGAACACCATCCAAAAGAGGGTGGATCAGTTTTTGTAATTCATTCAGTTTTTGCGGAATTAATTCCATAATCACATAACCTACACGAAGACAATTATTCTTTTTTAAGACTTAGGCAAAGGTGTTAATATCTGTAAAAGGAATTATTTTAAAACAGGGTTTTAGCGACGTATTATAAAACTTACATGTACGTCAGCGATTGGACGTTGTAGACTTCGGGTGGCGAATAAACTGCGAAACCGTGTTAAATATGGTGTAACTGCTTCGCGAATATTAAAATTCTGTGAATTCAGCTACTTGTTATATTATTTTTTAATTAGACTTTCACAATTGAACGTCAGTACAGTAAAAAGAAAAAAAAACTCACGTCATAAATGAGGAAACATATAGTGAAATCATCAGGTATCATTCTTCATTTCTGAATTTAACTATTCAATTTCCCGAAAGTAGTGCATTTTATTGAAGTTGTAATCTGTTGAAAGGGGAGGTATCAAGTATAGAGCCAGAATTTGACTCTGATGTCGAGTTCTGCTCAGTTATCATTGTCATCGATAAAAGTCGATTCCAAGACTACCGTCGTCCAAGAGAACAGAATGCAATAAAACTTGTTGCAGTTCATCATTTCGAGCTTAGATACATTGTACTGGTTGAGCCACTCAATAATTCAAACCATGTTTTTCTACAAAGACTTTTTGTTTGCATATTAAGCTATCATGACCAAAAAAATTTATATCCTCCATAAATAAGCACTCGTATCTTTCGCCAACAGGGAGAGATAAAAGAGATGCAGATGACCTAGAAGCCGACAAAGAAGGTATGAAAGATTGTTAATCATTTATTAATGGAAAGTTGCGTCAAAATGAAGCTCATTACTCTAAAAATTCCGCTTTCATCCACAGTTAGAACAATAATTTCTGCAATAGTGGACGCAATTCTGGACGGGGACAAGACGCGCCGTTCGGAAATACCAGGTAATATTTCATGACCTTACTTTCCTTGGATAGAAAACTTTTTTAGAAATCTTTTTTTCTTCAAGGACTGCTGCAGCTTCAAATTTTAATAAGTTATGAACAGAAGCCGCTCTCTTTTTATTAATGCATAGTGGATAAAAAGACAATCACAAGCCCCTCAGTATAGAAGCAGATTAAATCAGGGCCGTAGCCAGACTTCAGAACAAGACGAGGCAAATTTCGGGTGCCGAAGGCGCGAGCCGCTAGGGGGGTCTGGGGACATGCCCCACCAGAAAATTTTGAAATTTTGAGGCTCAGAAATGCTTTTTTAAGCATTTCCTATGGCATTTTTCTTCAGAAAAGTCAATCTTGGGACAAAATCAAGAAGAGGCAATAGCCTCGTCCTGCCTCATGTTAGCTACGGCCCTGGAAATGGTTATGCTGTAACTTTTCCCCTTCGTTGTATAGTTTCAAAGGTAGTAAAAAAAATGCCAGCCAGCCAGTATTTCATCAGGCTTCCCTTACAAGTCGCTTATTAACACTTCTGGGTGGAGCCCGGCCGGAGAGGCACTAAGACATGAGTAAATTTTTTGCCCAAAAGCATAACACATTGATCCAGACAGGTCTAGCTGACACGGACCCCTCTGGACATGGAGTCCGGTCCACTGACCGTGAGGCCTCTATGTCTTCAACAATTTCAAAGGTAACAAGATTTAACTAAGGAATGATTCCTGTTTTAACCGATATTATTTGCTCTATTTCAAGATAATGAGGAAGATGAGTCGGAAAAGTTGTCCAGCACAGTAAGCAGCCTAATACCTGGCACAAGCAATGTAGAAACCAATGATGAAATTAGTGACAAGCAATATCTTACAAAGAAAAGAAGGAGTTTTATTCCAGTAGAAAACAAATTAGAGGAACATTCAGTTTACCAGACTGAACCCAAAGAACAAGCAGAGGATGCAAAGGCAGAGACCTCTGAAAGTGAACTATCGGGCGAGAATCAGCTATTAACCTCAGGAGATTCAGAAGATTCAGAGCCCGAGAAAGAATCCGAAGAGTCGGTAGCCTCAGAAGGAGAAAACACAGGTATTACATATGCGAATGTTATTCTTTTCCTTGTGTGATGATTTAACAAAACTCTTCACTTATTCTATGAGTCTGCGTTAGTTGAAACTATTTCATAAAATACCTCATGAAATATATACTGGTAAAAGCATTGCAAAAAAATACGCGCACGCATCATCTTTGTCGAACGTGGTATGTGCGATCATATTATACAGCTTGCAAAACCAATCAATATCCCAGGTATTGCATTATACCACAGACAGTCCCATACAGAAGCGTGACTGTTTATATTAAAGTACATAGTAAATGGCTTCAACTTTGTATCATTCTTATAGAATATTCCAAAAGAAGTGACATTCCGAAAATTTTTAAACCGGGCGACGATGAGTCGTCAGAAAGGAGAGAAACTGCTGAGTCAAGGAAGTCAAACCAATCAACGGACGCGCCTTCAAGCGGATCCGGAGAAAGTGCATCATCCGATGAAGCTGAGGACACAAATGAAGCCTCTACGTCCGCAAAAGACGTAGAATCATCTGGTGTGGCTGTAAAAAGAAACGTCATCCCAACAGAAGTATTTGAAGAAGGTACTACAGTCAGGTTATTGAGATAAACTGCAAACTTTAATGTATTGCATTGCTGAATAACCTTTGCAAGATATCTTCAAGACAGAATCAAAATAAAACAACAAGCAAAAAGAGAAATTCTTTTTCACCAAAGTATATCTGTATGGAGATTATATCGCTACTTTCATAAATCATATCCCGACTTCTTGACTGCTATATGTTAACGTAATTCTTAAAATTCTTAGTATAACACCCACTCAGGTTGACCAGACGACACAAGCGTTTCTAAATGTAACCATCACCAATATCATTTTCTGAAATTTAGGTAATGTCAAATACAATGACGATGATGATGACGAAGAGGAAATGGATGGGTCTGGTTCCACATCGGAATCTGGTGACTCCGAGGATTCCGAAGAATCCGGTGATTCTAGCCAAGGAGAGTCAGATGGAAACAAATTAACAACACCCATGGAATCCACCGAAGTTTCCTCTGACCAAACTCAAGAAAAAGAACCAAAGAAGGTTGAAGATGAGACAGCAACGTCAGAATCGGACGACGAAAGTTCAGCTTCAGGAGAATTTGGCGAATCAGGGGAGTCTGGTGACTCTGATGAGTCTGGTGAATCAGGGGAGAGTGGGGCATCTGGTGAATCAGGAAACGCTGCTGAGTCAGGAGAAAGCGGAGAATCTGGAGAATCAGGTTACGGTGATGAGTCAGGAGAAAGCGGAGAGTCGGGAGAATCAGGGGACAGCGAGGAGTCTGGTGAATCAGGAGAAAGCGGTGATTCTGAGGAATCTGATGCTGAGTCAGATGTGGTGAAGAGAAATGAAATTCCAAAGGAAGATAAAGGTAAAGTTTGTAAGAATATAAGGTAAAAACCAATGCCTAGTATTCATAAATATAAATTCATGAACTTAGGTAAAAATCATAATGGTTCCGTTTGTGATACCATAGAACCATTTACATTTTTTTTCAGCTTTATCGTAACGTGTAGGGTATTTTGGGTATATGGGTTTTTCATTTAACTTTTCGATAGAGAAACAAATAGTATTTCAAAATTGTTGTTGGGTAACACATAGTAAAGACTAAAAATGAGCTCCTTACACAGTTCTACCTCTCACTTCTAATAAATTTGTGTTTTTTACAGAATCAAGCAAACAAGAAGATAGTGGAGAAAGCGGTGCCTCTGGAGAATTCAAAGAGGTGGTTGAATCGGATGAAATTGAAGATTCCGGAGAGTCTGACGAGAGTGGAGAGAGTGGGGAATCTGGAGACTGGGGAGAAAGTGCTGCATCTGGAGAGTCTGGAGATAACGAGGAATCCGGAGAGTCTGGTGAATCGGCGATTAGCAAACGAAATGAGATTCCCAAAGAGCAAGGTAACCACGCACTTAAGTTCTTTATCCTGTGTAACTAATAAAGAAGGTCAAAATCTTAGGTCGTGTGTCCGGCTATTTTAACGTTTAAAATCATCAAATTCCCCTTATGTTATTATTTGCCAACAAGTAAGAAAGACGGGACCATATAGATCGTAATAACAGTAACTGGCGAGTGGCAACCATCAACAGACCACTTAGGAACGAGTATCGGTGTGAATTTAATTTTTAGATACGAAAGAAAACGACGAGTCAAGTGCGTCAGAGGAGTCTGGCGATGCTGTCGAATCAGGTGCATCGGGGGATTTTGAAGAATCAGGCGAATCCGGCGATTTTGAAGAATCCGGTGAGTCCGGCGACTTTGAAGAATCCGGTGAGTCCGGCGATTTTGAAGAATCCGGCGAGTCGGGAGACTTTGAGGAATCTGGTGAGGCAAGTGACGGAACAGTATCCAAAAGGAGTGAAATTCCCACGGAAACACAAAAAGGTAATTCAGAGTTGTTTACTTCTTCGAAATCGTCAGCGATGGACCCTTAATAGGGAAAAATGCCTAAGAAAATCTTCTAGGATCTTAAGAAGAAACAGCACAAAAAGCAGAGTAAAAGTCAAAGGGACGCTAGGTTCTTTTCGATCAAAACCTTACAGGTTATGAAACTCATAGAATATCAATCATTTCATGATTCTTTTAACAAATGTAGGTGTAAATCCTTTGCACTATTTATTGCGCCGCTTTCCATGGCATTTGAAACGTTATAAGTAGTTTCCATGTCTGTTGCTTTATTAAACTTCCCTTTTACGATAAAACAGCAATAAAGGAGATTTCAAAGGCGGCTGAAAAATCTAGCAGTGGCAGTTTATCCGAACAATCAGCGGACAAAGAAACAAGTAAGTCTGAAGTTCTTCCTGAAACCAAAGAAAGCAGCCAACCGGCTGAAATTGCACAGACTGAGAAATCGGACCAAACCAAAGAGTCTGACCAATCAGGAGAAGAATCTGGGGAGGGCAGTGAAAGCGGAGAAAGTGGAGAGTCTGGGGAAAGCGGAGAAACTAGTGAAAGTGGAGAAAGCGGAGAGTCTGGGGAAAGTGGAGAAAGTGGTCAAAGTGGAGAATCAGGAGAAAGCGGAGAATCAGGGGAGTCTGGAGAGAGCGAGATCACTAAGAGAGATACAATTTCAAGAGATACCAGCGATGCTGAAAAAGGTGCAACCAAACGGAACACTTTTTTTTCTACCCATAAATTCCTACATATCAAACTAAGCTTAGAAAGGGGAAAACCACCACCAAGGTCAAGGTTACAAATCATTTCACTCAAATGCCTATTAAAAGTGAGAGTTGTAAACAATTATAAAGGATTGACAGAGTGAGGCCTTCTTTGCAAATTTGTGTCAAAGTCAGATATTTGTAGGCAGTACAAACCGTACAATGTGAGAATATTTATAAATATCATGAATTCATAAAACGAACACTTTTCGCCAGTTTACATCCCCTCACGCTTACTCACAGACGAAGTTTTCTTATCGTAATTGCCGAGAGTCAAATCTCTGCTTGGAAGTTTTTACCATAAAACTGAGTTTGTGATTTATCTTTGATAGACTTGAGTGGTTCTGGCGCTTCAGGAGAGACTTCCAGCCATAGTGACGAGTCCGAGGAATCCGGTGAATCAGGAACCTCGGGCGAGTCTGGAGAAGGCGGAATATCAAAACGAAGTGAGATACCATCAGAAGAAAGGAAGGAAGGTAAAAATGGACTGGCTCTCTCCGCTTTCTTTACAAAATTTTTTTTATGAAAATGTTAATTATGACCAGCTTGGGTTTTACGTATCAATGAACTTTTTGCGATTGCATGACAAGAAGCGCTCAATTTTTCTAGTTTACAATCGTGAAATGAAGTAGTTGTCAAAGTCAACGTGTAAAACTACTGTTACATTGAAGCAGTTTTGATGGAGGCTATTCAATTAGATATCCCTTCCAATCTCATGGTGTCTGATAATTTTATTCTGATATGTTATAATTTTGACATGCTTAAGATGAAGATTCAGAGGAATCCGATGAGTCCGACAATTCTGGTTCTGGAGAGAGTGCAGAATCGGGGGAAAGTGCAGAGTCTGGAGAGAGTGCAGAATCTAGTGAAAGTGAGGAGTCTGGAGAGAGCGGCGAATCTGGTGAAAGCGAAGAGTCTGAAGAGAGTGACGAATCCGGTGAAAGTGAGGACTTCGCTGAATCGGATGAAAGCGGAGAGGCAGCGATCTCAAAAAGAAACGAAATACCACAGGAACAAAGTGGTGGGTACATCGACGATAATTAATCATATGTAAGGTTTCATCATGAGGATCCTTTAGTACAATGGCATTTTAGGCTCATTACGTTCATACATTTCTCATCTTTGTTTGAGATATCTCTATAGTCTGTCCATGAATTCCGAAAAATATTAAGGTTAGGGTTAGTTTTTTAGGGCTGGTTTGGATCAAATTGTCTCACTCTACAAGAACCGTTGATACTGCGTACTAATAGCCCTTCGTGTCACTGAATATTCCTCAAACTCGCATGAAACATTTGTTTTCGCAGTTGCAGTTATTCCAGATTACGAAGACGCGGAAGATTTTGAAGAGTACGGAAATTCTGAAGAAAGTGGAGAAAGCGGAGGGAGTGGGGAGAGTGGAGAAAGCGGAGAAAGTGGAGAGAGTGGAGAGAGTGGGGAAAGCGGGGAGAGTGGGGAGAGCGGGGAGAGTGGGGAGAGTGGAGAGAGTGGGGAGAGCGGGGAGAGTGGGAGAGCGAGGAGAGTGGGGAGAGTGGAGAGAGTGGAGAGAGTGGAGAAAGTGGTGAATCAGCTGACGGAGGGATTGCCAAACGAAGTGATATACCCAAAGACCAGCAAGGTATGAGCATATTTCCTCATTTATTGACTATTCTCTTACCACAAACTGAAAATTGGAGCCTATTTCTGTATTAGATAAACTACTTATTCCAAACGTTTCAGCAGCAGGTTTGCGGGTATGGCACTGTAGATGTGGTTTTTACAATTTTAATCAGAAGTGTTAAATATCAGGCTGCCACATTGTTATTGCAGAATCGAAGGATTTATCTGGATCAGGAGATTTACCTGAGTCTTCGGCTGAATCCGTTAAGCGCGAAGAGTCCGGTGAGTCCGGTGAGTCTGGCGAGTCCGGTGAGTCCGGCGAGTCCGGCGAGTCCGGCGAGTCCGGCGAGTCCGGCGAGTCCGGCGAGTCCGGCGAGTCTGGCGAGTCCGGCGAGTCCAGCGAGGCCGAATACAAGCGAAACTTCATCCCGAGGGATAGCGACGCCGAAGATGGTGATGATGACGAAGATTCAACTGTGGAAACTGAAAGCAAAGAACAAGATTCCTCTGAGGGGGAACGAGAAGGGAGTGCTGATCAGCATGCCAACACAAGAGGGAAAGTCATAACTGAAACCATGGATGACATCGCTAAAGCCGCACTGGACAACAAAATTGAGAGAAAGTCGGACATCATCCACAGTTTACCGCGAAACACCGAAGAATTTCCGATCAGTGAAAAAGAAAGCAAATCGCAAGTAAGAGAAAAGAAGACTGGTGCTGCTCTTAAGAATTTGTTCACTGCGCTGGCAGACGGTGAGGCGCATGCGTCAGGGTCAGGAGAGGAGCTTGCTTTGAGAGAAAAAGCTCAAAGTACAAATTTCGTTAAAAGAGTAAGCATATGCTACAGTTTGCGTTATTTTAAGATGAGTGTATCTTCAAATATCTCTTTCACAGTCTTGATGTGAAAACTAATTATAGAGCCTAAGTTATGTAACAATTACATATCAAAAACTATATCATCTGCTGAAGAAAATGATATAGAGCCAATCCAACGCAATGGCTAGAACAGAAAGATCATGTTGACTAAGAGACGACGTACCAGCATGAATTTCTTGGAAATCATTTTTAAGAGTAGCTAACGTGAGTTATTGGTCAAAAATAAGGGCATTCCGGCTGTTCCACGATTTGCGTAATCTCTCTTAAAAGCACCGACACATTCAAACTGTTTTAAACAATGAAATGAAGGCTGATTTGTGTCAATTTAGTATAGGTGCTCACCATAAGCCACAACCAGCCATACTGGTCCATTCATCCAGAGAAGTTCGTTGTACCTTGGAATTTTCTGGCCATACGGTTCACTTCGTCGACTCTATGAATTCATCTAATTATCAGATAATTGTAGGAATCAAGCAAAACTCTCGTAAAAAAAAATTAGTTTTTTTATTGACTTGACGGCTGGCCAGTTCTTACAAATGATAAGCGCTCTGAGATATCTTTAGTGCTTTGCTATTAGAAAACTTATTGTATCACTGCATTATTTCAAGGAGCCTTTGGAAACAAATGGAATGAAGAATGCTTTGGACGAGATCTGGACACAAGGTGAAATTGGAAATTCGAGAACTGATAACTTAAGAGAAAAGGACATTATAGAGAATAGATATTAGTACTCCAAGCATGTTTTACCATAATATGGGGAATAAAAGTAAGACAAATAAGCTGAGAAAAAAGAATATCGATTCAAAAAGGTAACACTTCACAGTCCACAGTAAAGTAAACTAGCACTTGAATTGGTCTAATTCTGTCTCTGCTATGAACGATTACAAAAAATGATAAACTGACTTCTTCAAACTTTTTCATTGATCTTCAGAGGACAGTGCCCTCAATGATGCTGAATCAGCTAATATTAATTTAAAGGAGAAACAAGAATTTACACAGGTAAGGAACTCAGGTATTGATGTATTAAAGTAAGAGCGTCGAAAATAGTTGATGCTGTTTCTTTTCACCGTCAACGAACGCTTATTGTGGAAATAACCTACTTTTACTTCACTCTATTTTCAAACTCAAAGCTCGCAGCCACTTTAAAGCGTTCACTGCCTTCAAAGGACTCTGAAAAAGCCACAGAAGTCGATAAAGGTAAGCTTCTAGTCACATGTTATTTATATCGTGTGGTTCTAACTACAGAAGGGAATTTTGCCTCTGGTAGCTAGTTGGGTTGGCGGTTCCTATCATCATTATCTCATTGCACCACTCTAATGCAAAGCATCCTGTTAAGTGTATGTTTTAATTTTTAAGAGGTGAGTACATCCGCCATCGTCATCACGTCGTACTTGTGAATTCAAAATTCACTCAGAATCATGTTGATATGAAGGACACCCAACGTTCGTCCAATTCCACCATCGGTTGAGCAGCATCAAATCTTACATTTATTTGTGGTGTAGAGCATCGTCATCCTCATTATGAGCATAGCTATAAAACGCAGAGTTTCCACCTAATTAGGAAGTGCAATAATTTCTGAAAATACTTTGACCTAACGAACAGTTTGTAGAGGGCAGATAATTTGGCGCATGGTTCACATACTCTTAAACTATCTATCTTTGCAGATGTGGAGGCATTGGAGGGCTATGCTGACGCTCTTACAGAGGTTGGAGGTTTAACACCCGAACATCACAAAGCAATCGCCACTAAACTTGCTTTGGACCTCATGGAGGACCTCAACATTGATGAAAAGGAACGATCTGATCTTTTGAAAAAAGAAACAGCCTTCATCAAAGATGCAGAGATCGCATATGTTAAAAGTAAGAGAGAGCTGAGTGGGGGTGTGGGCAGATACCCAGAACTTGGTATTGCTTTAACTCCTTTGCGTGATTTCCAGTCTCAGGTACTAATTAGATTCTGATTTTCTTTTAATGCTTCATGTAATTAGGTAGGATCACCGAAGTCAAAAAAGAAATGATAAAGTTTGCCCAAGAGCACCCAGGTGACAAAGAAAGGATTCGTGCAGAGGCAATCAAAAGATTGGAGGATGTAGTTGAGAAACTTCCTCTCAGAAAGACAACCATTGAAGCTCAAGAACACAAACTAAAGAGATCCCCCATGCTCCAGCAAATTGTTGCTTCTACAAGCAAAAGAGAATTGAGAGAAAGAATCAGAAGAGCTTTAGCTGATTTTATTGCTGAGGACGTCGCATGAACTCCGAGTAGGACAGAAGAGTGACTAAGGCCACGAAAAGCCTTCAAATCGAGCCATAAATGAAGTCATGTACACATAGGGTTCAAGCTACAAAAGTGACATTTAGTTTACTACGTTGGCATGACATACGTTTGTATAAACAGAACTTATACAATAGGCTAGATATCTTTAGTTCCTTCATAATCACAAATGTATTCATTCAACCAGCCATTCCTTGACCATTGCCTGAAAAAAAAAATGTAAAAGTTGATTTTGTTTGTTGATTGATTCCGTAACATGCTATGGGTTTCTCTTCCCATGGAATTGCAGCTTAAACTTTTTAAATTATATTAATTGTTTTAAGCATTTTGATTAAGGTCTGTTAAAGACCTCTACTGTCACATAAAACCCGACGACTTTCTCATACAGGGACTTTGGTATGGTTGATAAGGACAATAGGCCAAGCAGGGCCCGATGACGTCATTGTACAAGTTTGCAAAGAATGCAGGGAATAAAAACTCGAACATTTCAAGATGTGGGGAGTTGTTTATTTTAGTAATTACTAGTAAAAGTTCAAGCCCTGCCTAGATAAATAAAACTGAATTAACGACCAAGTAATTGTAACCCGCTTAATAGATTTGTAGCTTTATGGTCAGATAATTAAAAATTGTAAATTTGATCTATGGATGTAAATAAATTTCTGAAAACATGCAATCAGGCGTCAAAAGTCATATTTGAAATATCAATTTATTTCCCATACATTTTATAAACTATTCTAGATTTGCATCTCTAACCATAAGCAACAGTTTTTGTAAATGAATATTGGAATGAAGTTGGTAAGGGTAAAAATCACCGCAAGTAATGTTCAAAATCCAGCTGCCCTAGGTAACTTTGAAGAGCTACCTTTCATTTCTACTTTATCTCTTGCCGGTATAAGACAGGCCAATATACAAATGAAGAGCCCCTTTTTATCTTGAAAAAAAAAAAATTCATCATAATATTACACACAATTTTTGGACTGACCAATCTAGCAAGGCACTTTTGATCAGCAGCCAAATTCTCCGATGTCATGGATCAGTCCGCCCGGGAAAGCTGGGAACGTCGATCCGAACTTTTCTTTTTTGTTATACATATGTTTGACTGTTTATATATTTACTTTCATTAATTTATGACTTACATAAACTTCCTTGCAGTAGCCTTATCATCATTTCACTGAAACGTTTCTTTATGGCTATTTTGCGCCCTTAACACGATACCATATTAAAAACCACACATGCTCTTTACATTCTCAAATTATGTTACAACACTAAACTCTTTTTCATGTCATCTTTAGAAATTCATCCTTAATACAAACTTATTACATTATTTGTGGTCAAATTTGAAAGAAAAGCGATCCACAGAAGCATATACATGCTTGCACCTATCAGAAAGATGTAGATGATACAAGGTAGCGTGACACTTCGCCGAGTGTGTGACGTGTTTCGCCGTAACGGCCCCTGGTTAGCAGGGAGGGGCCATTTTCTGTACGCAGCTCGACGCTCAACTTTGTCACGTTTCCTGAAATACAAAATAATAGCCATGGTTCATAATTATGGTTCAAAACACATCGCTACTTCTCACACCTACTGACCCACAAAACGACGTACAAAAGGCGGATTTCTCACATTCGATTTTGCTACGACCGGTACTTCGTGCGGGAGACGCGGTGAACAAATAGTCTGTGCGCTGGAATTCTGTTCTTGCGCAAAAGACTTTCCTTTCAGAGTGCCTCTCTCTCCAATAGCATCCTATCCAGGGGATCTGGTATTGGTGCTTCCAGGAGAAGCTCTGGCTGGGTGGGCCATTTAGCTCGCTTACAGACTTATCCACTTTCATTTTCCTTTTCTTTCCATTTTCTTTTCTCTTATTCTTTATTTTTTAATTTTGTGGGTTCATCCTGCCAGGTCAAGACATATACTTTTCTCTTATTTCCTTGTTTATGCTTTGTTTTTGTCTTTTTCAGTATTTATGTCACTGTTGTTCTTTTTCTCGGTTTAAAAATATTTCTTTTATCATGTGTTTCTTTTGTTTAGGTCAAGGACCAGCCAGGGAGTGAGAGCAATCACATTTGTTAAATATCCAAGTGATTCTTATTTTGCTCTCCCTCTGACCAATGACCATAGAAGAAAAAAGGGACCGTTAAGACTAGAGTATATCTTACCTAAGTAGCTGGGGATCATAAGTCTGCCTAATCTCATTTCTTAGTTCTGTGAAAAATTAGATAAAAAATCATATACCAGTTAGTAACCCTGTCTTTATAGGAACATACAATTATGCTAAGTACTGAGGTAATGAAATCTAATTTATATGCTGTTAAGGGGAAAAAGTCAGTTCACAGCTGCGGACCCTTCCTTACAAAACTGAGTGCGCAAAAACAGGTGTGGAGTACAAGAGCGATCCTGGTTCCTTCATGGTTGTTAAATTTCCCATGGCTCCTATTTCACCCACACCTTGGACAATGTAACAGGAAATAGAAGGTCTGTAACCAGACTATGGAAGATTGAGAGGAGTGGGTCCTGTAAAAAAGCACTTTGAGGCTCTTTTTGGGAAATCTATGGTCTGTTTAAAACATGTTGAGTTTTCCACATATGCTATCATTTGACATCTACTGCTTGTCAATTATACTTTACACCATTGTTAATTGCATATACTTTACCTGTTGCTGGTGTTAATTGTTCGACTATTTGCCGGCACAAAGGGCATCTTACTGAGCCTCTACTGCTGGTCCTGAAGTTTAACTGTCGTAAGCATGGGTCACAGAACACATGATCACAAGAACATTTAAAAGGCTCGTAAAACAGATCCAGACACACAGCACAGCAATGGTGATCTTGGATTTCTACTGAAATAGTCTAAAATTGTTAAAAACAACACATGTGATTCAATGGTCAGTAGTACACTGTCTTCCAATCAATCATCTCAATAACTGGTCATTTTAATGTTTTAAGCAAAGGTGAGTTGCTATGAAAACTGCATTGAAAATTAAAAAGAGATGAAAATGTAAATAACTGAATAAGACAAACTACTGCAAAAAGTGAAGAAGCTTGCAACTCTAAAACCAGCATGTGATACATGATAACAACTCAAAGGTCAACACCTGGAATCCAAGCACTCTTTCTCCAGTTCTAATTTGAACAAAAAGTTTACCCTCTTTCAATTAATTCCAGTTGTGTACCACAAAAAAAAAGCCATATACAGTTGAGGTACAGTGTAAGTGATTTTTACCTTGTTTTCCACTGTCTTACATAAAGGCTCACTGGAAACTTCATCAACTGGCAAGCAATTGTAGTATGTCGTTTGATCTGAAAATTGGCAAATAGATGACTTCTCTTCCCTCTGGTCAGTTGTTATGTCTAGTAAATTATTAGCTTCTGGTAATATTTGATGCCGTCCCTTTGTTTTCCTTCTGGATCTCTGCTTATAAGTTTCCTTGTCATTTAAAATGCCCCTTGCTCTACTTGTGTTTGAATTTAACTTTGTAGCTTTAGAGGAATCACAATGCAGTGCACAGCCAAATCTACATGTATGCTGGGGCACTAACTCCTGGGCCTCATCTTGAGCAGTGTTTAACGAGGTTTCTGCTTCTAAGCCAGAATAAGGTTCATGCAATCTGATATTGCAACACTGTTTACAGTTATGAATGGGACATAACCCAGTTAGATGAGATGTGTTTGGACAAATATCTTGCTGCACAGTACATGTAGATATCTCTCTCTTGGGCGAGCTAAACTTATATGCTAGCATTTTGAGAGAACTGGGTATGTTTTCCATCGCGATATCTGATGTTGAATTGCATGAAGATGTTCCTTCATCAATGCAGTGCCTAATGTCTACAATGTAAAGTGAAACAGTTGCAGAATCAGTTCATTTTCATGCAATTTAAATACATGCAAAACATGTCTCTCCTTTTCAGCAACCCAACTGTTCTAGATGGGAATTAAATTAACAGTATTTTGCCAAAAACTGGGAATTTCCATGCATTTACAGTCAGGTTTTGGTTTGCATGGTGGAATGTCAGTTAGAATTCCTAACAATACATTTTTTTACCATTACTAAACAACTATAAAACTTCATATTGAAATCTTATGATTTTAGAGCATTTAGATCACTTTTATCATTGACAACATGATACAGTAATAAATTTGTAACTAACATTTCAAATGCACCTACATGTAAATTATATGCTCACCATTCCCCTCACTATCCACAAGTCTGCCATTGGCATCTACCACTGAGAATACTGAGGATGATGCAATCTGTGTTGTGTCTGTATTTCCCCTGAAGTCTGTGCAATCAAACTCACTAATATTTCCAACAGAAGATTTGGTCATATTATTTTGTAGTTCTACAGTTTTGCCAAAAGAGTTCCTTGTAGACTGATTGAAAGATATTGAAGGGCTCCTGATATCCAAATTTGTCATCTGACTTGTGGGCAAAATAAGATCAACTCTACTTTTTTGAATCCAGACAGCTGGGATAATAAACTTTCCACAGTTACAGTGTATTCCATGAATAAAGTCAAAAGCACCTATTCGACTCTTGCATTTGGGGCAATACAATTTTCCCTCGGTCCATTGAGCCTAGAGCACAAATAAAGATTATACATCAACCCCATAGAAAGTCATTCAGAAATCAAACTAAGAAGGGAGAAAACATGTGAACAAAAAACATCTCACATTTTTTTACAAGCATTGGGCAAAGTAACTCTGATTTCTCTCTTTGACCACACTAAGGTTATCTATAATTACCCAAAAATCTTGCTATACAGTGTCTTCATGGCAGTAAAGGTGACCATAAAATAAAAATTTCCCATTTCTTTCAACTACCATAATTCAAAAAAGATCTTTAACTCAAAACACTAAACCCTTTAACCCCTTAGACTGTCCAGGATCTAATTTCTCCTCACAACATCCCCCTCTGAATCCTATATTAAGGTCACGAGAACAAGACAATGATCACCAACTTCTCCTCGTCAGCATCTGAGAAAATGCATATCGATCAGTATGGAGAACATGCATACTAAGGGCGTAAATGGTTATTCATCTTAAACGTGTGATTCAAATTCAGAGTACCATTCGATTCGTTTGAGTCTTTATGGATGCCCACCTAAGGGGCATGTACTTCTTCACTAGTAGTGCAAACTGAAACTCTCCTTATTGTACCATGTAGCCTGCTGAGTTGCAAGCCTTCCAGAGCTAACTAACGGGACTAAAACACACCTCTTCCACGCTATCACGGACCCAAGGAAGCATTTCGTCATCTTCTAAGAACCAGGAAGAACATTTCTCGTGACTGAACAAATCTATTTGACCTGCCCCACGACTGTCTCTCTCCTTTTGATCTTTGTGAGATGCAAGTTGCTTGACGGAAAAAAGATTCAGTCGACACTTTCGACAACGAAATGATGAATCTTCGTCCATAATGTATCAAAATATATGTTTTCCAAGTTTTTACAAGGCGAAAACTACCCAGTTTGGCACCGGAAACGTACCAGAAAGTTGTCAGGCCTGGATTGCCTCAGTGTTACGGGATTTCTGAGCCTCATTGAGAGTTAGTCAGCGGAAGTAACAAACTGTCATGTATGGAGAATTATTATATGTATAGTATAAGACATTACAAGTATTGGAGATGATAATTCCTCATACATGACGTACTTACCACTCAAAGATGGCTGACGAATGTAAAGGAATGGAAGAAGACAGAACCAGTAGAAATTTCCCAGCTGAAGAGAGTCACCAAGAAACTGATGACGAAAAATTAGAGAGACAATATTTTTGGAAAGTTGTGGAGGCATTTTTATATTATAAGTAAGTTTATAACAAATTGAAAAATCAATGATAATAATAATCCCTTAGTATGATAATGAATGATAATGAAAGATATTTGTTTGTTGTTTTGTATTCTTAGGGATTTTTCTTTACGGAAGCTGCAAAGGGTCAAGACGAACTTTAAATTACTTCCTAAAAGACATCGGGAAATGCTTCCAAATTATAAAGATCACATCTCGAAAATCGAAAAATGTATTGAGGAGAATCAGAAGTTCTTATTCGATATCGTCAGCCACACCAATGAAATGTTTGAAAATAGAGATCATTCAAGAATTCCTTCAGTAAGTATTTAAGACTGTCACAGCCTCTATTTCAATTACATTTGAAGAATTGGCTCCTAAGCATCCAGGTTATTATGTAAAGTTTATCATTAACATCGTGACTTGACAGGAATTTAAACACCTTTCCAAAAAGCCCTAGACCAAGTATGTAATTTATGACAATTTCATGTTGCAAGTTTGTCTTTTTAATGAGGGGTACATACATGTATGTTATATTGGGAAGGATCTAGTGCCACTTAGTTATCTTACAACCAATTCCTTTCATTTTGGAGACTTGAGACAGCTTGCAGACAACAGTACTATAATCATTGCTTTAGACATAGCTAAAATACTTTTTCACAAAAGTATTTTAAAAAGTCTTAGATTACATGCCCAGAATAATGTTGCATTATGTTGATCAGACTCCTAGTGACCCAGCAAACCAACCAATCAGTGGTTTTGACATGGAAAAAGTAACAACAACACTGAAACAGTTTGTGAGAGACTGGAGCGATGAGGTATTTAATAGTTTATTTGTTTGTTTGGCATATGTGTACCTGTAAGATGGCAATTTAATAATTACCTGATGACTCACATGGTGAATGGTGTGAACCAAGGTGATCATGTGGTTTTCATGATCTTATGGGTGGTGCCTCAGGATCATAAATGGTAACCAGTGAATTTTCAGGGAAGCTTGATGAAATGCTGGGAGGGTAACCTTGTGATGGACCAGCATCCCATCCAGGGGGAAGCAGTATTACCCCAGTAGTCACTTCATGCCCTGGAAATTGGGAAAAGCTCTAGCTGGGTGAGGCACTTTTAATAAGTACAGACTCAACTACCACAGGGTTACACTCAGCAAGTAATAGACTCCTTTCTGGATAGAAGTGCATTGCTTTCAAAATAAATTATGTAAGGTTACTAAACTAATCTCTCCTACTTAGTTTCTTTCAACACTGTACATATGAAATTAATTTTATAACAGGGAAGAGCTGAACGTGATGCTTGTTATAAACCTATTATTGAAGAGATCCAAAGACTTTTTCCAGGAACAGAATGGTGATGACTTTATGTTAATTTGTTAAGAAAAACATATTGAAATTTAAGACCAGTAATTATGTGTCTATTAGAACTTTGACCCTTTAGCTCCTAGCAGTGATTATGATTAAATTTCTCCCTAAGGTATAAGTACATATCCAACAAATGGTTGATGAGGATCATGAACTTACTAGTTACATATAGGGTATTGTCTCCTCATAAATGGTATACTGAATTCTCTTAGACCTTTGATCCCTGAGAGTGACTTAAGCATATAATTTCTCCTTACAATGTCACTGACTTCTGAATCACATGTTAAGGTCCTGAGGATAAAGGAAATGAACACCAACTAAAGAAGCTCTTGCTTATTAAACAAATTCTCCTTGTCAGCACCCTTTGAAATGTATAGAGAATAATATAGGGAACATGCATACTGATGTTAGGGACTGTAAAGGGTTAACATCAATGAACTGTTATGCAGCTAGAAAAAAGAACTCCAAATCAGACATTTACAGTGAAAGTGTCAATTTGGAACTTTTAACTTACTAAGGCCCAAATTTTGTCTGTAATTTTCAACCTTAATTATACTGCAGTGACTTGTTATAACTGTTGTAATAAATTTCAGCTCTAGAGGAGAAGTATCCATCCTTGTACCTGGAGCAGGTTTAGCAAGACTGATGTTTGATATTGCAAAACTTGGTAGGATGGATTTTAAAAAGTTTTTAGTAGTATTTATTTGGTTGTACTTGTGGTTGTATTTTTTAAAACTGGTCTAGCTCTTTTTTTTTGTTTTTGAATTGTCTTTTCTTAAGGTTTAGAAAGTGTTTTGTATTTTCCTCACCTACATTTAACATCTATAATAGTGCTTTTCATTTGTGTTTTATTGTTTTTTCCATTTCACCTTTTTTTCTTCCAGTTCTCTGAAAGCTTCCTTTGTTTCTTGATTTACTTTTATTTTATAATGGTAATTAAACTGAGAGTAGTGCAATTTGGTCTGAAATCATATGTGCACCAATGAGAGCAAATCTCAAGGATCATCAGTGATTTCAAAATGAATGTATAAATAATTATAAATATGAGAATCAAGAGACTCTTGTAGAGCAATTATCACCTTTTTTATGCTTCTTCTTCTTTTCTCTAAATTTTTTGTTTTTTGATCTTTAGCATGTTTAATGGACTTGCTTTATTCATTATCATTCTCTAGTCATATTGACAATCAGATAAAAAGAACAAGTAAAAAATGGGGTGATTGAAAACCTTTTGCCAAAGGTTGACTCAATTTGCTGTTAGAAGATGATCAGTGACTGTAACTTCAATTTATTTAAAATGTATCTTAGGTTACAGATGTCAAGGAAATGAGTGGAGCTTATACATGCTATTTGCGTCACACTTTATATTAAACAGGTTAGCACTTACAGTTGATATAGCTCAGTAACTCAGTTTACTTATTTTGTGCGGTGAGATGGAAAGTGTCTAAATTTGTAATTTCCATTTCCTCTTTACATTTGATACATTTCAATTTTTTTTGGTGGTCTAATGTGGAAAGGTCATGATTGATTTCATCTTAATTTTCCTTAAAAATTAAGAAAACATCACATACTGACAAGTAATTCATACCCATACTTGGCCTGCTTACTACCTGAGTTCAAGGTCCTTACTGTGAGGTGTGGACCGAGTGGGAAAAAATGAGGATCAGTAATTCACAGTGTGGATCGAGAAAAACAATATTAGTAAGATGGTTACTTTGTCTCTTGCTTCAACCAGAGGGGAAAGTTTTCAAGTCATACAGACGTTTGAATTTAGTGGGCCGTACAGTGAAATACGGCCCGCTAAACTGACCAATCGTAACGCACGTACTAAATGAGATATATAACAATATGTGGTACAATTTTTAATATTTTGAAGTATGGTTTTTTCTGTACAACATACATTGCTATTTTTTTTCCAAAGTCAATCTTTCCTCTACCTGATTTTTCGTTCAGAGCATCTGACACGTATCACATCACAATATACCCATATATACACCAGACCTGCAATAACCGAACGTCAGCTGACCAGATACGCGCCGTTCTTATCCCGGATGTGAACCCATCTGATGTTCCACCCGATCTAAACTTTTCAATGGCTGCTGGAGATTTTTTAGAAGTTTACACCGAGAAAGGTACTTTATTTGAACGCGCATTTAAAGTTCAGTATTCGTAATAGTGGTACATACATAAGAGTAATATAGTAATGGTAGTAATATCTGTCAAGTGAAAAGTGTAATAATTTCTTCAATTACAAGAAGAACGCATAGTTGAAGATTGACACTTAACAATGTATATACACGGGTCGTCGGGAGCAGAATATCACGCGCATAAACTAAGGTTTTGTACGGCCGGCTATCTTGTTCTCTGTCGCAAATTTGCCATTTGTGCAAATTGTCAGCGATGATTCAACTAAAGCTCATGCTACTCTAAACTTGCTTGTGAGGCAGAAATGCTGACCTTGCTAAGTTAGGCAGGTCTGGTCCTGTTTTCTCGTAGACAGTGTAACATTGAGCGGAAGTTTTATTACATTTTTTAAGCCAATTTGTAGCCAGCAGAACAGGGTTAATTGTTTTTGCGTTTTTCATGGCTGAAAAGCGTGAGTCGCGCGCTAGGGAAGGAGCTCCTCTCCTCGCGCATAACTCGCGTTTACCTCCTTTCGCGTGAAAAAAACTAAAAACCTACGCCTCTTCAGCAGGCCAGTTAATGTGATGCTGGACCACACTTACGGTACACTAGATGGGATTTTTGTCAGTTTTCACAAACAGTAAACAGTGTGATACTAACGTTTAGGTTCGAGTTTATTGGAAACACACTAACAATAAAACCAGACAACTACCCACCATTTTATAATTTTGTGTGGAATTTACTAACAGTTCTCCTTTCTTTGCTTTGTTTCTCAGAATCCTGGGACTGTGTAGTAACTTGTTACTTCATTGACACGGCTCATAATGTCATCGCTTTCATTGAAAATATTGAAAAAATCTTAAAGCCTGGTGGCTACTGGATTAATCTTGGTAAGTTTAAACGAGTGCGAGGTCTAATGCGTATATCGTTGGGCTGGAAAATAACTTTTAATTGATGTGGCAGTGGATTGCCCAAAGGTACATTCAGTTTATGAAATAAACCTCGTGCTAGGCGTAAAAATGCTGTTCTTTGTCACCATACCAGAAACGAGAAATAAAATTTTCCTTTCCATCTCTCGATGAGTGTCTGAGAAATTTCAACTGGCTCAATGCTTTAACCAGGGATGGAGATTGCAGTCTCATCGACAAAATACTATATGGGTTTAAAGGCTTCCAAGGCACATTCTCACTCAGACTGCACAATTCCCTATCCTCCTCATTCCCCCGAACTTTATCCATACAAAAAAAAAGTTACCCACGAAAACTTCAACCTTCGAGAAATTTAATTGGATCCTGAGTTAAACACCAATACTCTCTCGACTGCAATAATAATGATTTCTTCACAAGTCTCAGTACCTTCGCTCTTCCTTCATTGTGCAGAATTGGTTTCAAATAATTCTTACCATTTTCATACATCTCAGCAGCAAGAATGAACATTCTCCCTCCCCACTCAGGACTATAAGTAGACTCTGGGAAGCTTTCAGGAAAACCCAAGGGACTGGGGAAAGATGACCCACGAGGGACTAGCATTCTATCCAAGGATGGAGGGGGGGGGGGAAGGGATGGGGATGTAGCCCCTTTCTTGGTCGCTCCTTGCTGTAGGAGCCAGTTCAAGCTCCGGCAGTTTTGAAGCTAAGGCTCGTTACTTTGCTTCTCTTTTCTTATCTTTTTCTCAATTCATTTTTATAGGTCCATTATTGTATCATTTTGCTGACATGGCAAATGAATGGTCTGTGGAGTTATCGTACGAAGAAATCAGAAGGATTGCTACGGAGCACTTCAAATTTGAAATTATTGTATGTTATTATCATGCATGCACAGTACCTTAGCATTCGGTGTCTCAATGCCCATTGGTTTTGTTTCGTTGTCTGCACATCAAGATGATCGTATGCTTCGGGCAACTTCAGTTCTATCCTTCATTAATCAACCTTGATTGTAGTGGTGATTGATCGTAGTGGAGATTGATCGTCCGTGAGTTTAATTTACTTTTCTCTTTACCTGTTCTTTTTCAGAAAGAAGAGACCAGTATTTCATCAGGATATATTGAAAATCAACGATCCATGTTGAAGCTGGTTTATGATAACGTGTTTTTTGTTGCACGCAAACCTCTGTGACAAAAGTGGAAATGTCCCGTAAACTTCTTCCAGTATTTACTTATCATCATAAACTGAATTGGATAAAAGACTCTTAAGATTCATAACAAAGAACTTGAATGACAAAGCCATATACGTCGATGAGAACAAATAGTTTAACTAATAAATCGATTACTTTCGTGTATTGGCTGCTTTTTTGAATTGGCTATCGCTTCGACTCAGGAATATGCCAAAACATGTTTGAGGAAGGTTCTGCTACGGAAGGGGAAGATGTAAATCCCAATTGGAATTAAGGGTACTATCTTTTACCGCTGTTTGATAATTTTATTTAAACGCTTTAGAGGAAGACGGCAGGTGTGGGTAGATTTCTGGAATGTCTTTCCTGCGCGCGACAACACTATGAAACTCCATCAATCTTCCTTACCCTTAGGAAATTATCGGCCATTTCGCGTGGGCTTTCTTAGGACGACATGTTCACCCTATGACTCATAGGAATGACCAGCATCTAATTTCTCATCACAATATCACCCTGAATTAAACATTAAGGTCACGAGAATAAGGAAATGATCGCCAATTACAGACGTTTTTTAGCGTTAAACAAACTCTCCTTGTCATCACCTTAGGAAATGTGTAGAGAACAATATGGAGAACATGCACACTGATGCCGGGCACAGAGGGTTGACACAAACGCAGCAGGAATTTTCATTTTTGCTGTCGCTAAGACTTGTCGTGCAGTGCAGGGAAGGAAGTGCGTTTCTTGACGAATCCACGTAAGGACTGGGAAGACTGGTATCAGTAGTCGATCATCGAGCTCAAAGAGGAGCAATTTCCGAAGCAAAACAATTGGCCTTGCGCATGTGTCCGAGTGAATAGAAGCCTTACCACTACATCTCTTCAGCAATCGTTCTCGTTCCGTTGATATACATACAAATGAGCACTTAAATTTCACAGCTGTTCCCTTGTTCACCTGATTATAAAGTACTAACCGTGCGAATGTCTTATGATTGACTAAAGTTGCTATTTTCTATTACACAATGCCTTAACCTTAACATAGAACAAAAGCTTGAATTCACGGATAATTATATCATCAACTAGGGTAGTGTTTACAGTGTTAGAAGTTGGTTCATCTCATCAAAATGTTTATAACAAAGTCTTAATGAAACAAACTTTTACACCCTATCGTCCTACTGATGTGAGGGTAGGTGTTAAGGGTTAACACAAATAACAAACAAAATCCAACATCTCGCCAATTTTTAATCCACAGTTTGAAATTAAATATTCATCATTTTCAGAACGCAGAGAAACATATTCTGAAATGTCCAAGTCTTTTAAGAACTCTTCTTACGACGTTTGTCACAATTGACATGTGCACCAGCCAAACGCTGTCGATTCCAATAATTTTTAGTCTGACATTATTTTAATCATATTTCATATTCCTGATCATTTAAATTGCATTAATCATTTTTTTAGTCTAATTTTGTCTTAATAATCTTATTTCAGTAAAAATATTCTGTTACGTAAGCCTTCTACTATTTTAAAATCTTAGGAGTCTTACGTAAGAATCTTATGTTAATAAATAGGCTAGTTTTATCAAAAATAAGAAATAAATGGCAATATGAAAAAATAAATTTATCACAAAACAAGGTCAAAAAAATCTTCCCGAGATAAAGAAAATGTCTTCAAGAACAGCAGCTTCCTCTTCATCTGAGTTTACACTTTCACCGGTCAGCGGACTCCTCTCCTTACAAGTGTCTTGTGAATAACCAGAGTCCGTAGTGTCCAGTCCTATAGCAGCTCCCGGGACCTCGGGTCCCAAAGATTTGCTTTCTAAGTTCTCTACAATATCCACCAGGGACAGCGGGTATGAACTTCCACGTGGCGCACTAAGAGATAAAATTAACTGATGTCTTAGAATGCATGGTAAATTTTGAACTTGGCAGTCGAAAGAAGAAAGAAGCTAAGCGTTGTTCATCTAATTCGTGCCTACAAAACTTACGCCCTTGAAGTTACATCTTAAGAGAGCAGTTGCGCAATTTGCATTTAGACTACCGGTACAAAAAAAAAGTCAAACATTAGAAAATAAAACAGAAGGAGCTCCATTGTACCTTTCTAAACTTGGGTCCAACCTTCCTGGTCTGTTGTCATCATCAGGAAATGATGGAAAATCTTGTGACTGTGAGCTACGCTGAACGTCGCTGTACAGTAAAAACCGTTGATCGCTGGCAGCAGTCTGTCTGTTATATGATTCTCGGATATTCGAATGTGACAATGGAGACCCGTGGTGAGAGGATTCACCTTTACTTTGCCTTCCTCCACTAAGAAAACCGTCGCCTCTAGGACTATCAACTACGAAGCTGCCTCGTTCAGAATGGAAGTCAGAATGAGACGCTGGATAAAATGAACTGTTGCTGTCTCTTCCGCTGACCACATATTGTTCAGTATTCTGTCTTTCTCTCAAGGCCGCTCTTTGTCTGTTAGCAGACACAACATGACCACGGCTGTGGAGCGAGTACCTTGAGCTCGAAAGACGGCTGACAGGATAGTTTACGCTTGCTCTTCCATCGACGTGTTCTTGAAGGGTTGGCAGACTATCGTCAGGGACTATACCTCTGCGATAAGAAAGGTCAGCGGGTGCTTGGTGCCCACGATGACGTTCATAGCTGAACCTTGGCTGACCGAGAGTTGGAGGAGCGGACTGCACTCTGTAATGAGGGTCTGGTTCGAGAGTTCCTCTGTTTTCTTTGTCAAGTTCCAACCTAAAAAGAAGAGGGAAAGAAAGAGTTATATTTAAAAGAAAGGAACGAAAATTATGGAAAATAGACTTACCTGTCGTTCTCTTTCCCACGGTACATTTCAGCTGCTGCAAAGCCTTCGTCACGAGGTGAAAGTATTCCTGAAGTTGAAGAATGCCTTGCTTTCTCTGGATTTGCCTGAAGGATGCCATGATTGGAGGAACTTACTGTAGGAGAAAAGACAGCAAGTTATACAATTGATAATTAATCGCGTACACCGAATGAGGCCGGAAAGTTTTAGCTAAATTAATGTAATCAACTGTGGGCAAAAACACTGCATAAAAATGCACTTTGATCACGGCAGCCAAAACCCTTCCTCTATGATTGTAGAAACAAACATTTAGAATGTTAAATTTTACGAAATATCGTCAAACAGCTCATTATTGGCTTAATCATTATCTCTCTGACTTTTTTCTCTAACACTCAACGTAACTGCTGACAACTTCCAATGCAGAGCTTAATAATCCTCACTTGACCGTATCCTATTCTTGTGATCGGTGACAGAAATTACTTGACGGAAAAAAAAACGAGTTGATAGGAATGACTTTGCAAAAGGCTAAAGTGAATTAGCTTGTATGGGCTGAACGCAGTACCTTCGGGACTAGGAATAAGGGATTGGGCGGGTGACAATTGACGGGGCTGAGAAGCAGGCCTGGGTACGAGTAGTGGAGCTGGCGTCTCGTCCACGGTAGACTTGGATAGTTTTTCCAGACCAGTGACCTGCAATAAAGAAAACTTAAATAATATAAAGCTAGAGAATAAAACAAAGGCAATCGTTGAGAGTAATCTGTAATCGTTTCGGTTTTGCTAACGTCTAAAAATTCCGCGCCTCCTTTACCGAAGCCTAAACCCTTAGCGAAATGGCCGCTCAAGTTTTCCAACATCTCGGAAACCCTGGTTGACTAGGGGTTTAATGTGCAATAAACTAACAAATAGGATATTCTGTCCCAAGCCCCAGTCGTACCTTCACTGTTCATCGCTTTAGCGCACACACAAAACCACCAGCTACACAAGCTAAATTTCATACAGTTCGTTTGTTTTTAATCTCAGCTCTTATTGGCTGCTTGTGATAATTTTCTTGACCCTGATTGGCTTTTGCCATAACTCTAGGTCAAGTATTAGAGTAAAATTAAGACAATCAAATGATAGCCGCTCCAAATTACAGGAAATAGAAATCTCTTTTCTCTTTCACAGACGAACAATGCATCAAGACTTCCACATCAGTTACCTTGGTTTCCATTTCCATTGACGTAAGTAGTTTTGGCTGTTGTTGTTGTTGTTGTTGTTGCTGCTGCTGTTGTGTCTGCTGCTGCTGTTGCTGTTGTTGCTGTAAATTCTCGACTTGCTGAAGTTGTTGTTGTAGTTGTAACTGTTGTTTCTGCAATTCAATCTGCTGTTGTTGGAGCTGCAGTTGTAGTTCATATTCACGGCAGTACAAGCGATATACAGCATCTAACTCAGCCGAGAAGCTCCCAGACACTCCTGACACTTCGGAGAATGACCTACTCGATGAAAACAAAGCAATTTGTTGAGCAATCAACAGTGAATAGTGTGCTGCATTAATTTTTCCTTTATCTTTTGCTGAGGGGTGAAACTTAGGATGGATTTTAAAAGTCTTAAACTGATAATCCCATTTACCACCAACACCACTCCACCACGGAAAACCACTTATTGTCTACAAGTAACTTATCTGGTAGAGTCTGAAATAAAAGTAATAAAAAATCTCCCATACAAACCAAGAAGCTCACACAACTGAACCTTCTCCTTACTCCCACAGTATGAAGAGACTAGGAAAAATGATGTTACTTCCAGACAGGATGCTGGTCAAATACTGGTCCATCATTTCTCCCCCCCACCCCTTACGACAATTTATCAGGCATCACTGACACTTGGCTGATATGCATACCCATTGAGAAGGCACAAAACAATGAGCCTTGTCAGGATAGAGAGCATATGTTTGCCCAGAATAGTGGTAACAGGAGATCAGGGGAAAAAATCACAAAGCTATTATGCGGCCAAGTGTGAGGTGACAGTAATCATCATCTTCACCCCTAACATTGAGTGAGCTCAGCTATTAACAGTTGTTACAGGATAATGCCCATTTTGGCAGTCTTGTAACTGACACAATGATCAACTCACCTATCTTCATTCTTTCTTGGAGGTACTTTCCCATCAGATCTCAATCCAGGATCTCCATCACCAGACATAGAAATCAAAGGCTTTACTGGCAGTGGATACTGAGGCATCATACCAGGAACAACTCTCGCTACTGACAGCAAGGAATCAGCAGAGGGGGATTTGGGGTGAATAGCTGTGTTCCAACTATCACAGAAATAAAACTGTACAATTAATGACAGTTATAATTATTACATTTCTAAAAATGACAAAATGATAATTATAAAAACAATGAAAATGGTAGTGATATACAGTATACTTAATAACAATGATGATGATGATAATTGTGACAATGGCAATGATAATTATCAATTAATCATGACAATTAGAATGAAAATAGGATAAAGGAAATTTCTGCCCTTCAAATGAAGAAAAGAGACTGTCATGTTACACCTCCTATCAAGAAGTTCCATTGCAGGGAGAGAAAAGGAATGTGAAAAAAAAAACCCAATCTTTCCTCCTTCAATCCCTCATCTTTCCTCCTTCAATCCCCTCATCTTTGGTTTAGTTGTTCAAAAATAAGCCCAAGGTTAAATTTTAACCATGGTGTCTTTATTCCTTTATTCAAATGCCTGTTTGGGATAATTTTCTGTATTCTTTTTAGAGCATCAAATAATCATATTCTAGACTAAAAGAATTTGACTGAATTCTCTTTTAAAGCTCTCAGATCTGAAATCAGATTTCACAGTAAAGCTGGGTTATTGTAACCCAGCTTTGAACAACCCAGCCCAGTAACTTACGTTGTTCCACTTGGTTCTGCAGACTTACAGGAGAGTCCTTCCTTTCGTGAGGAATTGAGTTGAATATCTGTTGACTGAACTTTGCTGGATGTAGCAACAGGGTGACACTTAGTCCTGGACTGTACATTGGAAGTTAAGGGTGCTTGTCCAGGGCAGAACCCTCTCTTATCACCTTCAGTTACATTGTCCTGATGGGCTACGGTCTGTGATTTTTGGTCCTCCAGTTCCCTGTTCATCACTTGCTGTGAGAGGCTTCCTTGGAAACTGTTGGCCTTAAGCTTCTCTTCTGTATGTTCACCATTATCAGTGTCTGGCTTTGTATTACCTGGAATTTCTGTTAAAGGTTGTTTGGATGGAGAGAAGTGTGCAGGCTTCTTTGGAGAAAGAGATGATAAAACACTACCTACAGATACCTACAGAGCATAACAAAAACACAATCATTATGTTAGTTATTACCACTGCAGTTACCAGTTCAGAAAAATTCTTTCTCTTAACCTTTCATCCTTTAACTCCCAAGATCAGATAATGAAATCTCCCCTCTAGCTGCTATACATTTCATTGTGAATTAGTTAAGAGAATTTGGCATTACATTAAGATAACAACTTTTACTTGATAAGATGGAGTATTCTCATTACTTGTTTGCTGGTTAATGTGTGAATATAATGGGGAGAAGTTATATGTTAATCACTTGTGGGAGTTAAAGACCTAGGTTAACTCCCATGAATGACCAAGAGAGAATTTCTCCTTACAATATCAATACAATATTAGACAGAAAAGAGATGAACATCATGTAATTTACCAATTGCATTGATAATTTAACACATTTACCAAACGCATTGAAACACGGCAACATGATACTGTAATGGGTGTGTGTTGTGGTGTAAACACCCATTGACATCATAAACGCATTGCACAGTGAACACGGTCACCATTTTTCATAGGTGGTGACTAGTGGAAAAATTGGGGTTGTCATGCACTGGCAGTTACAGGTGTTTCAAGTGTCAATACGTTAAAATTTTCTAGTACCATTTGAATGGTTTAGCAAATACGATGTAAAAACTTGCCTTTTGTTAGTTGTAATCAACAAATGATGGCTGGTGAAATTTTTCCAACCAAGTTGATTCAATTTTTTCCCAGTTGTTTTCAGACTTTGAACACAACTAACTCAACATTGATAACTGTGAAAATAATACTGCTTTGAAAAATGTCTAAATCAGGTGAAAATTTGAACCAGGGCATACAAAAGCTCTAAAGTAGAGAACAGCACAAGTACTGTACATGTACATGGGTCAGTAAGAGATCCCCAATGCCCAAAAGACATGAACTGTGGACATCAGAAATAAACATCACAGATGACACAGTTCAAGGACATACCTGTTCCTGGCCTTCACTTGTTGGAGTTTTAGTTGTTTTTGTTGGTGAAGGCATCCTTCTATTTGCCTGATATTTCACCAAAAGTGCTTGTAATTCCATGAACCTGTTTTGCAAATCTGAAAGCGCAAGTCAAGGAATGAAATTTGAAGCAAATTACTGTTGGTGAAGAGTTATCTTACAGCTGCATGTAAAACATGAGTGGATACAAGCTTTCTCTTTGATCACTGCATCATACTCCTCTTGCAAGATGGCAAGTCGTTCTTCAAATGCCAGTCTCTCTTCTTTAATCCTTTCCTCAGCAAGTTGCCGTTCCTCTCCAACCTTTGCAAGTTCTTTGACTAAGTTAGCCACACGTTTCTTGTCTTGTGGATTCAGCTCTTTTAAACTCAACTCTTGTTTATCTTTTCCCCTTCTTTCAAAGTAACCCTTACCTGAAGTGACAATTAGAAAACTACATCATATCATGCATTGGGACCACTCTCATAGTAATTGGTAATTTAAAGGCTAGGAAGAGAAATCTGTAGAAACAGATAAAAATGTACAGTTGGTCATCATATACATTAATGTGACCTTAAATAAGACAAATTTTACAAGGTCATGTACAAAATCTACTTTCACATGCACTGTAAACTGAAAGAATATATATGTTTGCCATCTACAATTTCAACAATAGACAATTTCTTATGTAGAATCTTACCAAAATCATCAAGTGAGTCTGAGACAGTTTTTGTACTAAGGCCACTTCTTGACATCTCTTGCTCTCTCTTGTCCAAAGAATCATGTAGAGATTTTTGGTGAGTTAAGACTCTGGGTTTTATCATGTGTACTGGTTTCCTCACCATTGGGTTCTTGATGTTTAGGCGTGCTTCAGGTGCTACACCTTATTGAGTAAAAAATGGAATTCAGAGTAACTTTTTATACAGAACATGTAAGACTGAACAAAAATTATATTTATAGTGATAGTCATGTAAACTATATAGACAGTAAACCCTTGACTGAAACACTTATAACAATACATGATTATAAGATGTAAGGATTTTAGGTTAAAATGATTTTAAACTCATCGCCTTTTTTCTTTTGTTTCAAGCATGTTGCTATCATCAGCACTCCAGGTTCCAACCAAGCAGAAAAACTTTTTGCCTGTCAACTTGCCGTGAAGTCACCCATTTGGTAGTCTGTGTTTGATGGCCAAGTACATGTAGCAAGTTGTAATGTTTTGTTAATACAGCTGTGTTTAGGGTTTGCAAATCTATTGTCATTGCGAGATGAAGTAGTATTAACCCCAGAAGATTTTTGAACAGTTACTTAGTAAACAGCTTAATTATAGTTTCAATGATAAATTATGTGATAAACTGACAGCCTACAGGAAAAATCATAGCTGCGAAACAGCTCTACTGGCTATGACAGAGAATTGGAAGATATCTTTAGATGAACATAAAGTGGTAGGTGTTCTTTCTACGGACATGAGTAAAGCCTTTGATTCCCTCTACTATCCACTCACACTTGCTAAATTAAAGGCTTATGGTATTCGGGGGAACAGTCTAAAATTGTTGGACTCCTACTTCACTGATCGGTACAATAGGGTGAAGTTGGGATCCACAGTGAGTGAGTGGGAGAGGGGGTCAAGGGGATGTCCACAGGGCTCCGCATTTGGACCATTGATATGGAACATGTTCCAAAATGATCTGACATACAGTGTAAATTCTAATTCTAATATCAATATGTATGCAGACGACCACCAGTTCCATGCTGCAGGCAGTAATGTTACTGAGGTGCATGATAAGTTAATAGCAAGTGCCGAATTAGCCTCCAGATGGTATAGATCGAATTTCTTAAAAGGGAACTATGACAAGTATCAGACAATGACACTTGGGAATAAAAATAATGATATGGATAGTATTATAATTGATGACAATGAAGTTAAATCTACCAAGTGTTTAAAACTTCTTGGGGTATATATAGACAATAGGCTTCAATTTGATGAACACATTGCTAACATTTGTAAGAGGAGTAGCCAGCGTGTTGGAGTCCTGATGAGGCTCAGGAATATGATACCAACAGACACCAAGCTGAAGTTGTTTAAGGCAGCCATTCTTCCGTATTTAACATACAGCCATCTTGTCTGGCATTTTTGTAGGGCGAGTGATACTAGAAAATTGGAACGTATTCAAGAAAGGGCACTTAGGGCAGTTTACTGTGATAAGGGGAGTAGTTATGATAAATTATTAGACATGGCTAACCTAAGTACACTGCAGAACAGAAGACTACAGGACATAGCCATTCTTATGTATGTAAAGAACAATTTATCTCCTAATTACATATGTAGCCTTTTTCAAATTCCACAACTTAGGTACACACTGCGTAATAATGATTTTGGTATACCTAGATTTAATACTGTCACTTTTGGAAAACATTCGCTTAGATATATGGGACCCAAAATATGGGCAATTGTACCAAGAAATGTAAGAGAACTGACATCCATATCATCTTTTAAATGTAACATACGTAGAATAGACCTTGTTTCTAAATTGACTGATAGTAAATGTGAAAACTGCCTTTTATGTAAGACTTAGGTTAGATTTTAAATTGTACATATATATTGTTTTATTTTTAAATTTCTCAAATTTTTAGGTAGTATTTAGTGTCCCCAGTTAGTGGTTGTATAACTGCTATTTTAGATTTGACACATAAATAAAGGTTGTATGTATGTATGTATGTATGTATGTATGTATGAAGTGTGAGTGTATGTTATATTGCAAAAAATGTACTTTTCTTTTTTTTTCTTCTTCTCCCTCTTTATTTGCTAACTGTAATTTTATTTCTGGCGTGTATTTTATTATTAATTAGTAGGTTGCCAAACAGTGACTTTGAAAAACAATGAGCTTGAAGCCTTGATAGTCTTTATATAGAATAAAAAAAACAAATTAAGCTAGTTTGAAATCATTTTAACCTGGACTCAATTGAAAAAATGGCATATGCGTACATTTCATCATTTCTGACCACAGCAAAGAGTTCATCTTGTTAGGGTCTTCTAATATTTATCCATTAATTTTTCATCACCTTATTTCTTAACATTTTATGCTTGACAATGCCTTCTAATTCTTTATACAAATAAATCTGCTATCAAACCATTTCTAAACATTGTTATGAAATTTTGTGTGCCCCACAGGAAATAAGCCTTGACATCCATATGACCCAACACCAAGTCTAAAATGTTAAAAGTTAATCCTTACCTGGAACGTGCACTTTTACAATTCTTTCATCTTGATCATCAGCTGTGTTTTAGGTCAAGGCTAATCAGTTCAAAGTTAAAATATTTGATCGTACACAGTATTCCTTTCATTACTCAATGATTGAAAGTAATCAACAAACTTGAAAACTAGTACACAAATTTAAAATTGTTGATAGCATTTCCTTGTCATGTTCTATCCCAAGACCATGTTACAGGTGCACTGAAAAACAGTATGATGGATTTTTTTTGTAAAATCGTAAAGAACCGTATAGAAATATATTAAAATCATTGAATTAATTTATTCACTTTTTGGGAAGTTTAAAAATCTTCTATAAATGCTCGCGTTTGAAATCTCAAAGTTCAGTGAGAACTGTTAGTCAGATAATTAAGTGACAAAGTGGCTGCAATAACATCCAACCTCTTTCAAGTTACATAATCAGTAGTCTATACGCGCAGAAAAAACAAAGCCTGATATAGTTATTTTTGAGAATACAATCATGTTATAAGCCCTCGCAGGTTCATTCGTTCTAAACTTCTTTCTGGATATCTGGAGACGCTGACAAAGGTTTACAAATATGCAGAGTTGGACAGCTGATGGTGTTCTCCATAGTTAGAAGTACGGTTAAATGATAAAATATCACTCGTCTATTCTAAATCATGGAGAGTGATAAAGACGAACGACGAAAATTGTCTACTAAACTGGTAAAATGATCAGTGCAAACACAAAAAAGACACTTACTCAAACGTCAAATTCACAAACAGGTACGTCGCCATTACCTTCGTTCTTTCTATAAAAATAGTCGCTATTTTAAAACTGAAACAGATAATCGACGGTATAACGTCTAAAGAGGATACGATCCTTTGACCAAAACACATTTGTTCTCGAAGCCCTCTTGACTTTAGCCGCCATATTTACTTTTTGAAAAACACCGCGCTAGGACCCAAGCCCTTCGCATCAACTTTTCTCATACGGCAGCCTTGGTAACGCGTAGACTGTTTTTTTTGGGGAAAAAATCGGTTTCTACTTATCCCTCGTATTCCAGATCTAAAAGGAAGACAGTTGAACCAGGGTCTGGGAATAAACACGTCTCTTAAAAGGTGCAATGCCAAAAGCGGAGATTCTGGCTTACCGGTCGCGCGCGCCTTTCACGTAAAAACTCTGGCAGCTTTACAAATCTCACTACCTTTCTTCACGCAGAGCTTTTTCAACAACTCCACTCGTGCCACGTCACCCCAAAAACAGCGCATACACTTTAAATAATTCTAAAGCCGTATTGAACAGGCCACACAGGTTTATTATTTCCACTTTTTATTGACTTCTTGTAGTTTAATAAAATAAACCCTGTGAACAATCTTTCCTCACTGATCTGATACAAGCTCGATGTGCAAGTTTTCATCAATACTGCATGTCGCATCGACAATGACATTTTACAAATTAATTATGATCTTGATCATGTTTTTCTCCCTCAGCCAATGGTACTCTGATTTTTAGAGCCATTATTTTAATAAGTCATTACGGCAAGCAATCAGTTATGTGTCGCATTCAAACCAGTACGGCCAGTAATCCTAATAGGGCGCATACCATGAATATGATACCGCTGACCTTTGATACGTCGTTTGCTCCATTACAACGGTCATCGGAACAACATAACAAATCACACGTGACTTTTAAGCCCCGCTCTTCAGCTTTCCGGCACCTTTCAAACTTGCTCGGTCCATCCTGGCACTCCTTTTCAGTCAAACAACCTTTAGCGTAAGAGAAATCGGTCTCGTCTTTGTAAAAAAACTTTGCACAGCGGCTTTGCCAAGGAGAGCATGTGATTTCTTTCTCATCGCAGTCCGCCCAACTTTCTTCGCTATCACACTGGTAACATTTGAGTGCACGTACTTTGTCGCCGTAAAAAAAAAAAAATTAGTATGCAAACGATGGAATGTTTTGGCATAAATTCTGAATATCACAAGTGGCTTGTCAGTATTTTGGTTTGTATCAAAGGTGTGGTTATTAAGGAGCATGATTAAGGTTTGACGAGGACATTTTCATACCAATCGATCCGTTGTAGAGTTCCTTTTATAAATACTTTATCCTTGTGAAAGTCAAAATAACAATACTTAAATACATAAATTTCCTGTGACTCTTTTCAAGTTCGCAACTGAAAAGAAAAATCGTGAGAATTAAACAAATGCTCCTGGAAATATATCAGACCTTTTAAATGTCAATTTATGAAGAATAATCACCTATTATAATATTGTGTAGCCCGGTAGCAAAACAGAAAGATTCTCTTTTGCCACATTTCACTGGAGTGACTTTTCATGTTGTTTGGAGTTATTTTTTTTGGAATAAGCCAGCTTTCTTAACGGCAAATGAAACCTCTAAATTGCTTTGAACATTCATGTAAGAATAACGGTATTTGAAATAGGATGAAGACATAAATCCATTATGAAAATTGCTGCTCAGACATTACACTTATTTGAAAAAGCTGCGTGAATTTTACATGTTTCTTTCCAAGCCTACCTGGGGAGATGCAGAGAAGAAGAGTAATGGAGATCGACAAAGCACCCATTGTTCTTGTTGCCGCAGAACACATTTCACCGAGAACTGAAATCAAAAGCCACAAAGACAGCTAATAGCGAAGGAAAATTATGAGCAAAATACTTGTACTGACCTTATATCGAGACAAGTGTTTCAAAACAGTTATTTCGTAATTAATTCATGATATTGTTGCCAGAGATTAGGAATATTAGCACTAATCCCCGTCATCAGCTTTGGGTAACTCTTTTCTTTCTTTATCTACGAGCCTGAATTAGGCAATACTCTTTGCATATCTTGTTTATATTTATGTTTCTAAAATTCGCCCATTGTTCTGTCTTGTTTAAGATATTTTTAGTGAACACGTTGCGTCAAATTCTGTCTAACTGACTGTACTCCTTTAAACTATTTATCTAATAACTGACGGTGGCGGCGTCGGTAATTACAAAGACTTCAGGCGTCTTAGGAGTTAAAACGGAAGAACAAAGCGATTTGCGATATGGGAGTGAGAAATGGAAATTTTTATGGGCTCTTCCTCTGATAAGATGTCATTAGAGTACTGCAGCTTGATAGAGGCTAGGTTCCGTTACGTCACTAATGGACTAACAATTTTATACTGATATATCGTTCTTTGAAGCTGTACTCTTTTCATCCATTTTAAAAACTTCTGCATGTTCGTGACAGTTCGCCAGTCATCTCGACTTTCGTCCTTTCGTTTGGACAGGACACTGACAGTGGGCTCGATTACCTGCCGCTGGTCTTGAAATGAGCCTGCGCTAACCCCTCCCCCTCCCCACTCCCGAAGACTGGACTCGAGAAAACGAGAAGACGACGGAAATCGAGCCCAGACACTACACTGAGCTCGTGTCCTCATGCCATTTAAGGTAATGGAGAGTAGAATATATTTCACTTAGCGACAAAATATAACTGAGCCAGAAAGACCTTATAGGTGAAATGCGCAGCATAGTTGCGGCGTTTGTATCATGAAACTTGTGCTGATTTGTGTTCAAAGCGGAAGAATATTCAGTTCTAGCCAGGAGTAACGGGCTCCTGGTTCTAGCGAAATTTTCATGCATGTGCTTTGTTGATGGATAACAAATTGTTACGGACCTTAAATGTGACTTAGGAATATTCATAAAAAATTGGGACCAGAGAAACGATTCGGGATAATTGAGGTTCGACTGGTTCCCTTTACTTTCTGGATGGCTCGGATACCGCTGTAGGCCATTTACTTGGTTTCCCCCTGGACCCGTTGTTCTAAGGGTGGATAACGCTATTGACCGAAAAATATCTGTATATAACCTAAACTGAAGAATGACTGCAATTACTGTTATATGACGAAGAAGGAAAGAACAACTGTCAGGATCGATTTTGCCTCCTGCAAGGCTTACTCCGTTGCATATGAGTTTGATTTGTAAGCCTCAACGCTCAGTTTTTCAATTTCTTTCTACTCAGTTCTCGGAAATTGTAAATGTATGACGGAAACGCGGACCAGCTGTTTTTTTATAGATTTGTTTGTTTTTACACCACCAAGTAGTTTTATGAATGGATAAATGGATACGACGAACTGCAGTACTGATAGTAAAAATCTTCTTCTCATCAAATGTTGCTTTTCTTGGGGAAAAAGGGAATGGGTACGGCATTTTTAATTTTTTTTTCTTTCATTTTAGCCTTTGCTCTGTTTCAAAAGTACTATCTGTTTTTGCGGTGAAATCTCTCTCCTCGGTTTTGGTCAGCAGGAGTAATTGCCCAGGCATGTTGGTCAAGTGTTTTGTTTTTTGTCTCTGAATGGCTCGTTTAAGCTTCTCATTTGAAATTGATTGACACCTTTGCCCAGCCTCATCGCGCTACTAAAGCTCTAACATATTGTAGTGCCTCAGGGGTGATACTGAGGAATCAGGTGACTATTCTATTCAAGCATAACGAGATGAAGTTGATTTCTTATGTTGTATTTCTCCTAACCCTTTCTGTTGGTAAAGTGACCACTGTGTTTGTTTTCAGAGAAGTTATGACGCCAGGCTTTATCTGGATATAGGATCTCAAACTAAACCTGGTATTCAAAGCATTTCAATTAGTTGCAAATTTGTCGCCTCGCAGCTCGACAAACTTTGTCTAGCCTTACACATATCTTTAAAGTTACGTTCCTTGCTGATTTTTCAGTCATAAATTTTTCGAATTCTGAAATTTTGTTAAGAAGCTCTATAACAGATGTTTAAAACTCCCTACATTTTATGAATACACAACTTGAAAAACACAATTTCCTTTTGTTCACCAAACTTTTCAAATAACGATACCCCCTGGAGAATTTCAGAAAAGAGATCCCAAATCATTTCTTGACATTGGCTCCCCCACGCCGGTAATCATACGAGCTGGTTTTTTTCTTTAAAAAGAAATTTCAGGAGGAAAGAAGGGAAGAGAATTATGTGGCAGCAGGGAACTGACAATAAAAGTTAAAATGCCCCTAATGAGAATTTCTGAATTTTAAGTTTTAAACACGTCAAGGTGAAATGGTTCTTAAATAGACGGAATGGCTTTATTTTCGACCAGTACTGTGTTATGGCGGTGGTAGCTACTTCCTAGTGGTTAAGGACTTTTTTCCTTCATAATGTTGATCATGAGTTTATACTGCACTTCCACAATAAATATTCTTGATCGGCATTCTACAAATAGTAGAAATAACGTTCTCGCGTTTCACGAGACATGACGCAATTGCCCCTCAACAGAGAAGCTCCTTCTCTTTCACACGAAAACGATCTCTACGTAATCGGCTGAATATTTCATTCCGATGATCAATTTGTTTTTTTATAAACAAGTCTTTTTACAAAGCGAGACTTGTATTTGGAGACAAATTATTTACTTTTTTATCCGGCGTTTGATTTTTAATTTTAATGCTGTAAAGCACCTTAGAAATTATGGATTTTGGTGCTATTTAAATTGTAGTTATTATCATTATAAGTCTCCTCGTGCTTTACAGAAAAATAGTCTTCAGTCATACAGATTTTATGATTTCTGAATGTATATTTAATTGATGTGTGGCTTCTTTATCACAGCTTTTGGGATCAACTGCTACAAATGTGGAAGCTACAGAAGTCAGGAGGATTGCAACAACAACAGGAAGGAAACGGAATGTTCGCCAAACAATTACTGCGCCATTCAGACCGAAGAGTACAAGTCTGTCAGCGGTTATGAATACAATTATTACCAGAGAGATTGTACTTTTCATTTGCATTGTAATGGTTCAGGCATCTCCAAGCTGAAAGCGTGCATGGAGGCTAAAGGGACGGAGTGCTCGTTCAAATGCTGTTTTACGGATCTTTGCAACGGCAGTAAGGCAGTTTTAATGATCAGCACCTTCCTGATGTTGACATGCGTATTCATTGGCCTCATCCATTGAGTGGCTAGATTGAAGATTTCAGCGTCCTGTAGCATGTCTTGTGACAATGTAAGCTCCTATGTTGACTAGAATAAAAAATGTGTTTTGAAATGTTTAGTCTGTAATGAGCAGCAAAAGCGCATCGGCTGACGAGTTACTGAACTCTTTAGTCACTTATATTTGCATTGTTAGCCCAAGCCTTATGCCTTGTGCATGTTTGTGCTATGCAAAGTACCGACTTTCTAACAACCGAACGCGACGGGCCGCAGTACCAGGGAATGTTGGCTCGTAGTCGTGGCAGTATGGGCCAAACGCAGCCAGGTCCGTTCAAAAACGACTGAGGCCCAATATTCCCATGCAGTACGGCTCGAGAAAGCGACGTTAGTAAGTGGTTTAATTGTATGGCACTCGAATCAGACTTTTTTTTTTCTAATTTGCCGGCGTACGCGACCAAAATACGCGGATGATGACCGTGTCCGTGGAAACGGCCCGTACGGCAAAATACAGAAAATACAGTAAGAACAAATCAGAACGCTCGAATTTATCCAAGACTAACTTGCCAAATTAGCGAATCGACGGTGGTTTGGCGCGGTCTGTACTCTTATCGACAGTGAAAGTCGTCATCACGGAGGTCAAAATGTTGTGGACTCACGAGGCGCAGCCGAGCGAATTCGCAACAAATTTTAGTCACGTACTTTGATAACGAATATTGTTGTCGATAAGAGTGCAGACCATGCTAAACCACTGCCGATTTGTTTTAGACCACGGTATCAACTTCGAATAAAACGAAATAGGGAGCGCGGAATCCAAAGATTTGAGTTTCGATTCCTCATGGGACTCGGAATTTTTTATGTACCACGCTCGTGACAAGACGAAAAAACATTTTATCTTATTTTATTTACAAATACCTTCTATGTTGGACATCAAATGGAGAGGTATTTTATGACGTGCCTGTCAGGTGCCTCCATGGACTACGGTGGGGTACTTTTTTTGTAATTTAGGTAAAAACCTCTCGTGGCATCTCTATTATCTTTGCTATTCATTTTAATTTTTTTGTCCCTTAACTTTGCTTTATGTCTCATGTGTAGATGAAATTGTCATCCTTGCCGCCGTATCCTCAATCACCACGAACGAGAAGCCCCCTCCAAACGTTGGTTTGGTAATTCATCCTCCAGATGTGTTGCATTTTCAATGGGCTTTCTATTTGGTTTTTTCGCCAGGTTTTGTTTACTGATTGCTGCTGATTCTCAGAAAACGTTTTTTTTTCTAGGAATATTTTGGTTTAAGTAAAATCACTCAGGTCGGATAATAGAGGCACTCTGATTGGTTGAGAACCACGTCGTACCTTGGCCTTTCTTGACTCCGCACGAGTTTATTATGATAAGTTTTTACATGGACTTTGCATAATACTTGCTGAAATGTCTAAAGAAGAGGATAACACGACATGCAGATGCTCTAATATTCACCTGAATGAAGTGACTAATAAAAATAATTCTCCCTAACCACGATGGAAGTATCCAATATGAGTGTTACTCTGCGGCGGGTCATAATTTTGACAAAGCGAAGTAAACAATTATTGAACTGTTCCGATCGACATGACCCTACCCCGATGCAAAATTAGTAGGCCTTTGGTTTCTGTTCGACAATGAAAGTGCAATTAACGTTGATGACTTTGACATGAAATTCGCTTGCATTGTCGATAATTACATTAGCTGACTCAGTTCCACGTTGTTTCGTTTTTTAATTCCACTTTCCTTTGTCGGTAGGACTATCATGTCTATCACGTTTGAGGGTTTAAGAAGCACTGTGTCAACATTTTGAGTGAACTTCATTATTCATGCATAATTATCGAAAAAAAAAATTTATAGGAATCGAAGAGTGTTATACGAGGTCCGATCAATACTGATGGCTCTTAGCAAATAGTCAAGAGGTGACCTTGTACGCAGCGAGTTCAAATTAAATCGGCGATTTATTCTCCTACTCCTTCGTGGCTACAAAGAGAGGCAAGGGGTGAGGGGAGGCTTGGTCGCCAATTGAGCCTTCTTTTGGAATTTGTTTTTCCACGGTCTCTTTTGGTAACTGAACCGTTATTTTTCTTAAGAGCAGGGGCGACAAAAGGCGGTTGTTTTTTTTATGTAGATTAGATTTACAAATAGATTTACGACGTATAACGGCACAAAACGTGTATATCAACCGACACAATCTACATGGACGGAAGCTACCAAATTAAACAACATTTAGACAAAATCAGTTAAGTGGGGTCCAGTAGGCCTGTTGCTAATCGAACCATCTAGCTCACAAACTCATTCGAACAGTCAATTCTCAGAAAAACACTCTCTATTTTCAAAATATTTCCGCGAAAAAGACCTCTTGACCTGTAAAATGTAGCGGCAGAACCTTGAAAATTTCACAGTCCTAAAAACATCGCCACACACATGAAAATGTTCTGAAGTTAACGCTTGCCAAGAGCTTGGACAAAAACATTAAAAAAAATAGGAAAAGGGTCGAGTCTTCTACTAACACTCAGAACTGCAGTATGGCGTGTCATGTTTACTTTGCTGGAGGCCAAAACAATTAAGCTTTTGTTTCCTGACAGAAAATCAACTTCCTGAATTCTCGGAAAAGCTCCATCTTTCTGGGAAGAAAGACGCCTATCAATCAAACAACAAGAAGCCCGCCCATGAAATGTGATTGGTTACAAATCATGACAGATAATCAAATCAATCCTTACGATTGGTTGGATCTAATCATAATTTTATCGGAAAAAGTAAAGGTTAGTCCTTGGACTTCATCAGAGGGCGTCCGACTTAATCATACAATCTACTTTTTGGCGTTCCAGACGAAAATAAAGGAGAGGCATTCAAGTTGTAAGATGAAGTTACTTTTCGTCATCACCTTTTTCCTCTGCATTTCTGTTGGTAAGTTCAAGTACTTTTTTTCACCGACCAATTTTACAGTTGCTTAAGTTAAAAGCTTGGGTAAAATGCACGCGCTCGGCTCTTGGCGCACAACGAGTTGTGGTCGGTTTATATCTTCAATTTTCTTTCATTATCTAGTTTTGTTCGGAATTTACTAATTAGAATTAGTGCACGTTTCTCGGCGTAAAGAAAATTGAGGGATTAGGCGCGATTATTTACGCAATTACACTTAAAATCCTGTAAAACTTACAAATTAATTTACATTCAGCCAGCGCCCATTTCTAGCGTGTGAAGACTCACTGAACATCAAACTGACGAATTCCAAGGATATTTTGAGTCCAGCTTCGTCAATTATGTCTTGCTCGCCGTGGGAAAGCAGTAAATTGACTGATTAAGATATGGCAGGAAAAATTGCGCAACAAAGTGCTTATTGGTCAATTCTTCATTTTTTTCTCAGCAGCATTGCGTCGATGAAATTCTGTAGCTGTCGCTACAGAATTCTTTATTTTCCGTTTTATTTGAACGTATGCTTGAAGAGGCAACTGCTAATTTTCGTATTGAGTGTAAATTTCGTTGTGGGCGTACATCAGAAATGATGTTTCGAAATACGCTAATCGCGCGGATGTTTGAGAAGATGAGGATACTTAAGCTAAAACCATTCACTTTCTATCTTGTTGAAGATGGAAAGACGAAGAAACTACGACGTTACCCAATAAGTTGTTTGTTCTCCTTTGTTCTAAAGAAGTAATTCGATGATGATTCATCTCAACTTTAAGTGAATAACATGCAGCTATTTCAATATCACTTTCGAAACAATTTCGCATAACATTTCACAACAGAAAATAGATCTAAAGAGCTGCCAATGAATTAAAAACATCTTCTTTTCCTACCTTAGGATACGGCTTGAAGTGTTACAAATGTTTGACTAACAAAGGCTGGGATGAGTGCAAAGACATCAGAACAGAAATGGATTGTCCTGCCGGTCTCGATCGCTGCTTCAAGGCATCTGCAGACGTAAAAGATGAAGGTGCATCCGTTCAAGAATATGGCAAAGGCTGTATGACTGAAGAAGATTGTAAAACTGATCTGAGCTCTATCTGTAAAGGCAAAGGAAATTGTAAACTGGATTGTTGCTCTGGTGACCTGTGTAATGCTGCCACACTAAAGAAATCCAGCGTCGCTGCTCTTATCGCATGCACTTTAATGGCTTTGCTGTATTAGAATGAAAAGATGCAGTTTTCTTAGTTGTTGTTGAACTTTGTAGCTATAGACAGAAACTAAAGCAGCTGTTATTAATTTCTTTTCCAATGTTTCATTTTTTTAAACATCGCAAGCAATACTTTAACCAAGCCTAAGAAACAGATTGTTTTGAAAAGCTGTTTCATTTTTTAATAAAGGGTAGTTTAAGGTTTTAACTGTGATGATCTTTGCATAATTTTTACATTACTTTTCTTTAATAATCATTTCATTCAGTCGAAGGTGAAATCAAATCCAGTTCAGATTAACCAACAACGTATTTACCCTCTGCTGCTGGCAAGAGGACTGCATAGTATCCCACGACCATCCAGTCCATAGAGCTTAGTTGAGAATGTTTTCTCAAGCCACAAAAGACCAATTCCACAAGGCCATTCCATCCTTCTTGAGTATCTCGCTGATAGAGCTTTTTCGGGGGAAACAGCGAAATCGGCCTCGAACAATTCTACAAAAACCCCATGCCCCAGCATTTTCCTACAATACAGTAAACCCATGACACAAAGGTACGATAGATTGAAAATATTTTAATATGCTTTAAGATTTATAGAGACTACTCTATCGGATCCCAAAAATAGACACTGAGAACAAAACCTATAGCATACAAGGCCTCAAGCTTTCGCGCGGGACTTAAGAAACCATAAATATCGGGCTCTGACGTTCACACAATGCATCAAAACCAATAATACCCTAACCCTAACCCTAACCACCTCCCTACTCCTCCCCTCGATAAAAAGAGTGATATCTTACACTGAAAATGTAACATACTAAGACAGAATACAATGTAAGATCCTGAACAGTAAATATCAATCACAGATTCAACATCAGAGCACACGCTTATTCGCGCGAGACTATTGCTTTTTTTTTGTGAGCAGCACTAAAATTGCAGGAAAAAGGTTTCGATCTCCTTTGTGTTTCTTCTGACAAGAGTAACGGCCTTACCTAGCAATCAGAAATTATTCGGAAGGTGTTACTCAAAAGTTCTGTACATGAGTGACATCATTTTGTAAATAAACCTCTTCAGGCGGCTGGAAAGACAGCTGATAATATCCACGGCTAAGAGATTGCCTCATCGATCCCTTGATTTCAATGAACTGTAAGTTTGTTTACCGGTGAAAGCTTCATCAGAGTTGCGTTATCAATATTTTCCTCGCTTTAACCACAGTAAACACAGAACACATTTGAATAGCGAATTGCCAGCTAAAAGGGAGGTAATAACCGCTGAATAATTATTGTGGTGATCTCGTACTCATAAACAAAGTGCCCCTTCCCGGTCCCCCTGCGCTACAGAGGCTTAATCACGTGACGCAAACAAAAGATTCCTCAAGGAAGTCTGTAAAGATGACTGTGATATCTGTTCTTGTGCAGATTTCTTGCATGTCCCTTGGTAAGTTTACTCTCTTTTCATTTATCCGAATTCTTCACCGCTATCAAAACGTGTTTCCTCGCGTAAGGTTCTTTGGGAGTTGTTTGTAGATGTACAGTAAATCGTTTGAGCCCGAAGTATATCTCAATCGTAACATGATTCGGTCAAGCGTTTCCAAGTTGTGCTGGAAGGGCTTTTACTTATGGTAAAGACTGCTGAATGCTAACGAAAAGTTCACTGAATACTGAATATAAACTGAAGTTTATGAAAGGAGAAAACTCGAGAGGAATATGGTTGAGGCTTCCAGGCCCTGGTTGTTTAAATGTCGGATAATGTTATCCACCAGATAAACCGCTATACAGTGGATAGCCTTATACATTTTGTTCACAATTATCGGCTGGATAGCGATTTATCCGTTGAAGAGCGTTATCCGCTCTTTGTATAACTGGGCCCAGATATACGGTCAGATAATTAATGCTCGAAAATTTTGAGCGTTAGCGGGCGTTTTGCGCACTCCGATTGCCTTGCATTGTGGTAGCGTTATTTTCGATAAGGCTGTGAGAGCGGCAGAAATCTGCAGATTTTAATCGAACATTCCGCAAAAGTTAGACTTCACGATTATTATATAGATATTCTTAGATATAGATATGGAAAATTCCTGGCCCATTTCTTGATGAAAATCGGTCGTAATATAATTTCTAGCCTTCAATATAGTCGAGTTGGTTGGTGTCATGTCTGTACAGATTTTACCAACTTAATAAAAGTAGATGATAACAGTGATGGTAAAGCAAGCTTAAAACGGCAGAAATCACCAGAAACTACAACGGATACACTGGGTATGAGTAAGTTTTATTGATTTTAGGAGAAAAATCTTCATATTTCGAAATATTTATCGTTGTAAATCGACCTTATTTCGTTCCCTATACTGTTGTTCAAATCGTCAACGGTTCCTCTCGTAACTTAATACCGAGTCACACAACGCGTGACGCGTTCATGAATGGAAAGCAATATATATCATCGTCCTAAGCAAAAATTTTTTTTGGGATCACTTTCTGAAGGAGCTTAGATACCAGGCTCAATTAGGGAACCAAGCCTTTTGATGACGTGAACAATTTTTCACTCACCGCCCCCGACTGGTTGAAGTGTAGTTGGAGGGGGACAGGGAAGGAAACATTTTTGTTACTTGCGCGGGAAAAAAACAAATGAGAAGTTATCTATTACCTTTTTTTTTGTTGTTATAATTTTCCAGAAAAAACAAATGGGAAGTTATCTATTACCTTTTTTTGTGTAATTTTCGCGGGAAATAATATTACCTTATCTCGCTCCGCTCCGTACATATACGAATCTTCTGCCTTTGGTTAAAATACACTTTCTTCGTTAATTCTAAACATTGCTCACGGTCAAATGGATCCAAAGGGAATTTCAAACCTTGGAAATACTTGCTTTCTGAATAGTGTCTTGCAAGCTCTGCTCTGAGTGACATGTTTTTCCGAAGGGCTCACTGGATTGCAGCACAATCGCAAGAAGTGCACCTCATCTAAAACAGGTCTCGAAAATGTATTCAATATTATTTTAGCACGTCAAAATAACATTGATATTGGAGTGGAAGACATAAAATCCCAGCAGGCAAACAACATCAACCCATCGGTGAACTGTGTAATTGAACCAAGTACTTTTTTAATGAACCACAAAATTCGTCATTAGTGTGGTAATCCGCTTAGTTATTCTCGACATTAAGCTTATTTCGACTTTATGAAACAACTGGTATCAGTCATATTAAAATACGTATTTGACGACTTGATAATCTTGTTAGAACGTCACAGGAAGTTGTACCTTGTACGGAGCTACGAGTAAAATGTTTAAGGCCTTTTCACTGTTTATGGCGGTAAATTTATATTATTCCTGGAAGCTTTGCAAGTCGTAGTTCTTTGCTCGATTATTTTTTGACACTGTTGTGTTGCGCGTTCATCTAAAATGTGCGTGTACGAGTACTAGGAGCGCAAAGAGTGAAAACGGTACGCAAACCTAACACTTTCGACCCCTCCCCATCCCCCTCCCCCAGCCCCACCCTCTGGACAAATGAGTAGTTTCTGGACCATATTGACTTGATAATCTTGGTAACTCCCAAATTGACCATGCCTCACACAAGAGAAAACTATTTTTATACAACTGTGCACCACTGAGGTCTTGCATTAACAAAAAGGCTTCTCTGGTATGTTCCACTAAATACTCTAGGTCAGATGTGTTTGCTGTGTAGCACCCTAAACTTTGTGAATGCATATAAGACTGCACCTGGAACAGTTCACCCAGCAACATTGGTATCCTGTCTGCCACAAATTAGCAGCCAAATTCAGAAGGGCCAACAACAGTGTGCAGCAGAATTTTTTCAGGAATATTGTAGAGTACTTGGAAACACTGCAAGCCAGTACCAGACTCAGCAGTTAATACCTGCCAGCTGTAATCTCTCCTTCCTACAATCCTTTTTCTTTGAGTTAAGGAGTGAAGTAATGTGCTCATCATGTGATAATATTACTTCAAACACTACAATGGAAACAATTCTCCCTCTACATATTACAAAGGTATGGGGCAATTATAGTTACAAGGTCACAGTCACCTATGCCAATTTTCTGTGGATTAAATCAATTACAATCACAAACCTGTAGACAGCAAAATTAAATCCAGGAATGGTGTCCCTGCCACATGGATATTTTGTTTTTTTTTTTTTTTTCTGATGGGGGGGGCAGAGTTCAACCCCCCTCCCCTTTGAAAAATTCATTTCATGTCAAGCATTTCCTTAAAAAATTTTGGCACTTTTGGACCCCCTCTCCCCTGGAATTTTCAATGATCCTACTTGGGGTGGGAGTGTGTTGATCTTTCAATTCTTTCTAGAACTACACCTTTACTACACATTCTTTCTTACAAAAAGTGAATTTTGTGGTCAAAATGATCTAATAATTATATAATAATCACCTCCACCCTTATATTTTTTTTCTTTTGCATGTGGGAGAATAAAAATTGACATTGACAACAATGACAACAGTTCTATTTGCACTCAACATTTACATTTTTAGTTTAGTCAATAACTACAAGAAAAGTCAAATACTCATCACAAAGACAAGCTACCATAGTATTTCTGATACCCAATCACACACTTTATTGGTCAGTATTATTCAACATTTATTCTGTTCCATTAGTGGTGTTTGTCTATTCATTCTTAAGGGTTGTACTGTACAGAGCTTCCTTAAGGACTATTCTAACCCAGTGGAGCTGGAATCATCTTATTACTGTAGCAGGTAACAAATTTTAATAGCATTAAACCTAACACTAAAAGGACACACAAATACAACTGTTTTTTTTTTGATAACTGCTACAGTGCTTAACACTATAAACTACAATGCACAAAGCAGACTATTTTCTTCCAGTGCAAGAAATTAGGAATGTCAAAGCTACTACAATTGTACAAATTGTTTCAAACTTTACCACTCCCCTTCCCCAAAGCAGCTACATGTATACAATACAGGGCCTTTTAAAAAGTCCTCAATGTTTAATGCCTCGAGGCTTGCTGGTTTGGCAGTCAGTGGAAAGGTAATGAAAGAAATACATTCAGTTGGATTTATATGATTGTAATTAACATTCAAATATCGATTCTAACTCCACACTGACTCAAGATATAAAAAACAAGACATTGATTGCATTATATATGGTGGCTTGATGCAAATGAGCCAAGAGAGCTTTTTTTTGGGGGTACATGATCATAAAAAAGCCCCATATTCTGTAGTTGTAAGTCATAGAGTGAAATTCAGTACTTTAACTATATTCAGTAGACCTCAATGCAGTTTTCAACACCACCTTAATGTCAAATAATTTTTGTGACAATTCTGTTATCATAAAAATATCAGTAATACTGCAAATTTAAGCAACAGTTGTACACGTTATGGGAAAATGATTCTTCTGTAAAAAATTTTTCTTCTAGCAGACTTAGATTTTCTGAAAAAAATAACATACAATGTATGGAAAAAACTATCACAAACAACAGGGCAGATTCAAGGAAAGGTACAGCCATAGCCACTATGAAGCAAACATCCCTACCACTCCCAAAATGCATTATCAGTTGCCTCAGATATCCAGGATGTCCAGGCTGTCCAGGGAACAATTTAAACATTAAATAAGTTTTGCGTATTCAGATTAATTACTGCTTGGTGCATTATTTTGTGACAACGTACTTTAACAAGTTATATATTTTATATCACAAAAGCAAATAATTTCTGGTGTTATCGCTAATTGGGATATCAAATCAAGAAAGTATAAGGTTATCAATAAAGAGTTTAACTTTGGCTGAAGGTTTTTCGAGTTATTAATTTGACAATTCACTATACGTTGTAAAAATTACAAAGCAAAACACTAAATTTTGGTTGAAAAACACTAAAAGACTTACTTACCTTCGGTCTCAAAACGTTTTTCACTTTACTGCTGTGAAAATTTGAGTTTGTGTTTACTACACGCCGATGTTTCTTGTATGCTCCAATGTGACGACATAAGCTAGTGGCAAAAAGGGTCACGCAAGCAAGCAAAGGCCTGGGCACAAATTCAGTAGGCTTGGCTACTGAGTTGAGCCTGGTTTCTAAGCTCCTTCAGAAAGTGATCCCAAAAAAAATTTTTGCTCGTCCTAAACCAGATGAGCCCACGAAATATCAGCGGCATCTTGTATGAGTATCCGCAGTTTGCAACGTGACTTCCGCTTTTTCTTGTTGACGCGTACTCACAGTGTACTCGAGTGTTAGGAAGTTCGCGTAGTGCGTCTGAGCCAGTTTCTGCCAGATTTGAACAGAAAAACAGGTCCTTTGTTGGACTGTGATGATACTTTGATCGCTGTTAACGAAATGTTTGGCCGGTTCGTAAGCTGTCAACCTGGTTTCGGTCGATCTGATTGATTGGCAACACCTCTGAAATCCTACACACCATCGACCTAAACCTCATAGCTGCCAAGTGAGCAGAAGAACAATGACATCAGAATACTCGAGAAAGATAAGTATTAATTTTAACTGCATTTGTGTTAAACTTATATGTATAGAAATTTCTGAAGAGGTACTTAATCAGAAGTTTATCACATGATAAGCCTTCAAACTTGTATTAAATAAATTGATGTACATATTTCACAATTTTAAGATGATTGTGTGATGACAGTACACCGACGGTCAACATTTGAATATTCAGCTTGAGCTTCCTCCTAAATGTTAAGTATTTCAATTTGAACTTGTAGAATATAACCTATGGATTAAATGTGGGTCTATAAGTATCATCCATGAAATTCTTACAGGCAATTTTCATCTCAGAGTAAGCATGACACCTTTATACATCCTTCTCACTTGTAGAAAAAAAAATTTTATATATCTTCATTCTCTGAAAACACCTTAGGCCTAAAATCATAGTCATGTGATATAAATATATAACACACTGAGATCTAAGGTCAAGATGAGCTTTTGATTCCTTACCTTCTGTACTCATTTGGCAGAAATTGTGTCCCTTAAACTGTGATGACACCACTTAAGGTCTTGTCTCTATTGTCTGCAAGAAACTGGTGCTTATATGTCCTAATCTTTCTTTCCACACCATTGGTAGTGTTCACTTTCACATTGAAGCGGTCCTTCCTGTATGCCTAAACCCAGCGCTGCCAATAGAAACAAAGTGTCCAAGTAAACTTCATGAATATAAGCTGCATGTAATCTGATTTTCACCTTGCGGATCTCCTTGTAAGAGCATCTTGGACTCATCTCAGACTCATGCTGAATGATTAATGGCCCAAAATGACGTCATCCGAGGAGATGGCCTGTTTGATGTTTAAAGTCAGAGCGACAAGGATTTTAAGTGAACATAATAAGATGTGTGTAATTTTTAAGCCAAAAATCTTGAATTGTTGCTGGATAATTTATAGGGGATAATTCCACAATTATTATAATGTATGCAAGGGATACACTTGCCTGTCTTTCGGGAAGCCATGTTGTGTTCATCCACTTTTGGAGTCTTGTATTGGTCCTCCACAGTTCACTGTCTTGAAGATCTCTGAGTGCTAAATTGAAGTCCCCTTCTGTGGAAGTTCTTGCAAGGTTTCGCAAACTGTTCAGGAGGTTGTCTTTCTTGTCTTTGTTAATGCCATTCTTTGAGTTGTTGATCCACCGTACCCATGCTTGTTCTCAATGGAAATCACAAATATACACAAGACAGCCTGGAACAGTTATAAAACTGAGTTGTAAAATCTCTCTGATAAGAGAATACATGCTGCCAACCACTTCAGCTAACACAAGGCCTATTGTATGCTAAAAATTAAACTACCAACGAAGGGCGCCTAGCATGACCTGTGAGCCATAGAGTAAAATAATAATACTATTACTACTACTACAAAAAAAATAATACTAATAATGCTAATAATAATAATAATACTAGTAATTTATTATTATCATTATTGTTATAATAGTAACCTTGATTTTTTCCAGGAATCTAAATTACACATTGACCCTTTTGTTTCCAAGATCTCAATGTTAATTATCCTTACCATCATCTTCACATTTCTTATTTTTTAATTGATTCTAAAAGATTTCCAAAACTTTCTAGGACCAGAAGCCTTTTTCCAGGACTTTCCAGTTGTGGAAATTCCAAAATAAAATTCCGGGATTTTCCAGGTTTTCCAGGACAAGTATGAACACTGTTGATATTTTCATGAAATTAAAGTAATGATTTTGGAATGCCTGGAGAATTACTGGTAAATGGCAATAATTTATTTTCATTATTTTCAGGTTAGTCCTGTAAGAAAGAATTTTTTTTTCTTTTTTTTTTTTGGTGGGGGAAAGAAGTTATTCCTAATAAGTATTGCCTCTCTATATTTCCCACATGAAATAAAGAAAATGGGTATAAAATGGTTATTATTGATATTTACCAGTATATGTTTACATGCTTACTTGGAAACAGCCTTTCAATGGCATTGATCTCTGCCTCACTGAAGTCCACCATAAAGAAATCAGGGTTCCATGTTGGGTTCCAGTCCTTAATGAGCAGTAGAGCTTCATTAATGGCATCTGCATTTTCCAGCTGAACCACAAAAGAAGCAACAACACAGTAATCTACATTGGTTTTCACACACAGAAAGAATGTGGGGAGGGCAATTAGCGTGAAGTTTTGTATGTTGCATCCAGTAGGCAAATTTCGCCACCATACTTTAAAAGCAGCTCTCTTTGCTACTTCATCTGATGAACAAGGAGGAGGTTGTTGGATGGATCACCTATACTTGTTTTAATTACATCAGTGCTGTCTTCTTCCTTCAGTGACTGTGGTTGTTGATAGGACTCACTATCACTTGTAAGGCAGTAAGGCCTGAAAAAGAAATTATCATCTGGGCTTTCTTCTTTCCACTTCTTGATTTTTAAGTCAAGGTTTTCTTGATCAATTTGTGAATGTCTGCATACCACTGTGGCACGATACATGTGGTTCCTGACATCCATGGTTGTTGGGAAGAACCATCTTTGGTTAGATCTGGAGGCTGTTGGCCTGTGAAAAGTTCCTTCTTTACATAATGATGCAGGTGCCGTTGCATTTCAGAAACACAATTAACACCACTTCCAACAAGCTCATGAATTTTTTTAACCAGTGTCTCATCAATAGGCTGAAGTAGCCCAGCAGTCTGATTACACAACAAGAAAGAAAGAATAATTGCTTTATTATTTATTCTTTTAAAAAATTACACAACCTCATCCCCAGGTTTTCTTGGTCAACGGTTCAACCTGGAGCCGGCTGCTTTTGATGTCATTGGTTCAATATGAGAAAATTTTTTCCAAATTTGGTCAACAGCAGCTGGTTATGATGAAATATGTGAGTGGTTTTAACCTTTCAGAAACAGGGAAATATTTTGAATGAATAATAATGCAAATTATACCAACATTACTATCGGCAGTCCTCTGGTAGGGCTTTTCAGTAATAGTTACAGAATGTTATAATTACAGATTACTGAACACTGTATTTTTTAAGAAAATCCATTTAAAAAGTCCATGACAGCATTCCATTAAAACAGTGCCAGTGGAAATTCCTCTCCGATAAAATTGTGATAGTATTGTCTTGACATTGAGTTTGAGGAATGACTGCCAGCGTAGCTAAAAGAAGCTGTACATGTAGTACATTTTATTGGTCTTTTGTTGTGATGTATAATCTTTATTCATTCTTTATATATATTTGACATGACAGTGGAAGCAGCGCAGTCTACAGTAGACTGATGATCTGTGTTAAGTTAAGTCACCTTAAATCCCCCACCA